CTGACCTCTGGCATCAACAACAGGGCTGCTAACTTTTGGTTTTAGCTTGGAGTGAGAATTTTAGTCCCGCCCATATCCCCAAGCCCCGCCCACATCAAACCACACCCCCATTCATTTATAAATATATACAAATGATAAATATATTATTTTAATAAATAATTTTTATGAAATATTTAATACAAGTTAGAGTATTATTACTATTATGCAATTATTCTAAATAAATATCCCTCTGAAATAGAGACTAAGCTGAAGGAAAATGAATGAATGAATATTAATTTCATTAGAATAAAATTCTTTAGACAATTGTATAGAACACAAAAAAAATATGTTTTATAGAATTATCTGTTTTGTGTTGTCTTAGACCCAACTCATGGTCGAGAATTAGGGTTTATTAAGTCTAAACTCGCTGATTTTATCCCTCCTTTCTGCTTAATACAACAAATTATTATGAGCTATGCTTAGTCAAAATAAGATCATCATATTATTTAAAATTTAGTTTTGTCGACTTCCAAAACTCAGTGTGCCGACATCTGTACATTAAAGGCTGTTACCCCTGCCTAAAATGCAGCCCCTCTGAAATGTGCACCTTGTAAATTTAATTGATATTTTTTAATAACAGCAATTATGACACTAATGAGAGTGAACTCTGCCCTCACAGAAGACTACAGATTTTTTTTTACATTTATTTGTAAACCTAGTGCATTTTAAAATGCATTTCACTTTTTGTTTTTGCTTTATCCATGAAGATAATAATCATATTACGTTAATGAATTTTGGCCTTTGGTTTTTATGTAGACTGAAAATCCCAATGAAAGTCTATAAAAGGGGTGCATTTTACTGCAGGGATGCGTTTCTCCGCACAACACCTGTTGCAGAACGCATGAGCGGTGAGTGAGCAGCATCGATTTTTTTTCGGCATGCATGTTCACAACCGGCATTCATAGCGGGAGCGGGAACACGAGCAGCACGGCAGCGTCAAGCAGGAGCAATGCAAGAGGCGAGCGGGTATATTTCTGCACGCACAGTTAGTTTTTGATTACATTGTTTTCACCAGTGTTGGATCGGTTGCACATAGAGAATAACATATTTATATAACGATAAAAGTCTTTAAAACCGTCTTTATTATAACAGAAAATAAATATTTTACAGGGATAACTTTTTCTGCATGAGAAAATGGATTTGATAATTGCGTGACGCTTGCAACCCTGATCAACAAGGCGTTTGTGCCAACAGAACTGCCGCTCACTGGATATTTTCTCTTATTTGGAAAATTCTCTGTGAACACTAGAGATGGTTGTGCGTGAAAATCTCGGTAGATTAGCAGTTTCTGAAAAATATACAGAGTATTTTCTACAGTGTATTTCTTAAAATGAGTTATTTTCATTGACTATTCTATAGGGGCCTCACCGTGGCGAAGTGAGTAGCACGATTGAGTCACAGCAAGAAGGTCGCTGGTTTGAGTAGGTCAGTTGGCATTTCTTGTGTGGAGTTTGCATGTTAACCATGTGTTCACGTGCGTTTCCTCCGGGTGCTCCGGTTTTCCTCACAGTCCAAAGACAGGGGCTGAGTCCGAAACCGCATACTTCCATACTATATAGTACGCTAAAATCCGTATGCGAGCCGAGTAGTATGTCCGAATTCATAGAATTCGAAAATCATTAGGCGAGAAGTACCTGGATGACTTACTACTTCCGGCGAGATTCTGAAGTGCGCATCCCATGCATCCCATGTCCCGTGAGAGAATTCATGAATGCAACTGATGCAGGTAGGTCACGTGACCATGACAAAACGGCGGATGTAGTACGCCCGAACTCCATTCATACTTTTCAAATTCATACTGTATAGAACGTACTTTTCTAGCGGCCGAGTCGTACGTTTAAATTCAAATGCGGTACCTACTGAGTAGTAGGCGGTTTCGGATGCAGCCATGCACTATAGGTGAACTGAATAAGCTAAATTGGCTGTAGTAGATGTGTGTGAAAGAGTGTGTATGGGTGTTTTCCAGTGTTGGGTTGCAGCTGGAAGGGAATTCGCTGCGTAAAAAACATATGTTGGATAAGTTGGCGATTCATTCCGCTATCGCGACCCTATATTAATAAAGGGACTAAGCTGAAAAGAAATATATAACGATAAAAGTCTTTAAAACCGTCTTTATTATAACAGAAAATAAATATTTTACGGAGACGTGAGAGCATGAGAATACTGTGAATTGCGTGACGCTTGCAACCCTGATCAACAAGGCGTTTTTGCCAACAGAACTGCCGTTCACTGGATATTTTCTCTTATTTGGAGATGGTTGTGCGTGAAAATCTCAGTAGATAAGCAGTTCCTGAAATATACAGAGTATTTTCTACAGTGTATTACTTAAAATGTGCTATTTTAATTGACTATTCTATAGGGGCCTCACCGTGGTGAAGTGAGTAGCACGATTGCCTCACAGCAAGAAGGTTGCTAGTTCGAGTCCCAGCTGGGTCAGTTGGCATTTCTTGTGTGGAGTTGCATGTTAACCATGTGTTCGCGTGGGTTTCCTCCAGGTGCTCCGGTTTTCCGCACAGTCCAAAGACAGGGGCTGCGTCCGAAACCGCATACTTCCATACTATTTAGTACGCTAAAATCAGTATGCGAGCCGAGTAGTATGTCCGAATTCATAGAATTCGAAAATCATTAGGTGAGAAGTCCCGGATGACTTACTACTTCCGGCGAGATTCTGAAGTGCGCATCCCATGCACGCTGCGCTATCCCATAATGCCCCGTGAGAGAATTCATGAATGGAAGTGAGGCGACGCAACTGACGCAGGTAGGTCACGTGACCATGACAAAATGGCGGATGTAGTACGTCCGAATTCCATTCATACTTTTCAAATTCATACTGTATAGAACGTACTTTTCTAACGGCCGAGTAGTACGTTTAAATTCAAATGCGGTACCTACTGAGTAGTAGGCGGTTTCGGACGCAGCCAATCACAATGTAATGAGTAACAATACGCGTCTGTTCAAATGTAATGGAGTAAAGATTACATATATTTAATCAAAAATGTAGTTAAGTTAAGCTAAATTGGCTGTAGTAGATGTGTGTGAAAGAGTGTGTATGGGTGTTTTCCAGTGCTGGGTTGCAGCTGGAAGGGAATTCGCTGCGTAAAAAACATATGTTGGATAAGTTGGCGATTCATTCCGCTGTCGCGACCCTAGATTAATAAAGGGACTAAGCCGAAAAGAAAATGAATGAAATAAAACCTGCAGAGCCCCTGGTTATTCGCTTTCCATCTACCAGTGTTTCATGAACTTTTTTTGAACCTTCCAGAATAAGAGCTGTGATTATTTACAACCACCCGTTCCTGACCCCTCTACAAACTTCATAATATTTAAAAATAACATTTAACATGAATTATCCGCAGGATGACAACACTGGCCCACGAATTCGACGTCTGGGGTGTCGTAAATATCTGTAAATGGAGAGCACTTTACAGTGATTTGACAGGCCTCTGATCAGGCATGATCCTCACAAGATCGCGCCGAGTAACAGAACATTACTTCCATTCATCATGTCTGGAAAAGCTGTCATGTGTCCTGCTCTGAGGAGTAAGAGGAGAACACAAGCCAAACGTCTCCCACATATGCAGACGATGTGTGTGTAGATACCATCAGTTTAATACATGAAGGTCTATGAAGCATTTATTGGCGGGAAATCAAGACCAGTGCAGGAATAGTGCATATTTCACCTTATGCCTAGTTCAGACTGCGTGATTTTAGCCCCGATTTTGGCTCGCCGAAAGGTTTTGAGAAATCGCCGACAAATGCCTGAAATCACAGGCAAATCGGTGCTCGTGCACGTGAGTGACAATCACACAGTATGAACTTTCAAAGACGCGATCTGAGAGAATCGCAGATGAGTCGCCGATGCCTGTGAGATATTTGGCATGCTAAATATCTGGAGCTGTCGGCGATTCAAATCATGCCGTGTGAATTGAGTTTTGACTGAAAATAACATCAGCGATCGCCTACAGCCAATGAGAGAGCAGCTTTCACTTGTGTGTGCGTGTGTGTATACCTGCTGCAGGCCAGCGGGAGGCTGGGGGAGAAGTTAAAAGCTCTTTTTCGGTTTATTTGGACCCACAAAATTTGGTTTGACAGGACTCTGGAGCACCTGTGTCTGTTTGACGTTTCATACAGAAAGAAATTAGTTTATTATCAACGTTGAGGAGAAATGGCTAATTCCCTTTAAACCCAGGTGAGCAAACATGTACATCTGTAACCCCATTAAAGGCTTCTTTCTCATTATGTGGTTAATAACAAAAGATATACTACGTGTTTTTGGCTGTGAGACGTAGTTTGGACGAAGTTGTCGGCGATTCTTCCTATAGTAAAGTCATGCAATGTGAATGTCCCTGTCGCTGATCCATCTTGCAGTGTAAACAAAGCAGCGACGAAACGCTAGCCCAGATAGTCATGCAGTGTGAAAACATCTGTGACACGACTACTTTGAAAATCATGCAGTCTGAACTCGGCATTACCGGAAAGCATGGGCGTAAATCTGATTTAACAGTAGGGGGGGACAATAAATATAACATTTCTCCGAGCATTTTTTTTTTAATTGGACACAAATAATACAGCCGAATTTTACTAATAAAGATATGTCATAGCATGGAGACTTCATCATTATGATTATTGTCTTAAGTTTTTCTCAGGTTCAATGACAGCTAATTTTTCTTCAAAACTATTTATTGCATTGTTTGTTGTGTTGTTTACAATCAATAGACTGACTCCTGAAGCAGAATAAATGCAGGAAAAGACATTTTCCAACTCAAATGAGTGGCGGCTTGGACCCATAAAACAGTATTACAAACGTCACCAACACGTCACCACTTAACAAGCGGATTGCAATGAATTTGGCAAATAATTCTTCAATAGTCATGTTTACTGGTACAGTTACATTAATGAGGTACTGCATTATTAAAATGAACAACATACACTTGTGTAAAAAATTTTCGAAGATGCATGTATTGTCATGATTATCAATGTTTATTAAATGTGCCATGTTAAAACAATAATTCCATATCTTTACAATACATTTAAAAAATAATGAATTCAATGTGTATTAATTGGGGGGGAGGGGGGTCTAAATTATTGTCGACATGAAATGCTGCGTGCTGTGAAAAATCTTTGCAAATATGACGTTATGATGACAATGATTATGTACATGTCCTTGTTAATATTCAAACAGGTCAGCGGACACCACATCTTTGGCTGAAATCCCAGCATCACTGCAGTGGACGCCACTCTTACACTGAAATGAAAGCAGAAACAATTCTGAATATTGTGTAGAAAGCATGTAATAATAAATGATGGCTCTGTGTTATTATTAAACAGCAAAAGTCCTCAGATTCTCACTTCAGAGATTCTTGCTTTTTTGGTCAAAATTATTGTTGCCATCATAATTTTTAATCAAACACCATAACATTCCCTTCTTCCTTGAAATGACTATTCTTCCCTATTGGTCACATGCAATGCTTTTAGGGCGGGGCTATAAGAGCACGTCTCATTTGTACCTTTTCATACTCGTCATCTTAAGGCAGGAGTGTCAAACTTTTTTTCTGAAGGGCCGCGGCCCAGCATTGTTTAGCTGTAAACCTGCTCAAACACTTACCTGTAGGTTTCAAACAAGAATGAAGGACTTAGTACGGTCAGGTGTGTTTAATTAGGGTTGGAACTAAACTGTGCAGAGCTTCAGCCCCCTAGGTTTGACACCTGTGTCTTAAAGGGCCATGAAACATTTTTCAGCAGGGTGTTTTTACATATCTAGCTTGGTAAGCTAGCTTGGTAAGGACTAGGACCAGGGATGTTCTTGCTGTGAGGCAACAGTGCTAACCCATGGGCCACCGTGCCACCCATTTAGGAAAGAAGGAGGAGTAGGGGTGGAAGGGGGCATTCTTCAAAACGAAGATGGCTGTCATATGGAACTTGGGGTACTTATGGCGGCTTAGGAATCATCTGATTGGTGAATCATAAATTGAATAATGCGGGGCCGGCTGCAAGCAATCATAAGCACGTGATCTTCTTGAAATTAGTTTATAAATAAACTTCACAGAGTAAATAAATGTTCCGTACATATGTATTTCTGCAGCGTGTCGCGTGCGCTGATCCACATGTGAGTCCAGTTGCTCTCTCATAGATGGAAAATAAAAACAAAACCTTCATTGCAGCACATTATAAAAGCAACACTGACGACCCATGTCTCCAAACGTGGCGTCTCTCTGCCGTCTGAACACTGTTTCAGGTAAAAAACAGTCTTTGAAGCTATCATGCACATTAATGAAGTTGCACAGCATACACAGTAGAGTGCGCTGATTGGTTTGAACCAAGTCTTACTCATGAATGAATGCAGCACACTCAGAGACGTAATAAGGCACTCCCAGATACAGACAGCCAGTCTACATGCTAAGATCTTATGGCCATGACGCAGCACCAAAAATTTGTTTCAAACCGGAAGTATGAATTTGCTCGAAATAACGCAAAAACAACCAATTTTCACTTTTTAGTGAAATATATGTGTCTTAATAGTGTTTATAACAGTGTGGGACACATATATGACTGTCAACAGCTCAAAAAATGTGTTTTGGTGTGTTGTGACGCTTTAAGTCATCTGAAAAGATTCTGCACTAGAGGGCGCTGATGGTGATTGCAGTGAACTGTAATCCTCCACAACAGAGTACAGACTGGAATTCAAATCTTCCTCCATTGTATACACAATGCCCATCTTCCAACAATCTAATTGGCTCCAAAAAGACAAAAATCATGCACCACCCTACTTTTTTATCATTCCAGAAACCATATTAATTGGATGTATGTGCCAATAGAAGAAAAAAGGATCCACTTAGCTTCAGTTTTATGACAATTTCAAAAGAGAAGTGATAGCAGTGATGCAACAATGCTGTCTCTGGGTCTTCGCCTCCATCATCCCTGGGACTTTGACTTGGTGACTGGTGAGCAGCTCCACTAAAAGAGCAAATTATTTGGACATGTCTTTTTCAATGCCAATGCAGAATGCACAAGTCCCTTTTGGTACTACCCCCACTGAGGCTAGCATTCAAGCAGGTCTGAGGGTTAATTGTGGGAGTAGCTGGGTCAGGAAGAACATGGAACAGGCCTTGCTGGTTTACACCACACTGGCCAACCCGAACCTGGTTTCTGGATACTCATTGTGACAGCCCCTCCCTGGCTTATTCCCTTGAGGAAGGACCTCCTTTTTCAAGGACATGGCACCATCTGGCTCCTGCATTCAGATCAATGGAACCTCCACTTGTAGTTTTAGAGGGAATGAAGAAGATGGAAGTGGACCTACTGCCCATGATGGTTGACGCTAGAGGTCTGCACAGACAAATTTTGTAGTTCTGCTCCTGCCAGGTTTTATTCCGCCCTCAACTGCTCCCGCCGTATATTCAACCTTTTTTTACCCGCTGCCCGCTTAGAATACTTTTCTACATGACCCAACCGTTCCTGCTAAATTTAGTTCTGGTTTCCAGAATCTCACATTTAAATTGGGTACTACCAAAAGAGAGAGATAACAGATAAAACTGTGGGTTGTGCAAGCATTGTAGGCTAAATGTCAGTTTTGTTTGCCTCTTTGTGATAAGACATGAGTGCTGCCTTTAACCTAAGGTTACTGACCAAACACCAGAGTTACCAACCGCTACCATGTTTTATTTGGAAATTTATTCCCGCGATGCTAGAAATCTGGTTGGGTCCAGTGGCTCCCATGGTACAGCAGCAGGAATTCAGACCTCCAGTTGACACCATCACTCAGACTATATCACTCTACAGGGGACATTTATGCCAGCTCATTGAGTGATGTGCTTCTTACAGAGAAGACCCCATCATTTCATATACCCCTTCATTTAATATAAGTTGGAACGGGGGCTTTCACCCTCCAAACTAAAGGTCTATGTTGCTGCTATCTCTGCTCACCATGATGCAGTAATTGACAGAGCACTGGACAAGCACAAGACTATCTGGTTTTTGAGAGGTGCCAGAAGGAGGTACCCTTCTTGGCTGCTTCTCAAGTCCACATGAGATCTTTTTGTCATCCTTACAGGTCTACAGAGGGACAATTTGAACCCCTCGACTCAAAAGTGCTTCAAATTTTGTCACTAAAGACTGCTCCTGCTCCCGTGTTGGCTTCAATCAAGAGGGTTGGGGATCTTGTGGCATGTTCAATCAGCAAATCTTGTCTGAAATTTAGACCGGGCAACTCTTACGTTATCCCGAGACCCTAGCCTGGCAATGTGTCCAAGGTTACAACCAATTCATTTTGCAACACTAAATAGAGGTTGTCTCACTAGATAGCGAATGTCAATGCTAACAGACAAAGAGCTGCAGGTTGGGTAAAACTTAACACATTTGTGAGATTCTGCGATCTCTGGGTGGTGCTGATTTCCTCCTGTGCATTACGTAACAACAGAGAATGCAGAGAAAACAATGCTCAACACCATGCTTGCTGCACCATTCCATATTAAGTGGAATTGCATACTGACCACGCTGCAGTGCACCATGCCACATGTTTTAAAATTGTAAACACTGTGTTTTTATGAGGACACTCACATCGGAACCTCCCGTGCCCCCATTGTTCCAATCAATTTTTTCAATTCAACTTTATTTCTAAAATGCAATGTAGATTGGGTCAAAGCAGCTTAACATAGAAGTTTAAGTAAATTGAAACTGTGTCAGTCCAGTTTTTAGGGTTAAAGTTCAGCTTAGTTCAGTGAAATTTAAATGTCAATACTGTAAGCCCAAACACTGAAGAGCAAATCCATTGATGCATAGCTCCACAAGACCCAAACCAAGCAAGCCAGTGGCAAGGACAAAACTTCACCAATTGACGAAAGTGAAGGAAAACAAATTTTGAGAAACCAGGCTCAGTAGGGCATGACCAGTTCTCCTCTGGCCAAACTTCTGCAGAGCTGCAGTCTACACAGGATGATATGTATGCTCGGTCCAGTATGCCAGTATATGCCCACTGTTCAACCCTTACGCTAGGGACTGGAGGCATATTGGGATCCCCTAATGTGCAATTCCCTACTCAGGTAATTCCATGTGTATTGTTCCACAGAAATGAGTTTCTCCCCTGAGTAAACACCTGTCTATCCCTAACAGAACACTGTTATTTTATCCATATGTAGCGCTTCCCCGATAGGGCCAACACATGTGTGTTATTGCCCCAGGCATCTCCGACAGCCACATAATGTCTCTGTTCTCCCCTTCAGGGAATGAGGATTGCATGCATAAGTGATACATTTTCATCAGTTTAACAGTCATCTGAGCATATGTTTGGTTTGTGGTCCATTTGCTCACAATGTAAACTGTGGAAGGGATAGTAACTGCTGTTTCACGCTTGGCAGGTTTGATTTGATTCAAACAAACCCTGGTGTGATTGTTTTGTTAAATATGGTTTGAGTAAATGTCATGTACAGAGACGCCTAAATAAACACAAAATGTCTCATGCACTACAAAATAAAATTGTCATAAGGTACATCCATACAAAGGACAGAATGCTCTAAATATATCAGTTTGATTCTTTGCTGCCCATTTTCAGTTCAGTGCAGACGTAAATGCGTCTCCTAGCAGCAGATCTTCATTTGTGTGATGAAGGATTTACTGGTGCTGTTTTAAACATTTTATGAGCTCTTCGTGAGTTCTCACAGCTGATAAAAACACCAGCATGCAGCATTATTTTGGACTTAGACAGAATTTATACAATAGAGATCAGAATAAAAGACCAGTCTACACTTTCCTACATTTTAAGGTCACTGCTTAGTCCTATTTAAAGTTGTTAGGAGTTAAAGAGCAGATTTTTAAACATATACTATATTCATTTACTCATTCATTTTCCTTTGGCCGATTCCCTTATTCATCAGGGGTCGCCACCACAGCTGAATGAACCGCCAACTATTCCAGGTCCAGGGGATCTATTATGCAAAAATCAATTTTATGAGAGGTTTAAACAGATTCTGTGAATCGAAGCAGCTTCTAATAGTAAAAATGTGTTCATTTTATTGTTTATAATCACACTATAAAAATGGTCTGCAGAAACACTCTGATTGACATTCTCCCTTTGCAGGTGTCATCAGAGGGGAAAAGCCCCGCCCATTAGTAATGATCTCTCTCTCATTAGCACAGGACTAAACCTGCAGTCACACTTGACTTTTCTCCTCATAGACTTCCATTCATACGCATGCGAATGCGTCAGACCGGAAATGCAAGGTCATGCGTCAAGCTTTGCGGGTCGCTGCAGTGCAAAGTTCAAGCTTGGTGGACTGCTAAATCGCATCACTTGACTGCGTGAGACCAATCGCAGATCAAAACATGACCTCTCTGGACAGAACTTTAAATCATGGAGCAATCACTCACTTTTTAAATGTTTAATGATCTTGTTTAATCCCGCCCCTTTTTACAGAGCCGTACCACAGAATTTCGCATGCTCAAACTCTAGTGTTTGTTTTTAGATGCGTTCAACTTCATGCAGCGTTACGCAGGCCAATTGAAATGTCACTTAAAGCGGTGCATGCTGGTTAAGAATTTTTTCCTGCTTAATGCCGCGGAGACGCCACGTGACTTTCACATGTGGAATTAAAGTACCGCGACAGCGCTCCAAGATCAGACGAAGGATTCAGCCGGAGCAGCATCTGAAAAGCGACTGCAGGAGTTGCGATGACGACATCGATATTACACGATTGGCTGAGTTTACCGCATGACAACAACCACGTGTGTTTCACGTTTATTATTGTTCAAATTCCATCTCACAAATTTTAAAATAAACAATTGGCTTTTATGCCTTCTCTGTCTTGGGTTTTAAAACTATTTTCGCTTTTTTAGCCACTAAAATCTTCAGATGAAAGATTGATGAGACTATTTTCAGTTTCATAAGGTCCTTTTACAGATCTTTTTTCAAGATTCACTTGAACGTAGGGCATTCTGGCTTTATGAAAAAGGGAACTGAGGTATAAAGGCACCAGACCCAGAGGAGCCTTGTAGACTAGAGTCATCCAGTGGGTGAACCATTTTACATTCAGAGAAGGCCACTCAGCTTTGGCATACAGTTCACAATGGTGAGTTAGGCTGTACTTACACTAGATACAGTTGCCTCGAACTGGGCCAAAGCACGCTTGTCCCCCCTCCCGTCTCCCCCGACGGCCCGCACTTACACCACAATCGGGCCTGGGCAACGTCATCGATGCTGCGCTGTTCAGTGAGAAGCGCTCTCTCACTCAGCAGCACAGTGGAGATTTCTCTAGTTATATCGTTTCAGTCGTTTGTTATGCAGTGACATGCAGTCAATTATTTTGCCAAACAGTCCTTAGGGATGTGGTGACACACAGTCAGATATTTCGCCGAACAGATCCGCCACTTTTGGTGCTCATAAACAATCATAAAGCCCTCGTGCTGCAGGAATGAGGAGGTCTGCTGAAGCCGTGCAGCTGTCGTGCAGTGAGGAGTTTGCGTATTTAATAAGCTACGGCAGTTTGCGTTCATTAAACAGTAAGAATGATTAATAAATCCATATGAAACAGCCCCTTAAAAGTCACGTCTCGCTTTCAGTTATGGGCTTTGGCGCGTTTTGCACTCACACTACAAACGCGCTCAGGCCCACCTCTTCCAACCGGGCCAGGGCCGGTCAAGTGAACCGTGCTTGAGCACGATTCAGCGGACTCACACTTCTCAAACGACTGGGGAAACGGGCCTGGGCACGGTACGGATGGCATAGTGTGAGTAGACCCTTAGTCTCTGACAGACTTAGAGCACTGTGATAAACAGAGGCTGAAGACATTTGGTTGAAGCATTCATATATAATACATCACCACAGTCACTTAATGGTAAAAATGTTGCAGATACCAAATATTTACGAGGTTTAAGAGAAAAGCAGGATGCATTTTAATAGCAAAACCCAATTTTCGAACCAAATTTGCTATGTGTGCTTTGAAGGAAAGTACTTATAGCTGGACACTACATTTATTTGTTCACCTTGGGCAGTGATAAATAATGGTTGGTTTTGCACAGAGGTGGAACAATTTGTGGAAATCATTAATTTAGATTTATCTACATTTAAAACCAATCTCAGGTCCTGAAAACAAGACTGAACAATATTAAAAGCAGACTGTAAAGACTGTATGGCCTGAACAAGTGAAGGAGAGCAACAATAAATCACTCTATCATCAGCATACAGATGATAAATGGCATTTGGAAGGTTGTCACACAAGTTATTAATGTAGATAGAAAATAATATAGAGCCTAATACCGATCTCTGCAGCACTACTTTAGAAAGCTCTAAAGACACACAGTCAGATATTTCGCCGAACAGATCCGCCACTTTTGGTGCTCATAAACAATCATAAAGCCCTCGTGCTGCAGGAATGAGGAGGTCTGCTGAAGCCGTGCAGCTGTCGTGCAGTGAGGAGTTTGCGTATTTAATAAGCTACGGCAGTTTGCGTTCATTAAACAGTAAGAATGATTAATAAATCCATATGAAACAGCCCCTTAAAAGTCACGTCTCGCTTTCAGTTATGGGCTTTGGCGCGTTTTGCACTCACACTACAAACGCGCTCAGGCCCACCTCTTCCAACCGGGCCAGGGCCGGTCAAGTGAACCGTGCTTGAGCACGATTCAGCGGACTCACACTTCTCAAACGACTGGGGAAACGGGCCTGGGCACGGTACGGATGGCATAGTGTGAGTAGACCCTTAGTCTCTGACAGACTTAGAGCACTGTGATAAACAGAGGCTGAAGACATTTGGTTGAAGCATTCATATATAATACATCACCACAGTCACTTAATGGTAAAAATGTTGCAGATACCAAATATTTACGAGGTTTAAGAGAAAAGCAGGATGCATTTTAATAGCAAAACCCAATTTTCGAACCAAATTTGCTATGTGTGCTTTGAAGGAAAGTACTTATAGCTGGACACTACATTTATTTGTTCACCTTGGGCAGTGATAAATAATGGTTGGTTTTGCACAGAGGTGGAACAATTTGTGGAAATCATTAATTTAGATTTATCTACATTTAAAACCAATCTCAGGTCCTGAAAACAAGACTGAACAATATTAAAAGCAGACTGTAAAGACTGTATGGCCTGAACAAGTGAAGGAGAGCAACAATAAATCACTCTATCATCAGCATACAGATGATAAATGGCATTTGGAAGGTTGTCACACAAGTTATTAATGTAGATAGAAAATAATATAGAGCCTAATACCGATCTCTGCAGCACTACTTTAGAAAGCTCTAAAGATAAAGAAGTCAAACCGCCCATATGGACCCACGGTGTTCTGTTGGACAGATAATTAGCAAACCAAGCATTTCTCTTCCTTATTTATCTTATGCGTTTGTTTTATATATATATATATATATATATATATATATATATATATATATATATATATATATATATATATATATATATTCAATTCACAATTCCCTTATTGTTTAAAAATGAACTATAGTTTGTACTGTATTCTGCTTTATTTGTACTGTAAATCTTTTGCTGACGCTATGGGATCAGTCATCATGACTGCTGCAACTTTGAGCCCTGAAGTATCCGGCTTGATGGCTCCGCCCCTGCCTGCGCTCGGCTAATCTTATTAATCATTGGCTGCAGTCGTGGATCAAGTCGAACGCACCTTTTGAGTCTTCCATTATGCTGACACATAGGCATTTGTAGCTCCGCCCTCTTTTAAAAAGAGCACAATCTCATTTGAATTTAAAGCGACAGCCACCAAAACGACACAATTTCAACCAAAGCCTAAAATATGCAATTTCAAAGAGTAATAAAACATTATTTGTGGGGTATTTTGAGCTGAAACTTCGCATACACACTCTAGTGACATCAAAGATTTAATTTACATCTTGTAAAAATTATGCATAGTATGTCCGCTTTAAATTATGGTTATAGATTTTTCTTAGGAGTGAGAGATACTGACCGCATTGCACTGGCAGCTCCAGTGGAACATAGTTTCTATGGCATACATGGATATAAGCAGAGGCCAGTGAGCAGTAAGCTGGTTTGGGAACATCTGCACGCTCATCACGTACACACTCCAAAATTTCACACTCCATCGCAAACTGCACAGGGTCCACCTTTAAAAATAAAAAGTCAGAAAACACTTCATCCGATTAATGAATGCTCATAAACACAGTGAAATAATGAAAACACAGAGTGTGACACAGACAATTCTTCATCTGAAGTTAATTTTGTTGTTTACTATTTCATTCTTTCATTCTTTTTTTTTTTTTTCATTTCCTCACTTCCCCCAAGGAGTGGACTTCTTTTGATCAACCTAATCAAAGGGATCTTTATATGCACTGCCTTGTAATAGTTAGCACATGTTGCTGAGTGAGAGGGAAAAGAGTACAGTAGTTACCACTCTGAAACAGGGGCTCAGAGGAGAATTTGTGGAGGAGAACAGAAACGTGCACGACAGGGAGTCAGCGGTGGCATTCTGACAGACGTCAGCTTTCCTGCTGACACATTCCGAATCCACCTACATAAAGCAAAGAGCATACGATATTACATTAGACTCACACAGGCTATTCAATGCAATGTTTAAAATTTAGACTTATTTAAGCACTCTTCTATGTCCACATAAAGATATTATAGAAATAGGCAATTGTACAACAAATAAAATACAAATTTAAATGAAATACTGTAGTTATTTATTGAACTCTTTATTTTAGACTACTTCTGTTCTACATTTCGAATTAACAATGGAAAAAAAAAAAGCATGTTAATGCTTGGTTAAAGGGGTGGTCCACAATGATATCATATATTAAACTTTAATTGATGTGTAACATAGCTGTGCGAACAAAAACAACATCTCTGAATGTAAGACGCTCAAAGTTCAATGCAAATGGAGACATTGGCTTTTACAGAGTTAGCTTAGCCAAGCCTACAGCAAATGAAGTTTGGGCACTACAAAACAATAGAGTGGAGGAACTATGACGTCAATTTGTATGCAAAAACCCGGAAGCGAGTTAGCATTTTAGCAGTTCCGGTTCCCTCGTCCCAAAGTCAATGGGTTTTTTAATGGGGTTTCAGTAAAATTGCTTAAATAAGATTCGTGGCAAACACAAACTCAAAATACTTTCACGTTTTGTTCTACGACATAAAACACATCAGTTACAGCACACTCTTGAATTTTTAAATCGGTAATGCTTCTTTAAAAAGACGGTTGCTATCAAGTTGCTAAATGGGACTACAGGCGGTGCCGGAGACATTATACGTCATCGAGCTGATCTGGTCTGGAGCGCAGCTCGCTCGTGATGGACATTTGGATTTGTCTGTTATTTAGGTATTTTCATGAATAGTATTTTATAGTTTGTAGTGTTTTTCTAATTGGGAATTCAGATTGTGTGTAGATAATTCCTTCACTTGTAAAGGCTGCTGAGACAGATTCATTTGTTGATCATTTATTTTAATAAACAATATTATGAAGATACTGCTTACTGGTGCAGCCTCTCTCTCCTGCTCTCAGTAATGCAAACGCATGAATAAATGTGTTAAATTACATCCATGTTAACTGTCATTTTAATGTGATCAAGTGATTTTTCGTCGGGTTTTTCTTCTACATCTGAACACATTTAACTCTGTCATAACAGCAATATTTACACTCCTCCGTAAAATGTACAGCATATGTGACTGTATGGGCTGCTTTTCAGTGTATTTCGTGACAAAAAAGGAATATTGAATGTTGCTCTATGTCCATGACAGAACTTAGGCATTTGATGGACCTGTTCCTCCTCACGCCTCATTTCTTTCGTCTGTTGAGGTAAGCAGGCTGTGTGCACGCCAGCGATACACTAATTTAAATATGTCTTATGATAATACTATGTAGGCAGATTTATACACAGTTTTAAAACTTTTAGAACAACCGTAAAGCAAAACATGTATTTCCCACGTAAAAACGATCCAAAAGGCACGTAGGTCTATGTGTTTTTGCGTATTCATTTGTTTATAACATATACCGTGGATTATAATGTAATAAACATAGAGATTAGCTCTTTGTCATGGACATTATTTCTAAAAATAAGCTCGAAAAGTTGCCTGTAGCAGGGTGGTGCTGACGTCACAGGCGAGCGCCCCGAGGGCACTGTAGTTTGTTTGTAGCCTAATGTTAGCTTTTCAATTCTTGCGTTTGTATTTAAGATCCAAAAGTGTTCAAGGTTGTACTTTCGTGTGAGGATTATCCGGCTGGACAAAACGTGTAAGTGTCATGAACAGTGTTTGAACACAGAGCTTATTATTTGCAATCTTCGAAAAGCCTATGGGAAAATCCCATAGGGATTTTCACGAGGGAACCAGTTTTATGCTAGCAGCCGATTAGCCTACAAAGTGACGTCATAGTTCCTCCACTCTATACCATTAGGCTAGAGAGGTCATAAACCCTTTAGGTTATGCGCATACACTCTGTGTAGTAAAGGGGCATGGCCAGAGTTGCTGTAATCCCTACTGAAAAAAAAAAACAGCTTAAACCAGCCTAGGCTGGTTGGCAGATTTTAGCTGGTCGACCAGGCTGGTTTTAGAGGGGGTTTTGGCCATTTCCAGGCTGGTTTCCAGCCATTTCCAGCCTGGTCTTAGCTAGTCAGACAGGGAGCCCAGCCAAAACCAGAGAATTATAAAAAAGATAGCTCTAGCATTTGACAAAGGACAGCTTCCAGAATCTCAGTGCTGGCTTCAGCTAAAATCTCGTCAAAGAAGGAGCAGCTCCAACCATAATAGCAGAAGCTGTGGATTGTGATCCACAACCTGTAAGCATATTTACTTCTTAAAATTGATCTATTACATGCACAGTTTCTAACGTTAATGGTATATTGTAGCAAGGAAGTAAACAAGGATGTTAACAACAGAAAAATGCTGTTTGGCAGCGCTAACAATTTAGCAACGACTTCATATTTGTAAGCCATCCGCTGTAAACAGCCACAATCTTCAGCAGTGCTGCAGTGTCTCTTTTATGCAAGCTCATGACAAATGGTTTGTCACCAAGTTATGTCATTTTTAAATGCAAGGATGACATTGTTTGAGATGTCTCTGTTATGACGACTTGACACCCAATTACATCATAACCTTTCTTTGGCTTTGTCATGAAAACTTGACATTATCATAAAATTCATAAATCATAAATCTGTCATAAACATGATTGTCATGAGATCATTATAACTGAGTCATGAATACTTTTCTGGTCCATTTTCTTTTCAGAACGAACTGAATTTATCAATAAAAGTTTTCAGTAAAAGGGTCAATACAATCATTTTTAAGAGCATCGTTAACGTTTAAAGACATTAAGATGAATCTTTTCTAATTCATGATTAAAAATCAAGTTGCATCTTTTGCTATGGTTCAACTTTAATGACTACTTTATAATTTTGTTAAATGCGTTTATAATATTGAAGAGCATCTGTGATTTATATACTTAAATGATTACATGCTCGACTCTAGCCTTACTCATTAACCTAACTAATACTGTGAGCAACCCAATCAGTTTATTACAATGGAAGTGTAAAATTTAGAAAATTCAGAACCAAATTATCAACTGGTATCTATATAGCATTTAAACTGCACACAAAGTCAATTTGATGATAATTACAACAATGAATCAAAAAAGATTATATAACATCACTTAAAAAACAGGGGTAGAGTGAGTGCATTGTTTAATTTATGCATATTGGCCATCATTGTGGAGATCTGCGTTTACATGTACGTTTTCACTGTAATAACATCCCAATCTTAATCCATGGGGTTTAACCATATGCTAAGCAGGTATTTAATCCTCTACGTACCTGCCAGCTGTGAGCAAACTGCAGCAGACCGCTTGTGTGAGATCCATCCGGCAGAAGTTGTTCATTAGAGCCTTCATTATCATTGGTTCCTAAAAGACCGCTGGACACACCTGAATAAAGCATTCATTCATGACGTATATTAGAATGACTCACCACAAAGAGCTGCTTGAACTCTTGTGCGCAGCAGTGGTTTTAAGCCCCATTAAACCCACGTTACAGCATATTAACAATACAACAGTGAGCACTGACATTTTAAGAAGCCTTGGTGGAAGCAGAGTCTTTCATTGACTTAAAAGAACATTGATTTTTCTTTTCCATAACCACAAAAAGGGTGTAGTGCTAGACCTTGAACTAAACCAGCCATTTCAGAGTTGAGTGAAATCATTTTAATGTCTGATTTAAAAAAGCATGAAGCACTGCAAATGGTGTACTCAGACCAGCAACAACAGGCTACTGACAAAATATGAATATGTTTGTATATTATAATAAACTTTAGTGTATATATATATATATATATATATATATATATATATATATATATATATATATATATATATATATATATATATAATGCAAATGTTTGAGGCTAGTGTTCAGCGTCTTGAAAAATATCGAGTAAAATAATATATACTGTCATCATCACCAAGATAAAAAATATAATAATTAGAGTTACTAGAAACTAGTTAATAAAACAATTATGTTTTGAAATGTGTTTTAAAAAATCGTTAAACAGAAATAGTGGGGAAAATATACAACTGTGTATATACACTACCTGACAAAAGAACTGGTAGAACTGGTAGGAGCAACAAATAACTTGATTTCTAGGTGATCATTTGGTATCAGAAGTGGCTTATATGAAAGGCAAACCCCTCTAGATTACACTTATTTTACCAAAATAAAATATGATCATGCCTTGATTTTAAATTATTTAATTAGGACAGAAAGGTTATTTTTTTGCTTAGATCAGTGGTTCTCAAAGTGGGGGTCAGGACCCCCCGAGTGGTGGTGGGACAATGAAGGGGGGTGGGGGTGGGGGTCGCCTGGTGATTTCCAAAAATTGATGTATTTTTATTAAACCTAAGAACGACCATATTTTATCCATAACCTACTGAAAAGAAAATAGTCTTTTATAGTTACTATGTACTACATAGTTACTATGGTAGCCTATAGTTACTGGTTCTATTGATTTGCGATCCCTGGGCCCAGTTTTTCAAAAGAAATCCACTAGGATTTTGGATAATGGATTGGATCAAATCTTGAAAATGGGTTTTTCAAAAGAAAAAACAGATTACCTAATTGGATTAGATCACGTTTTCCGGATCAAACCTTCAGTTTGGGTTTTTCAGACCTTTTTTTTCATGATTTGAATCACTTTGATCCAAAAAATCTGGATTAAACTGATCCCATTAGAAGGGTGTATTCAACGTGGATTTGCCTGAAATGTAATGAAAACATTGAAAATGTATCAAGCAATACTATTTCTGTTTATAATTGGATCATGCAGTATCTTACAACTTATCATATTTATTCATTCATTCATTCATTTTCTTTTCGGCTTTGTCCCTTAAATAATCCGGGTTCCCCACAGCGAAATGAACCGCCAACTTATCCAGCACATTTTTATGCAGCGGATGCACCTCCAGCCGCAACTCATCTCTGGAAAACATCCACACACACATTCACAAACACACTCATAAACTACGGACAATTTAGCCTACCCAATTCACCTGTACCGCATGTCTTTGGACTGTGGGGGAAATCGGAGCACCCGGAGGAAACCCACGCGAACGCAGGGAGAACATGCAAACTCCACACCGAAACGTCAACTGAGCCAAGGATTAACCCAGCGACCTTCTTGCTGTTAGGCAACAGCACTACCTACTGCGCCACTGCTTTGCCCATATTTATTCATAAGGTTTTAATTGTATTTGTTCAACAATCAGGCTACAGTGATAAGGTAGGCTTTAACGTATTCAGCCTTTTAGTATAGGCCTCCAGCAAAGTAGAAAGAGTTTGGCCTCATAAAATAATCCCCCAAACAGCTGTCAAAATTTACTAAAAACAATACATTTTATTCTGTGACTAATTGATTTATATATATATATATATATATATATATATATATATATATATATATATATATATATATATATATATATATATATATATATATATATATATTTATTTATTTATTTATTTATTTATTTATATTCATCACATTGGAAAATATGGTTTTATAAAAAATTTTATATTTTTGTTTTTAAAATATTTATTAGTGATGCATCCAATGATTAAAAAGAGACTTCATCTGGCAGAGGAACAACTGACTCTGACCAAACTGCAGAAAACCAAGGCCAGACTTGACCTCTTAAAGACTACGCTCAGACAAGCTGGTCTCTCCACATCAGATGAGGAAGTCTGAAATTATTGTGGAGTTTTTGAAATAAAGTCTTTTTTTCGGGCCTCAAGACTCTCTTGAGCTTGGAGAACTGCATCCATACATCTCTACAATGACTCAAATAACATTAATAAGGTCATCTAGAATAGCAAAGATTGTCAAATGGCAAAGCGTTCTTGCAGGACTCCCAGAGTTCATCAAGATTCTTTGGATTCATCTTCAATGCCTCTTTTATCGTACCCCAGACATGCTCAATAAATTTCATGTCTGGTGACTGGACTGGCCAATCCCTGAGCACCTTGACCTTCTTTGCTTTCAGGAACTTTGATGTGGAGGCTGACGTATGAGTACGCTATCCTGCTGAAGAATTTGCCCTCTCCTGTGCTTTGTAATGTAACGGGCAGCACAAATGTCTTGATACCTCAGGCTGTTAATGTTGCCGTCCACTCTGCAGATCTCTCGCACGCTCCCATACTGAATGTAACCCCAAACCATGATTTTACCTTCACCAAACTTGACTGAGTTCCATTAGAATATCGGGTCCATGCGGGTTCCAGTAGGTCTTCTGCAGTATTTGTGATGATTAGGATGCAGCTCAACAGATGAGTCATCAAAAAAATCTACCTTCTGCCGCTTTTCCAAATGATCAACTACAAGTCAAGTTATTATTTGTTGCTCTTACAACTGGGATCAACGACAAGACTTTTGCCAGGTAGTGTATATATACAACAGTGGCTATGTTTAATTTGAATCCTATCACAGATCTTTTCACATCTACTCTAAAGATTGTAATCTGATTCAGATATCCATTTATATGTGTTTTATAACAATTTCGATATTATCTTTGTTGTATAATAAAGATTAGGTTCTATGCAGATAAAACAGTTTTTGTTTTTGTATTTTTTAAGCAGGCTATAGAAGATGGAAGGAGTACTTTGGGCTTTAAAGAGGAAGAAAAGTGGAAAGGAGCTTCTAATGATATACTGTACCAGTGGAGGTATGGAAGTGTCTAGGAGAGAAAGCAGTGGACTTTCTAAAAAGATTGCTCAACAAGGTTTTAGAGCATAGGTCTCAAGTTGGATTCCTGTAGGGCAAAAGACTCTTTTGAACACCTTGATTAGTTGGATCAGCTGTGTTTGATTAGGGTTGGAGCCAAACTGTGCGGAGCTGCGGCCCTCCAGGAATCGAGTTTGAGACTAGTTTTAGAGAGTGAGAAGATGCCTGGGGAATGTAGGAGACGTGTACTGGTGCCTTTAAGACTTTTAAGAACAAGGGTGATGTGCAGAGTTGCAGCAACTACATAGGGATAAAGTTGATGAGTTATACAATGAAAGTTTGGGGAAGAGTTGTAGAGGCTAGGTTACTGAAAGAAGTAAATATTTGTGAACAGCAGAATGGCTTCATGCCTAGAAAGAGCACGACAGATGCAATTTTCACCATGGGAATGCTGACAGAGAGATGGCCAGAAGGAGCTGTGTTGTGTTTTTGTAAACATGGAGAAAGCATTTGCCAGGGTGCCAAGAGAAGAACTGTGGTATTGTTGCGGTAAAGGTCAGGAGTTGCAAAAAAGCATGTCAGTGTGGTGTAGGATATGTATGAGAGTAGCATAAAAATGGTGAGGTGTGCATTAAGGCAGATAGAGGAGTTTAAAGTGGAGGTGGGAATGCACCAGGGCACAGCTCTGAGTCACTTCTTGTTTGCAAAAAAGCATGTCAGTGTGGTGTAGGATATGTATGAGAGATGCATAAAGATGGTGAGGTGTACATTAGGGCAGATAGAGGAGTTTAAAGTGGAGGTGGGAATGCACCAGTGTGCAGCTCTGAGTCCCTTCTTGTTTGGTATGGTGGTGAACCAGGTGGCAGAGGAGGTCAGACAGGAATCCCCTTGGACAATGATGTTTGCTGATGACATGGAAAAATGGAGAGTTGGTAAAAGAAGTGAAGAAGAGAGTGCAGGCAGGTTGGAATGGATGGAGAAAAGTGTCAGGAGTAATGTGTGACAAAAGGATACCAGTAATAATAAATAATAATAATTCCTTACATTTATGGAGCGCTTTTCAGGACACTCAAAGTGCTTTACACATTTTTGGGAAATCTCATCATCCACCACCAGTGTGCAGTATCCACCTGGATGACACGATAGCAGCCATATTGCACCAGACTGCACTACGACTGATTTGTGGAGAGGAGAATGATGAAGCCAATTATCATATGGGGATAGTTAGGAGGCCATGATGGACAGAGGCCGGTGGGCAAATTTTGGCCAGGATGCCGGGGTTAAACCCCTACTCTTTTTCACAGGACATCCTAGGATTTTTTACGACCACAAAAAGTCAGGACCTCGATTTAACGTCTTATCTCACAGAGCAGTATAAAGTCCCCTTCACTATACAGGGGGATTAGGACCCACACAGACCACATGTTGAGCGCCTTCTGCTGGTCTCACTAACACCACTTCTGGCAGCAACCTAGCTTTCTCATTTGATCTCCCATCCAGGTACTGACCAGGCGCAGCCCTGCTTAGCTGCAGTGGGCAACCATGTGATAGTTGCAGAGAGCTAGCTGACGGCCAACAGGTAATAACAAATTAGTACTTGTTGCCAAGGGGAAGTTATGCAAGACAGTTGTTAGACCAGCTATGTTGCATAGTTTAGAGACTGTGGTGGAGTTGAAGGTAACGGATATGAAGATATTGGATTTCTTTGAGAGTGATGAGATTGTACAAGTTTAGGAACAAGCTCATTAGATGGACAGATCACATTGGACATTTTGAGAGGAAAGTTCTGAGGCAAGGCTGAGATGATTTGGACATTTACAAAGATAGTAAATATAGTGAGATGGATGGTTGGTTGGATGGATGGATAAAATATTGGTAAAAGGATGTTGGGAATGGAGCTGCTAGGCAGGAGGCAAAGAGAAAGACCAAAGAGGAGATGTATGGATGTGATTAATCAGGACATGGTGACGCAGTGGCACAGTTGGTAGTGTTGTCGCCTCCAGCAAGAAGGTCGCTGGGTCGAGCCTTGGCTGCGACAGTTGCATTTCTGTGTTCGCATGTTCTCGTTGCATTTGCGTGGGTTTCCTCCGGGTGCTCCGGTTTTCCCCACAGTCCAAAGTCTTGCGGTACAGGTGAATTGGGTAGGCTAAATTGTCCAAAGTGTATGTATGTGTGCGTATGTATGGGTTTCCCAGTGATGGGTTGTGGCTGGAAGGGCATCCGCTGTGTAAAAACATATGCTGGATAATTTGGCGGTTAATTCCGATGTGGCAACCCCATATTAATAAAGGGACTAAGCCGACAAGAAAATGAATGAATAAATGAGGACATGAAGTTAGTGAAAGTAGAGGATGCGAAGGATAGGGATACATTGAGGCAGATTATTCACTCTGGTGACCCCTGAAGGGAACAGCCGAAAGTACACATGGAGTGTCTGAAAATCAAAATATTTAATTTAGTTTTAAAAGTCTATTACTTTATTTCAGTGATTGCAAGACTGACACGTGCATCCCTTATTGTATTATATTAATTCTTTACAGATTTTCTTCGTTCACATTTCCAATTTTTTTCTTAATTCTTTCTTTATTTTATTTCAATTATATTATTTTTATGGCTAATTAAAATGTATATGTAGGTTACAGTGCATTTAAAACAAGTGCTTCATTAAGCAGCCTAATCAAATATGCAGACAGCCATTTTACATGCTTTATCATGCGCCTGCTAGTGCATATGAATATGATTGAAAAAGTAGTCTGAAAAGCTGATGATCTTACCATGAAGCCATCCATCTAGAATCACACTGCAAACCTCCAGATGATGGTCACATGATACCCAAAGTCCTCTCCCATTGGACACCTCAATGAAGTTCACGTCTTTTCTGACAGCCACTTCAGGGTTAGTGTATGGAACGTGTGTGACATGGCAATTAACTTCAACCTAAAATTGACAAGGTTTTAATAATAAAAATAATAATAATTCCTTACACTTATATAGCAATTATCGGGGGGGGGGGGGGGGGGATCTCCTCATCCACCACCAGTGTGCAGCATCAACCAGGATGACATCAAGGCAGCCATATAGCACCAGTCCGCACACCAAACACAAGCTGATTGGTGGAGAGGAGACAGAGCGATGAAGCAAATTATGATATGGGGGTGGTTATGAAGCCATGATGGACAGAGGCTAGTGGGCAAATTTGACCTACATTCTACACTTACCCCTACACTTTTTTCGAAAGACAACCTTGAGATTTTTAACAACGGTGCTCACTGACAGCATAGTGTCCCCTTCACTATACTGGGGCATTAGGACCCACACAGACCGCAGTTTTAGCACCCCCTGGTCTCACTAACACTATTTCCAGCAGCAACCTAGCTTTTCCCATGTGGTCTCCCATCCAGGTACTGACCAGGTTAGATCAATTAGATCTGAAATAAGCCATGGAAGCATTACTAAACATTAACAAAACAACATGCACCTCTCCATTTGCGTGGATTGCAGTCGTTGTGTTTTGCATTTGCATCACAAGCGAGCGACGTTTGAATCTGCCTGATTTGAGAGCGATGCTGAAGGTGTTCTTTGTGACATCAGCTGCAAGGATGAAGTCACAGGCAGCAGGGAGCTGGAACAGATGTCCATCAAATGACACCAAATAGACATCTGCCACTAGAAATGCCTGATCTGCACAGAGAAAATACAAATCAAATCAGGCCTTTATTTGTCACATACCCCTTCGTATAGTGAAAATGAACCCCACGACCATACACAAACATCACAATTTTTAGGGGAAGACAGGTCACAGGAGGTAGCATTAAGAAAAGGAACTAGGATACATTTCAGGAGAGGGAGGCAAACAAAACTCCCTCTCACCTTGCTCTTGAATTAGGTCAATGTGAGACCAGGGTGAAAAAAAAAGCCCAGCAATTCATAAATAAACACAAAGATATGACACAACATTGCCATAGGGGATGGGAACAAGGGGTGTGGATATAGAGCGCTGAGGGCGGGCAGTCATCTGGTCCTGCAGCCATGGGGCGCTGGTCGCAGACCCGCCTACCCCCTCCAGTAGGTGAAAGCACGCAAAGGTGTGGGATGAGGGGCTAGGTAGTGAGTGTTTATCTGTAGCTGTGTATGTGTGTGTGTAAGCCTGTAGAGTCCAATAGGTGTCCATAACAGGGAGCAGGAATTTCAGAGCATCCCTTTATCTTTCTATCTGGGAGAAGTTGTTTTTCTCCAATTCGCTTGGATAGCAGAGCACGGAGAGCCTCAGAGATAGAATAAGATGAAGACAAGAGGAGCTAGCAAGGACAGATATGGGGCGGAGAGGGAAAAAGTGTGACTGCCATCGCCGAGAGCCAAAGAAAGATACAATGACAGATGTAGATAAATATGAAGAAAACATTTCTCAATTCTGAGAAGATCATATTACTTGAATATCAGTCGTTTATTAGTATAGATTGATGCAACACAAGCTCATTGGGGTATACAAGCCCAAGGCTACATTTTTGGAAAACACCAATAAGTGCCATAAAACAAACAATATGAGTTGGTATTACATCACCGACAACTTCTGTTCCTTTTTGCACCACTACTTACTTCTGAATGGATTTTTTCCAGGTGTGATCAGTTTGCTTGGTAGCTTTCCTTGTATGGCAAAGGACAGATCCAGCAACCAGGTAAAACAAACTCCCCCAAAATACTGTTTGATATCATGGTAAAAGCATGTGGCTGTGACATATTATTCTTTTTGTGAAGTTTATTTATACTAATTTCGAGAGGATCACGTGCTTATGATTGACCACAGCTGGTCCCACATTAGCTAACACCAGATTTACCAATCAGATGATTTCTAACACACCATAAACAACTAGAGTTTCTTAACTTAGTTATCTTCGTCTTGAAAAATCCCCCCTTGCACCCCTACTCCTCCTTTTTCCTAGATAGGGCAGCACAGAGGCCCAGTGGTTAGCACTGTTGCCTCACAGCAAGAATGTCACTGGTTTAAGTCTTTACCAGGCTAGTTGACGTTTCAGGGGGAAGTTTACATGTTTCCTCCAGGATCCCCGGTTTCCTTCCACCGTCCAAAGACATTTTTTACAAGAAGAACTTGCAAATAGTATGTGTACGAAAACATGGCCCAGTGACACATTTGAGATTGTCTAAAATGTACACAGTGGGCCCTAGTGGATTTGTGGATAAATGCAAGCAGACGTCACCTCAGCCACGTATTTTACAGTTCCACAAAATGTAGCCCTGGGCACGTATCTTTAATGAGACTGGGTTAGATTCATTCCTTCTTCTTTATGACAATATTCCTTAAAGTCAGCATGATACGTAAGTTGAGATTTTACTTTTTATCTTACGCCTGTTTCAGACCACAAGCACGAGCAGAGCTTGAGCAGCACATCTTTTTTCGGCATCCAGTTAACAGATTAGAAGTAGCGTATCAGTGCAGAGCATGAGCGTCGCTGAAGCAGCAATATTGAGATAGTTTTGCAGCTGATTCTATTTTTGCAGCAATACTCACACTCAATTAAAGTGACAATACATTGAAAATTACCAAAAACAGCATTGAACGACAGTAAAAAGTAGCAATTTTACCCAATAAATGCATCGACAATATCCACTGATTTGTATATATATTTAATTAAATGAACTTAAATTATTAAAAAAATGCAACAAATAATTTTTTGGGCCCAACTACAAAACCCAATTCAAAACAATTTTAGTATTAATTTTGCTTAAGTTGCATGTAAAAATATCATTATAACTGTATTGTATAGACCATTTTAATGTGGTCATGGTATTGGTCCATGAAAATTTTCTGCTTGTTGTCAAATTATTTCATAACAGTAACACGAGGCAATTCAATCCCAGCATTACATTAAAACACCTGCCATATGATTATTTAGCAATATTTGGACTTTTTTGGATTCTCGAAAACTATGGAAATTAAAAATGTAAAACAGGAAATACGTTAGGACTGTTGTTTTTGTTTACATCCCTCAAAATGTTCAATAAATATTACTGTAATTATAGCCCGCCTGCATCATCCTGACAATCAAAAAAAAATGACACGATATCAAAGACGATTGTCTTCTGACTGAGTGCACCTTAAAAGTCAAGAAGGGCACGCTTTATAGAGCTTGAGAAGCATACAGTTCTTTCGGATCAAAACAATTTGTAAAATAAAGACTTGCAGGTCAACGAAATGGCAAAGGATGAAGTTGCCGTGACCCTTGGTGCAGATGAATGATGTAAAAAAGTTTTTAAAAAAAGTGTATTTATTTATAGAGACAGGCAGGCAGGCAGGCGAGCAGGGTAGGGCAGGGCAGGCAGGCAGGCAGATATGTGGATGGATGGATGGATGGATGGATGGATGGATGGATGGATGGATGGATGGATAGATTGATGGATAGATAGATGGATGGACAGGTAGGTAGGTAGACAAACAAACAGACAGAATAGATTTATCAGATAAATTGATCAGTGCAAGCTGCCGGTCCATTGTGCACTGCTGAAGAAGTGAAGCAGGCTCTGATTCTGTCAGTTGTAAAAGTTGTAAACCTCTAATGCTATGTTCACACCAGACTTGGAAGAAGAGTCAAGCGCGAGTGATTTACATCTTAAGTCAATGCAAAGACGCAAATAGACATCCTGCGGCGCGATATGGGTGAATGAGGCAGCGCGAATGACGCGATTCACACGAATGAAGCAACGCGAATTGAGCATTTTGCACAATTGAATTGAATCACTCAAGTTGGAAAATCTGAACTTCAGTGGACATTCTCGCTGCGTTCACCAATCAGGAGCTATCTCTTGCTTTGATCAAACTGGGCTTGGAAGCACCGCTGAAAGCTTCAATCATCCAGGTTAAGTTTCTGGAGGAGTTGATGAACTCACAGAGCTGGGTACACTTCTGAAAGGATCTAGTGGATTTAGACACGGCTCCAAATGGATCGACACTGTTTTTCATCCTTCATAAAGCACATAAACACAGCTATTCGCTCAATAAAATTCATGTTAGCCATTTAGCAACAAAGCTACAGTCACCAGGCAGACAGAAGCCCTGGCCATGATGCAAATTAGCATCTATTGCTCAGTGAATTTGACATGCAAATGAAGCGGATTTAATGCGCGAATGAAGCGAGTAAACTCAAAATGTCCACATGTCTATTTACGTCCGAATAGCATGCGGTGTCTGGTGTGAACACAGCTTATGACAGGGGTGCTCAACCCTTTTCCTGGAGATCTACTTTACTACAGAGTTGAGCTCCAACCATGATCAAACACACCTGAACTAATTAAGTAGGACCTGAACGGCACTTGATAATTACAGGCAGGTGTGTTGGATATGTTTTGCAACTGAACTCTGCAGGAAGGTAGATCTCCAGGAACAGATTTGAGCACCCCTGCTCTAACACTTCCTTTCTTCAGCTGAACACAGAAGAACATTTTTTGGAAGGATGTGCAAGTAAACAATGGCAGATCTTTCACTTTTCAAAAAATGTGTTCTCATTAAACTGTAATTTCAGTCTCGTGAATGGAAAATGCATCTAAAGTAAGAAATTCCCAGAGGTCTTGATTAACTTAATTAGTGGTCTAGAACTGGAAAACATGTGTTAGACATGAGTCGTGTTGATTCACGTGACTCACAGTTGGCTGGACTGTCCATTATCCTCCTCTTGAGCCGATAGAGCTCTGCTGTCGGACTCATAGAGTTCAAGGCCAGGAGAGGCTTCAGGACAAACTCCTCCAGGAGAACTTCAGTCATACCAGCATCCTTCACCATCAGCCAGGGGCCCTCAGGAAGAGGCACTCTTAACATCAGCTCACCCTCACTGGAGCAACAAATGAGTGTAGGGAAAAAAGACCATTTCTGTTAATATTTTGCATTTCAGTATAGATCAACCTTACTGTAAGTGGAAATCAGTGGCACTTATTCAACCTTTGACTATATTGATCACTTTTTCGAAATATAACCATAGGAGTTTGTACTAAAAATATGCCCCTAACTATGTTTACATGGACATCAGTAATCAAATTATGTACTTTAATAAGACAATAATATGATTAAGGTGTTTATATGAGTTGCTTTTAAAAAAATTTCCTAAATGTTATAGTACATAGATTGATTATAGTGGTGTTTCAAGAGTTCACACTTAGCTGATGATTGGTAATAAGCTAGTTTGGCATACTGTCCCGGGAGAGAGCCCCGAGCTCAAAAGATCCTCGAGCCTGGAGCTCCCTCCCATTGCAGGGTAAGAGGGGAGTTTGAGCTCGGGTAGATCTCGATAAACCCCCCCCTCCTGTTGCGTAAGGATGGCTAAGGTGATGTGTTGCTGACGGAATTGAATTTGGTGCTAATTTGGTTTAGTCAATTTACTTAAGTCTCATGTTTTTGGGAGTGTGGGAGGAAACCGGAGGACCCGGGGAAAACCCACGCAAGCATGGGGAGAACATGAACTCCACACGAAAATGCTGTCCGGTTGGGTAGATTCCCGAGTCGGAGGCATTTTTTTGCTGTGAGGCCACAGTGCTAGCCACTGGGCCGCCGTGCTGCCCTGTAGAAAAGAGGAGGAGAAGGGGTGGAAGGGGGGATTCTTCAAGACAAAGATGACTAAAGGTACGATGTTTGGTTATTTATACTGGGTTAGGAATAGTCTGATTGGTGGTACGTACATTAGCTTGACTCGGGCCAGCCGTGTCAATCATAAGCACGTGATCCTCTCGAAATTAGTTTATGAATAAACTTCACAAAGTGCTTAAGTAAATGGACTTAATTACTTTACTTAAGTTTTTTTTTGGCTACTTTGGACTTGTACTGAGTATTAAAAATATAAGCAACTTTTACTCTCTACTTAACTACATTTTTGATTGAATATATGTACTCTTTACTCCATTACATTTGAACGGACGCTTATTGTTACTCATTACATTGTGATTGGCTGCGTCTGAAACCGCCTACTACTCAGTAGGTACTGCATTTGAATTTAAACGTACTACTCGGCCGTTAGAAAAGTACGTTCTATACAGTATGAATATGAAAAGTATGAATGGAATTCGGACGTACTACATCCATCATTTTGTCATGGTCACGTGACGTACCTGCGTCATTTGCGTCGCTTCAGTCCCATTCATTAATTCGCTCGCAGGGCATTATGGGATAGCGCAGCATGCATGGGATGCGCACTCCAGAATCTCGCCGCAAGTAGTAAGTCATCCGGGTACTTCTCGCATACTGTTTTTCGAATTCTATGAATTCTGACAAACTACTCGGCTCGCATACTGATTTTAGCATACTGTATAGTATGAAAGTATGCGGTTTCGGATGCAGCCATTGTGCGCTACAAGTCGGCTTCTTTATCTACCATGGCTAATTTGTTGGGCGGACGAGGCGATATCGCCATCTGCAGGGAGCTGAAGGTACCTGAATGCTATTTATGAGCTAAATCACGTGAACGTGCATTAGCAGCTTGCCTAATACCAGGTCATTAATCAGCAACATGGCTGCAGTAAATGATAAAGCCGAAGTCTGCACATCAAGCAGTGCCAGCACTGATGACTATTCATGGCCTTATCTGAAAGAAATTTTTCATTTGCGGATATGCAGAATGGCTCTTAAAGGATGCAGTGTCTACTTTGTTTGCCACGAACCACGAAAAAAAGTGCTTTTAAGAATTTATCATCAAATTTAAAAAAACACATTGAAGTAAGAGTCTATTCAATGCTAATTTAATGTGAATTTAATGCAGTTACTGATATGGCAAAAAACACTGCGACATGACTATGTTTTAGCCAAATTTTTTTTTTTTGTGCAACGTAAAGAATGTATCACTAAAATTATACATTTTGCATCAGGTGCATTTAGCTGTGAGTTTGTGATGTATTTTTCATTGACTTTATATGTAGTTTACTTAGTTGAAAAATAACACTGCTCCTCTTTGTTTAGTTTTATTACAGAGAAAACATCCTAATCAATTGAAAAACTACTCAAAATAAAAGAATTGCCCCCCTTTGAGACTGAGACGTGAATCGCATGAAAATCAGCTCTAAAATTGTTTTACTACGTTTTACTACTTTTTTTTTTTTTTTTGAGAAATAGTTTGTGCCTTTTTTGAACATTTGAGTTTGACTGAGACTTTTTGTTCTATATTTTTTTTAATCTATTTTGTTCTGCCATTTTGAAACAATGAGGTGTTAAATTTAATTTCTATATTAGGAAATGAAACCTTTCTTGGTGTTTCCTTGAGCCTCTTTTAAAATTGTTCTTTTAAAATTGGATACTTTCATACTTTTACTCAAGTTTTATTGGAATTGGTGACTTGTAATTTTTACAGTAAGGTATCTGTACTTTTATTCAAGTATGGTTTTCAGGTACTCTGATTGATTAATGTCATTACATCACCATGGTATCCAATGGTTTCCTCCAGAGTTTTTAGTAATTTCAGGTTTTTGTTAGATTTGTTTCACCTTCAGCAGCAGTTCAGCAGTTCCTTTCATTCAGCAACATTTCATTTCAACAGTTCACACTTAGCTGATGATTGATAGTAAAGCTAGTTTGGCGTGCTGTCCCAGGAGAGAGCCCTGAGCTTATAAGATCCTCGAGCCCTGGGCTCCCTCCCGTTGCAAGGCGAGAGGGGAGTTTGAGCTCAGGTAGATCTCGATGACTCCCCTTCTTGCTTGTTGAAGCTAAGTGTCGGATATGTATGCTGAAAGGTGTACTCAGAGTTTAGCTAATGTATTTTGATTAATTGTTTAGAGTGCTTGTTTTTGAACTGTGGGAGGAAACCGGAGGACCCGGGGAAAACCCACGCGAGCATGGGGAGAACTAGCAAACTGGTTTGGAAAGGAATTAAACCAGGGGTATTCTTGCTGTGAGGCAACAGCGCTAATCGCTGGCCACCGTGACGCCCTTTGAAAGGAGGGAAAGTAGGGTTGGGTGGGGGGGTTTCTTCAAGACGAAGATATTGAGATGACAAAAGTCTGGTTATTTATTGTGAGTTAAGGATCGTCTGATAGGATAATCAGTCATTAGCTTAAGTTGGAACAGCTGTAAACAATCATAAGCACGTGATTCTCTCGAAATTTGTTTATGAATAAACTTCACTTATGCCCCACATCCATGACAAACTCTAAGGTATTGGATGCAAGTATGAAGCAGGCCCAGATTGGCTAATCGGGAAGACTGGGAGAATTCCCAATTTTGACCATAGCCTCACTCTTTTTATTCATTATTTTGCCACAGCTCCACTTTTTTTTTTTTTTCTCACAGCCCCGAGAGCAAAATGCAGCCTGCAGGTTAATGATGACATAACTATCATTCGAGCCCAAACAGCGGCACCTGAGTGAATATACGAATTCGAATAATTAATATGAATGAATATTACACCTGCTCAATGAAAATCAGATGATTCACTACATTAATAAATGTGACATAACTTGATCCAAAATATAAAAAGAGGAGAAAAAGATTAAGCCTTTGATAGAAAGTAATACTGTGGTTAAAAGAGTTTTGCGGATAACAGTGCAGTTTTTATTCCATTCGCACTAGCATAACAGCGCCATTAAGGTTCAGTGGTCAGCACATTGCGTTACGATGCTGCCGACTCAAGTTCGAACTTCACCGGAGTAATTTGTTTTCCATTTTTAGTGATATATAATACTGTTTGGGTTACTTATGTAGGTGTACATATTTTATTTTTATTTTTTGTGTGACCACCGTTACAAAGCACTGGATATGTAGAAAGAATTTTACACAGAATATATATTCAGATATTGCAATTAAGGACATTGTGATGTTTTAAAGAATAGTGTTGGAGATTTATCTACCCGTTATTGTTCTCATATTAACGAAAAACATTTGAAGTTCTAAAGCAGCTGTTACCTTGAAAAAGACACGATAGTGTCATCAGAAACTGAATTTTAAATGAGGATTTTTTAATATAGTCAGTCATAAACTGAGGTGAGCCTGTCTAAGGTTTGAAACTCCAATGCTGAAAAGAAGTCCCACTCCAGCTCTCATAAAATAATCCCCCAAACAGCTGTAAAAAATGACCAAAAACAATCAATTGTATTCTGTAACTAATTGATAAATATATTCATCACAATGAAAAATAGTTTTGTTTAAAATATTTATTAGTGATGCATGCAATGATTGCAGAATAAACATAAAAATGCAAAGAATGGCAATGACTGATTTTTAAAATCATTTTCAACAATTGCAAAGAGAGAATGAAAGGGCAGAAGCACAGCTTCATCTGGCAGAGGAACAACTGACTCGGACCAAACTGCAGCAAACCAAGGCCAGACTTGACCTCCTAAAGGCTACGCTCAGACAAGCTGGTCTCTCCACATCAGATGACGAAGTCTGAAATTATTGTGGAGTTTTTGACATCAAGTCTTTTTTTAATTCAATACATCTATATTTGCAACTTGTTTTAAATATCCTCAATGTCCAGTGTTTGTGCTGTAGGTCTCAGATGAGCGGACTGCTGGAAGAGGACGGGGTGGGTTTTTTTTTAAATGTGTGTGTTTTCATTTCAAATAAATAAATATTGACCCCACACTAGCTATTCTACTTGTTGCTCTTTACATATCTTTAGTTCTACGTTGTGATTTCCTATCCTGTTTGAGGACTGGTTTTCCAGATTTAGTGATCCTGAAAAGTTCCTATCCGGATCAGATTGATCCAATCAAGATGTTGCTTTGAAAAACTGGCTCAAAAAGTAAGATGGATTACGTGATCACGGATCGCAAAAACAGCAATACTAAATCCGAATCATTATTATTTGACTTAAACCTTTTGAAAAACCGGGCCCTGGAGCCTAATGGATGAACAAATACAGTTAAAACCTTATGAATAAATATGATATCTTGTAAGATACTGCATAATTCAAATATAGTTTTATTTGAGATATTTTTTTAGAATTTACATTAAATTTTGGGCATGAAATCGACGCTGAATCTACCCTTCTGATGGGATCGTCTGATCAAAGTGATCCAAATCTTACAAGAAAGGTCTGAAAAACCCAAACTAAAGGTTTGATCCGGATCAAAACCAAGATTGGATTACGTGATCTAATCCAACTATGTAATCCGTTTTTTCTTTTGAGAAATCCATTTTTGATATTTGATTCAATCCATTATCCAAAATCCTAGTTGACTACTTGACTAAAGAACCTGTGAATCGATTCAGTTGTTCCGAAACAGAGATTAAAATTGTTACATTGTTGCTCTTTGCTCTTGGAGTGGTTCGCTTTCACACTGCAAAGTTTCTAATCTGACCAAAAGAGCTAAAACAAGTCACGTGCGAGTAAACTCTCCTCACATTGGTCAGAGTGTCAGGGTTTATTTTGCAGCGTCCCGCTCAGCTGTCAGGAGAGGTGGTGGTTTGGCGGTGATTGACAGGGTGCGCGCGCGTGACGTGTCTGAGGAGAGACGCGGTGGGGAGGGGTGAGAAGGGTGCGCGACGATGCCTATTTGAGGACTGGGAGAGAGACGCGAGATTACCGGGAGATCATCACTCGTTTGCGGGCATCCGGAGACTCGCGAAACTTCCCGCCCTACTCATAATTCTCTCTTCATATAGCCGTAAGCCTATTACATATCCATAAAACACTGTGATATAACCGCACTTGAATCGGATCGCTTTCTCACTGCAATCGAACCGCTCCAGGGTTCGTTTCAATCGAGCCGAGGCCACCTCATTCAAGCGATCTCGAAGCGATTACTTTGGCGCGGAACAGAGCGCGATTGCCCTGTTCACATATGCCAATCGAACCGCGCTAACTGGGCAAACGAGACAGGTTCCGAAACAAAAGTGTAGGTGTGAAAGCACCCTAAGTCTACTTGACCTAGTTGACTACTTGACTAAAGTTGACTAACTTTTGACTAAGTTGACTAAAACACGAGCCATGGTGTTAGAACAGTTTTTTTCCATGTGAAACCCATATAATCACATTTGTTCATTTAAATAATTAAATATATAAACTGAAGTTATTAATGGTGACCAATCAACACTTAAAATGTGTAATGTTCCTTATAAAGTCACAGATTACATACAGAAGAAATAAAAACTCATGTGAATTCATGTGATTTAAAAAGCATTGCACTTGCATTTTACAAGCAATCTTTTTTTTTTTTGTGGTGAATAGTTGCTATGAGGCCCCTTCGACTATACAAAATAGTTTTGGCTGTACTGTTGGGATGCTTCTTGAGCTTTCCATTCCAGATCACACCACAGCATTTAAATCAAATTAAGCTCAGGCCAAGCTCTGGCCTTTTTAATTTACGCAATTTGAGAATTCTGTTGGTGATTTACTTCTGTGTTTTCTATTGTGGTTAAACTGCATGAGTTTTCGATCATGTCTGGACAATCCGCTGTACAACTTATAATTCATGGGTCCCTGTCCAGAGTCTCAGTCATCAGAGCGGCTTTGCATCCATGTGCCTCACAGTTGGGGATGAGGTTTTGGTGTTGGTATGTTCTGTTTTTAACAAAACATCCCGCTGTGTGACAGATAAACTTTGTCTCACTTGCCCACAGAACATTGCTCCAGTATTACATGCAAAATCTAGGTGGTCCATAGCAAATCTGAATTAGGAAGAGATTTTCATTCAACAATATGTCACAAAAAGGTTTATTTGCTTGAGGAAAATATGGAATAATAGTTTTTTTTTATGTTTTTTTAAAATAATGTTTATCTTGGCTTGATTTTTTTTATTACTCTAATAATCACTTTTTCCTTATGAAGTACATTTTCGCCTGGTGCAAACAGCCAAATTGCTTATCACTGCAAATCCCGTCACATAGCTTGTTGTTAGGACACGGGGGTTACAATGTAACCTGCTCACCTATTGTTTATGCTCGTAATATTTATATTATTTGCTAATTAATAACCACCTTATGTGGAACTCTGCGTCTCATTTCGGAGTCTGCTACGGTCCACTGGAGGTTGCATTTCAGTCATTGAGGTATGCTTTGAGAGCCTTTCTGAATAAATGAAAGAATAAATACAAGGTTTTCCTGATTTGACAGATCCTGGATCTGTTAATCTTGATAACTGATCTCTGGCTAATCTTCAGAGAAGTTCGTGAATCAGATTAGAATGTCTGGATGAACTGATCTGAGATCACTACATGTGTTGTGAAGGACAGATCTATCGATCCTCGAAATCATGATCAGCAATGCAACGATTGGTTGACGGCACAGCAGCGTAATGACATCATCTGATTAATATTCAATTATCCATGTGAGCTAAATTACATAAAATTCATAGTAAACGGTTTGTTAAATATGATACGCGATAACTTTACACCTTGTTGTGGGCCATAGATATATACACTAGATGTCGCCTGGCCTGTTGTTGTCTATTGGACGGAATGCGTCAATAGCGCCGCCATCTTGCTACAGGGTAGCGCTCCTTTGAAATGAATGCGGGACCAAGGTACAGTGGAGGACTGTGGCCATGCAAAGCCAGAGATATACACATATACACATATATCTGTGCTCGGGAGTTTTCCTGGATGTTAGTATGTAATTTTTTTTTTTCTAATAACGAAAATTATAATTTTACATCACTTTTCTACATTGATGGATCAGTGACCGCACGGGCATTCCTGACAAAAAGCTTGTGTTTGTGTGTACAGAAATGTACTATTCACCCTCCCTGTTAAATTTAATCTAATCCGTGTCCTGAAATACACCTCCTCTCCTGCTTTCACTTCTCATACTGACGGAGGGAGCGATTCGTTTGTGAATGAATCCCCCGAACGACTCTTTCACTAACATTAGGCGACAATAATACAAGTTTCTGGCAACGCAGCATCTCGTTGTCATATTTCTTTTGCATTGTTTGCTGATTTTATTCAACAAAACTAGCATAAGCCGAGTGTTTGGTGCGAGTTGGAGCTGCTTTGCCGTATGGTGAATGCAGTAAGAGACTGTTATCATCAATAACGTTACCTGATTAGCAAAAAAGTTTAGAACATACAAAAACAGAAAAAAAACTTAATATTACCTATGAAATGTTCTGCCTTTGTGCTTTGTTTTCTTTTTTTGCTCATTACTACACCCGTAGACAGTGCTAAAGTCCGGCATCTTCATGTAATAACACTGTCTTGACTAGTGCGTTTGAATGACATTTGTCCTGGGAGCACTGTACCAATGCGGCGGCGTTATTGACGCATGCTCAGGGTCCCTATGCGATATCTAGTGTATATATCTATGGTTGCGGGCTGCATGCTTGGCCCTTTCATGTGTTAAGAGCAATTGATTTAGTTTTACAGTTATTACTTATTATACTATTTACTACTTATTATACTATTTACTATTATGTACTACTTATTATAGTAGCCAAAGTAGCATTATAGTAGCCGTTTTTTTTAATCGGTGTAACGAATAACTGGATGTTTACAAAAGCATTTTGATATTGGTAAACCCGTCTGCAACTTTTGTGAAGCCTCAAATCACTGTCATTTTAACTGTCAAAACATGTTTATGACTGCATAAATGTATTATTGTTTTTAAAAAAAAGTCACATATTTTGCATTTCTATTATCATACACAAATTGTACTAAAGCGATCTAAAAAGTTCATATCAATAAGTTTTCTCTTTACACCACCAGGTGGCAGCCTTTTCATTTCGGGGGTGCAGATTGCATAAGTTCTATTAATATATATATATATATATATATATATATATATATATATATATATATATATATATATATATATATATATATATATATATAACTTTATATATAGTTAAAATATTTACTATTTTCATAAGTGTATATAACCTCTACTTCAAGAAAATATCAGCATTTGGTACATACTTTCAGTATTTTCTTTGCTTGAACTGACTTCTAATGCTTTTTATATGAAATGAGCCTGCTCTCGACCAGGTTTGAGCTACCAGAACTGTTGCTATGACAACAACTCTCGAATCAGTTTTGAAGAACGAAACGATCCTGGATCGTGTCAAATCGTCAATAACCAAATCCAGCTAACTGAGTAATCCACATACGAAGAACGGACCACCCCAGCATCGTTTTTCAGAGAAACAAGAGTGTTCACTTAGCATGTTTCTTAAATATCTCCAAACATATAATCATATTTTTATGCTTTAGAGTCATAAAAGTCTTAATGTATGTAAGTCAAAAATTTACATACATGCACTGCAGCTTTAGGGTCACATTATAAAACATAATTACTATATATCAGCAGATGATGAATCACTTTAGTTCAGTGAGCACAGCTTCAGTATTCAGACAGAGCTAACATTTACATGTTTCTGGCAGGTTTGCTTTCCCAGAGATGGGTTGCAGCTGGAAGGGCATTCTCTGCTTAAAACATGTGCTTGATAAGTCGACGGTTCATTCCGCTGTGGCGACCCCGGATTAATAAAGGGACTAAGCCGAAAAGAAAATAAATGAATGGCAGATTTGCCACATACCTTTTGGAGAACTTGTAGATTAGTGCAAGCTGTCTTCTGACACCCACTAGCATGGCAGCCAGTCTGGCCTCCATCCACTGAAAGGTCTGCTGGCTCACCTGAACAACATGACATAAAGTTAAAGTCAGAATTTTTTGCTCCCCTGTTTATTTTTTTTACGCCGTTTTCTGTTTAACAGAGGGCAGATTTTTTCAACACATTTCTAAACATAATTGTTTTATTAACTCATTTCTAATCACTGATTTATTTTATCTTTGCCATGATGCCAGTAAATAATATTTGACTAGATATTTTCAAGACACTTCTGTACAGCTTAAAGTCACATTTAAAGGCTTAACTAGGTTAATTAGGTTAACTAGGCAGGTTAGGGTAATTAGGCAAGTTATTGTATATCAATGGTTTGTTCTGCAGACTATCGGAAAAAACTAAATTGCCTAAAGGGGCTAATAATTTTGTCCTTAAAATGATGTTTGAATAATTAAAAACTGATTTAATTCTAGCCGAAATAAGACTTTCTCCAGAAGAAAAAATTTATCAGTCATACTATGAAAATTTATTTGCTCTGTTAAAGATCATTTGTTAAATATAAAAAAAAGAACAAAATTCAAAGGGGGGCTAATAATTCCGACTTCAACTGTACATAGGCAAAATTACAAACACAAACACTCTTTTGATGTAAAAAAAAATGTACAGCTAAAGAATATGTAATAAGAAGTATGCTATAAGGGCTGACCTTTTCAAAGGTTTCAAATGCAAAATGTATAAGAATAAAAAAACTTAGAAGAGTATTTAATGGTATTCTCACCATTATTACTCACCCCCCCACCCCCCACCCCCCGTTAGCCTCAAATTCCACCGTTTCTGTGTTCTCATGTAAATCCTGTGAGTGTAAAATCCCGGTGGAAAACAGGCAAATCAGAACAAAACAGACTCTGACATTCCACTGTCAGGGTTCTGCCACTCTGGTCATGTAAATTCTTGTTTTGGTGGCAGAATCCGGACACTAGTCATGTCTAATCCTGTCCTGTTGTGCTCGGCTCGAGATTTCTTGGGTCGAGCACTTGTTTCTGTCACTGTGTGTGTCTCCGTGTGTGCGCGCGCCTTCGTGGGTGTGCGCAGAGCGTGCGTGCTCCCCTTTGATGCGGCCACACAGGCTCTGCGTGCCTCCGACGCGCGCGCTATTGTACTCGTGTTTGTGTTTTCGTCTGTCTGCAGCGTGGTGTTTCATTCCCAGCGTCTCAGTCTAGTTGGTTTCGGTTTTGGTCGGCGCTGGGATGAAACATGCACGCTGCCTGTGTGAGTGCACGGTGAGTGCTTTTCTTCATCGTGTACTCGTGTCTTGCGTTCAATCTTCTGTTGGTGTTGTGTCTAGAGTTCTCTCATTGGCTGCGTGTTCTAGTCTCTTTATGTGAGCGCATGGCTTGTGTTGTCTCCCTGTGTCATGCGCTCTCCCGTCTATTGTCTAGTCCCACCCTCCTTGTTAACTCATTATTAGTTTGTCATGTTCACCTGTTTGTGTCAATTTTCTTTTGCTTTATAATCCCCTCATGTTTTCTGTCCTGTGCCAGTTCGTCGTCGATATTACTCTGTCTTGTTTGCTTTGTCCTGCCAGCCCTGTCAAGTTTGTTTTTGCCTTTTATTCATGTTTTCCCCCTCGGAATAGTTTTGTTTTGCCTTTTATTTTTATTTGTATTTTATAATAAATCCTACATTTCTGCAATTGGGTCTTCACTCCTTTTTCCCCTCATCGACCGTGACATTCCACATAGGATTATTAATATGCATGCCACAGGCTATGTTCGATTTTCCACAGCGTTACCTAATAAGATTACAAGTTTATCTAAACTTATCTAAACTAATTATAATTACTATGTATGTGAGACTGTGTATGAGCATATTTATATTAGGTTGTTCATTTTAAAACTACTTTAATATTATATTAATAATATATAAGTACATAAAACCACATTAATATCAATATTACTATTATTAATAAAACTGCAGGCTGTTTTTACATTCATTAGATGTCATGAAAATTAAGCTTTTATCAGGGAAAAAATCTGGGAATTTGATATTTGGCTTAAAGTGGGAGCCTTGTATGTAGCACCATGGATGCACCAGCTATATGCAATTGACATGCTTAAATTTGACTGGTGATCATATTGGTCATCATGGAAATGATCTACATGACTGTTGTTGAATTTTCAGTGCTATTCCCTCTGAGAGTTTTCCACATCCATCTGACTTTTATTGGATTGCGGTCTCACACTAATTCATTTAGAAAATCTGCCTGCAGAAAAAAGCAGATAAATGATCCTTCCTACCATATCCATGGCAAATACGGCAGCGTGGAGTGCGGTCAGAGATGGCGTCCTCAGATGAGGATCATGAAGCATCGAGGGCAGAAGCTCCGTCAGCTCTCTGGTCCACATCTGCACTCCCTGCTGCCACACGGCGTCCAAACGCTCCCCTGTCACATCATGATACGCTCCAGCCAGAGTGGCCAGCGGCTCTGCAGGAAATTAAACCTACAATAACACTAATACACACTGACAGGCATTTTCCAGGGAAAGGTGCTGACATGACACCACAGTTGTGCTGCTGCATAATTGCGACTGGTTTGCACATGCTTATGCGATGATGCGACTACAACGATGTCAAGACCAGTTAAAGATAATGTGACATAAACTGGCGCAAAACTAAGAACATTTAACCCTCCTGTTGTCTTGGAACACTGTTCGCCCTTAGGGTCAAAAATCACCCCTCTTCACTAAACCTCTAAAACAAAGCTGTAAAATTTGATTACATTCCTTTAAAAAAAAAAGGAACAACCTCATCTTCATCACAAAACCTGACAAATGTCTTGACTATCCACGTTTTAGGAACAACTAATAATAACTTGAATTCCAGTTGATCATTTGGTATCAGAAGTGGCTTTTATGAAAGGCGAATGCCTTTAGATTACGCTTATTTGACCAAAATAAAATATGATCATGTCTTGATTTTTAATGATTTAATTAGGACAGTAATGTCTGACATTACTTAGATAAAAGCCTTGTCGGTAAACAGAAATAATGTCCAGTATAGAATATAAAGTCATGGAGCCGTGGAAAAATAATGAATATTGTGTATGATTCCCATGAGCTTGGAGGACTGCATCCATACAGCTCTGCAATGACTCAAATGACTTATTAATAAGGTCATATGGAATGGCAAAGCGTTCTTGCAGGACTCTCAGAGCTCATCAAGATTCTCTGGATCCATCTTCAATGGCTTCTCCTTCATCTTACCCCACACATGCACAATAATGTTCATGTCTGGTGACTGGGCTGGCCGATCTTGGATCCTTCTTTGTTTTCAGGAACTTTCACATGTAGACTGAAGTATGAGAAGGAGCGCTATCCTGCTGAAGAATTTGCCCTCTCCTGTGGTTTGTAATGTAACGGGCAGCACAAATGTCTCGATACCTCAGGCTGTTGATGTTGCCATCCACTCTGCAGATCTCTCGGACACCGCCATACTGAATGTAAACCCAAACCATGATTTTTCCTTTACCTAACTTTATTGATTTACACATCAATCTGATGTCAGGTTGACGTCCTGTGCTTGCTGGGTGACCTTTGTTGGATTTTTAGGAATTTTTTAAAACTTTTATTTTGATACCCCCACTTATTCAGAGTCTGAACACTAGAATTTGAATTTTAGAAGTTGAATCTGACTAGCTATCGGGACCTGATTGTTTTTGCTGCCGTTCATGCCGCCATCTTCTTTTCTCTCAAAGAAGCAGATTTTTACTGTGTGTGTGTGTATGTGTGTATTTGAAGGGTGTGTGTGTTGGAGTGTGCATGTGTTGCCAGTAGTTTTAGAGGTGGTAAAATAGTTTTATAACTAGTGGATCAAAATTGACCAAAATGACATACGTTACACCCTAAACTTATTTTACTAATAAAGAGAGTAAACCCCTCTCCTTCAAGGGCCATGAAAACCCCCACTTTCAGTTCAGGTCTACCTCAGATTTTTTTCAAAAGATGCATCATAATGGGTGTGGAGCTCCACGAGCAAAGGGCAGGAGTGGGCGTGGCCAGCAGGGGAGAAGGAGGGGAGTAAACAACTGTTGTCAGTCGGCTCACAAAATGAGACACAAACCGTGAAGAGACGCATGATTTTATAGTTTACAAAGTTTAAATGCAAAGAAAAAAACTTTAATTTAATGCCCTGCTACATTTATTATTCGTAATTTCATAAACAGATAACCACAATCTATATAATTATTAAGATAATCGTGTTTACATAAACACTATAAATGAGGACTTTTCCCTCAATCCTTAAGTCTGAATGCAGACTCAGTGCAGCAGGTCTCTTGCCTTGCCTATTTTAACCATTAGCCCTGCTGGTAATCTGGACGATTTAGGCAAACACAGCAGCACGGCGATGTGTCTAAATGTGAACGAACTCCTGATCTCCAAACTTCTCCAATTCTCTAACTGCTCTCTCGACAAAAATGCTTGCTGCACACAAACACCTTTGCTGTATCGGCCCTGACAGCATCGCAGGGAATAACATGCAACAAACCCCGTGGATCATGGAAATAAACACATACGAGCCTTCATGAACAGCTAAATACTGTGTGCCGTGGGTCTATGGATCCGGTCTCATCCAGTCATCAACGTGTCTCACAGCTTGGCACTGGCAGGTCTGTCTTGCCTTCGGAAAGCACGTGCAGTCATGAATATTTAAGAAGCCGGCTCTTCTCATAGGATAATAAAACTCCGCTATGAATAGTAATGAGAAACTGGCGCGTCATCTTTGCACTTCCAGTTTTGCAATACGTTGCCGATTTTGATCCCGCCCCAAAAATCATTTTAAACCCAGAAGCTGAAATTAGCTGACAAAAGCTCCAAATTATCCAGTTATCCCCACAGTTAAAGCTGACTGGTGCTAACATTGTCTTAAGGGATGCTCAACACAACCAAATCTGTTAACGTCTCAAAAAAAGTGTTTGAGGGTTTCATGAACCTTTAAATGCAACAAGTTGACTTTACTTAAAAACATGAGTAAACTCATTGTAACTTGAAATATTTACATTGATTTAACTTTAGTTTTTATAATCCCGCACATACTTCATTTACTTACAAATTTTAAGTTTTAACATGCAAGTTTACTCACTTTTTTTAAAGTAAAGTCAACTAATCATTTTTGCAGTGTGCTGTTAAAATGGTGCCCAGTCATTTTTGGACAGGCAAGTCAACAGGAGGGTTAAACGTGTTTTGGGGTTTTAGAAAAAACTAAAGATGTGTTTTTTCTGTCTGTCACCCCAAGTGACAGTTGATCATGAAATCAACAATACAAATGAATGATCTTTGGGTAAACTCACTCCGGAGCTCTTGCTGGACTTGCTGAGACATGAGATGCAGGAGCTGGAGTGCGTTTGGCAGGCTGTGTGTGAGTGTGTGTCGGAGCGGGCCGGTGGTCCAGGCTTTCCACAGCACCGCTGATCTCTCCAGCAGGGTCTCAGCTCTCTGGGTCAGAGACAGCGGCCATGCACTCAGCTCCAGCAGAAACACACTGTCTCCTGCCTAGAAGATAGATAGCACTGCTATAGATGATGAGAACCATGATATCTTTTTTATTGTCTAAACAACTGGTCACACTCAACTGAATTTGTTTAAAACGTTCTGATTAAAAGGTTATGCTTTAGATTTTTTGTACACAAATCTACAGTTTTGTTTGTGTTTTTAGATGAGATGGACAAAACAGTCCAGCGTATGTGGAAACTTCTTCAGTTGTTTTTTGAAAAGCATCCCAGGATACATTTTATGAAGTTGATTAAAAAATATATACACACACACACACACACACACACACACACACACACACACACACACTAAATATATATATATATATATATATATATATATATATATATATATATATATATATATATATATATATATATGTATGTATATATATATATATATATATATATATATATATATATATATATATATATACATATATATATATATATACACACACTCACCGACCACTTTCTTAGGTAACGTGTTTTAGTACCTGGTTGGACCCCCTTTTGTTTTCAGAACTGCCTTAATCCTTCGTGGCAGAGATTCAACAAGATACTAGAAAATTCCTCAGAGATTTTGGTCCATATTGGCATGATAGCATCACACAGTTGCTGCAATGTCAGCTGCACATCCATGATGTGAATCTCTTATTTCACCACATCTCAAAGGTGCTCTGTTGGATTGAGATCTGGTGAATGTGGAGGACATTTGAGTACAGTGCACTCATTGTCATGTTCAAGAAACCAGTCTGAGATGATTTGGGCTTTATGAAATGGCGTGTGATCCTGCTGGAAGTAGCCATCAAAAGATGGGTACACTATGGTCATAAAGGGATGGACTTGGTCAATACTCAGGTAGGTTGTTGCATTGACACAATACTTAATTGGTACTAATGGGCCCAAAGTGTGCCAAGAAAATATCCCCCACACCATTACACCACCACCACCAGCCTGAACCGTTGATACAAGGCAGGATAGATCAATATTTTCATGTTGTTAACAATAAAATTCTGACCCAAACATTCGAATGTTGGAGCAGAAATCGAGACTCATCAGACCAGGCAACGTTTTTCCAATTTTCTATTGTTCAATTTTGGTGAGCCTGTGCAAATTGTAGCCTCAGTTTCCTGTTCTTAGCTGACAGGAGTGGCACCTGATGTGGTCTTCTGCTGCTGTAACCCATCCGCTTCAAGGTTCCGCATGTTGTGTGTTCAGAGATCCTCTTCTGCATGCCTCAGTTGTAACGAGTGGTTATTTGAGTTACTGTTGACTTTCTATCAACTCAAACCAGTCTGGCCATTCTCCTCTGACCTCTGGCATTTAAACACAGAACTGCTGCTCACTGGATATTTTCTTTTTCAGACCATGACCACAGAGTAACCATTATCCGATGGCTACTTCCAACAGGATAACCTCTCAGACTGGCTTTTTAAACGTGTCAATGAGTTCACTGTACTCATATGGCCTCCACAGTCACCAGAACTCAATCCAATAGAGCACCTTCGGGATGTGGTGAAATGGGAGATTCATATCATTCAATCTGCAGCAACTGTGTGATGCTATCACGTCAATATGGACCAAAATCTCTAAGGAATATTTCCAGAATCTATGTCACAAAGGATTAAGGCAGTTCTGAAGGCAAAAGTTGGTCCAACCTGGTGCTAGTAAGGTGTCCCAAATAAAGTGGCCGGTGAGTGTAACTTGACTATACTATTATGTATACTCTTTTAAGTCTATTGCCTACAGTGAAGTAATTATATAATTTCCTAATATTATTTATTATTATTCTATATTCGTAAACGGCAAAGCAAATATAGTGGAATGTCTTTTGTGATCCACTGTAAACTGAACAAAGTTACACAGGTTTAAAACGAGTGTCAGCAAGTTACCCTTTGATGCAGTTGCAATATGCCTGTGAGATATAACAAACCTGTCTTCTAAACGTTAACAGAAGATGCTGAAGTCTCTGAAATCTGTCAAACAGTTTATTCCTTATCCGGGACCCCAGCTGCTGGAGCCGTGCCTGTAGAGATATAGTATCAAACCAGGCATGATGTTTTACAAGGTATCTGACAGATTTATATTATGCATGTTTTATATTATGCAACGCTGTAACTTGTTGCTGTCCTCACCTCCGCAGCCCACAGGCAATCCCCGCATCCCTTGGCTCCAAACAGCAGACTCTGATTGGCTGCTCCAACAGAAATAAGGGCAAGGGTCTCGTTCTCAATGCCAGCACCACCCCTCTGGGCCTCCAGGGTGAACCAGTGATGCCCCTCCGAACAGAGCAACAATCTGAGGTCATCAGACGTTTCTGAAGGAAAAATAATAATAATAATAATAATAATAAATATAGCTGCAAGCAGCAATTAAGGGGCCAAGCACTTTTGACCAAAAGGTGGCGCTGCTCCAGAAGTTTTTAAGGACTTTCAGGGCATGGGGTTGAAGATGCATACCATGTTTTGTAATGATATGTGAATGTATTGGTATAATATAGCATTTTTGACCAAAAATCGAAATGGTCGATGCCCAAAATGGCTGACCTGTAAAAATCAGACATCACTCGGCTCAACATGCTCTGGCGGATGTAATGAGAGCAGTTTTATGAGTTTCAGACGAAAGGTTGAGGCGTTATAAAACAAAAAAGCAAGTTTTTTGTATCTCCGGACCACTAGGGGGCAGTGCGCCGAAACTCTGCATATAGCCTCAAACCCTAGTTGTCATAACACACACCAAGTTTGGTGTGAATTGGTGAATGCGTTACGGAGATATCGTCTCAAGTCCATCTTTGCAAGTTCTACATTAAACTTGATTGCAAGTTAAACAAAAACGGTTGGTCAAATCAACTTGAATTCCATAACTTTTGGTTGGCATGGTCTGTAGATCATGTGATTCAATTTTGGTGATAATCGGAGAAACGGCCTAGGACGAGTTCGATCAAATAGGTTTTTCGAATAATTTAAAATAGCGCGAAAAAATTCATGACGGAAAATGACGTCATAGGGTGCGTTTGAATCGGACTGAGCCAAGGAATCAGGGGGGGAAAGAATTTTGATTGTAGCCCATTTGGTTCAAAAGTTATCATGATAAACATACATGAACGTTTGGACAAGTGGTGGCGCTAGAGAGTTTGATTTTGAGACTTCATATTTGGTATGATTATTGTTAATACTGTCCTCTATCATTGTGCCAGATGCTTACCATGTTTTGTAATGATATGTGAATATGTTGGTAAAATATAGCATTTTTAGCCAAAAATGGCTGACCTGTGAAAATCAGACATCATTCGACTCGACATGCTCTGCCGGATGTAATGACACCAGTTTTATGAGTTTGGGACGAAAGGTTGAGACGTTATAAGCCAAAAAGCAAGTTTTTTGTATCTCCGGACCACTAGGGGGCAGTACGCCGAAACTCTGCATGTTACCTCAGACCCTAGTTGTCATAACACACACCAAGTTTGGTGTGAATCGGTGAATGCGTTACGGAGATATCGTCTCAAGTCCATTTTCGCAAGTCCTTTGTTAAATTTGATCGCAAGTAAAACAAAAACGGTTGGTCAAATCAACTTGAATTCCATAACTTTTGGTTGGCATGGCCTGTAGATCATGTGATTAAATTTTGGTGATAATCAGAGAAACGGCCTAGGACGAGTTCGACCAAATAGGTTTTTCGAATAATTTAAAATAGCGCGAAAAAATTAATGACGGAAAATGACCTCATAGGGTGCGTTTGAATTGGACTGAGCCAAGGAATCAGAGAAAAAAAGAAATTTGATTGTAGCCCATCCTGTTCAAAAGTTATGATGATAAACGTATGTGAAAGTTTGGACAAGTGGTGGCGCTAGAGAGTTGGATTTTAAGACTTCATGTTTGGTCTGATTAATGTTAATACTGTCCTCTATCATTGTGCCAAATTATACAACTTTCTCGCATACGCCTATATGGACTGCCATTCAAATCCGGCGGAAGAAACGGAAGAAGAAGAAGAACACTAACGAAAGCAATAGGTGCCTACGCACCTACGGTGCTTGGCCCCTAATAATATATATATATATATATATATATATATATATATATATATATATATATATATATATATATATATATATATATATATATACACACACACACACACACACACACACATACACATACACAGACACACACACACATCCATGTGAATGGTCAAAACTGAGTGAATTAATATTCAAAAAAATTCCAAATATGGTCAAAATCAATTTAGGGGTACTTCTTGTGTTTATAAATGAGCAAATAAAACCTATTTATAGACAATCTTTGCACTTACCTATGCCACATACCTACTATCTACCATACCACTTGTCATAATACCTTGGCTTATATGATACCTTAAATAACATTATAGTACCTTATATAATACACCTTTTTTGACACTTTATATTGTATATAGAGTCACTTATATATAATATGCCACTATATCTTGCAGTAATATGTCTTAACATGACATTTAAACACTTAATATATAAATATAAATACATTTATAATCAAAACTCTGTCTTGTGGGAAGCTAAAACATAATGCAATATACTGTAATATAGTGATGATTTTAAAAGGAACACATCCTGTAACTTGTCTGGTCTTTTACATTCTTTTTTTTTTTTTTTTTTTTTTTTTTATTGTGTTTTTGACAAAAGGTACAGTACATTAAAGGTATTCAATTACAAAGGTATTTTCGTTTTTTCTTTTTTTTTTTGAACCATACATAAATTGAACAAAAAAAAGACAAATTGACATAATAAAAAAAAATAAATAAATAAATAAAAAAATAATAAAAATAAAAAAAATTGATGAAAAGGAAATGCATTAAATAAAAAATATATTAATAATAATAAAAATGAAAATAAAATAAATTTACAGAAAAAATAAATAATTGAAAAAATAAATAAATAAGTAAATTAAAAAAAAAAAAAAGAAAAAAAAAAAAGAAAAAAAAAGGTGGGTGGGGGTGGGGTTGGGAATTTATGGTTGGAGGAGTACATTAGTCTCAATATGAATTATTAGAGGGTCCCATGTTTTGAAAAATTTTTTGGTTGATCCTCTGAGAAAATATTTAATTTTTTCTGTTTTCAAAAATAGCATTACATCACTAAGCCAAAGTGACAGTTTAGGTGGCATTGGTGATTTCCACTCCATAAGAATTCTTCTTCTAGCTATTAATGTTACAAAGGCAAAGGCGTTTTCTATTTCTTTAGCTAAATGGATGTCCTCATTTGTTACTCCAAAAATAGCCATTTCCGGATTTGGTTGAATTCTTAAATTGAAGGCTGAGTTTAAAATTTCAAATATTGAAGACCAAAATCGTCTCAGTTTGTCACATGACCAGAACATATGGGTCAGGTCTGCCTTGCATGAGTTGCAACGATCGCATGTTTCATCTATATTGGGGTAGATTTTGGCCAGTTTGGTTTTGCTGTAGTGAATACAGTAAAGAATTTTCATCTGAATCAGATTAAGACGTGCACATGATGAAGTCTTGTTTATAATTTTAACTGCTTTATCCCAAGTTTCTTCAGAAATATTAATTCCTAGTTCTTCTATCCATTCCGTTTTAATCTTCTCTAATGTTGTATTATGGAATGTCATAATGAGGTTATACATTTTGGAAATGAGACCTTTGGGGTGTACAGGGGTCTTTAAAATTAGATCCAGTCCAGATTCAGCAGGCATTTGAGGGAATACAGAGCACTGGGTCTGAACAAAGTAGCGAACCTGGAGGTATCGAAAAAAGTCTGATTTTTGAAGATTAAATTTTTTACTCATGTCATTGAAATTGGCAAAAATATTATCAATGAAAAAATCTCTACATGTAAGTATGCCCAGGTCCTGCCATTTCTTAAAAGTAGCATCTAGGTTGGCTGCTGGAAAAAGATGATTATTGCATATGGGGGTTTCTAAAGAAAAGTCTTGGAATTGAAGTGCTTGTCTAAATTGGTTATATATTTTGAGGGTCGAAATTACCACTGGACTCGAAGAATATTGTGATGGTGAGAAAGGTGTCTTCATTGTAATAAGTGCTGGTAGGGAAGTTGATTTGCAAGACTTAGCTTCTGCTTCACACCATTCTGTATGTGGGAACTTTAACCAATAGATTATTTTCTGTAAATTTGCTGCCCAATAGTAGTTTAACAGATTTGGAAGAGCCAGTCCTCCATCTCCTTTAGGTCTTTCAAGAAAGTCTCTGCGTATTCTTGGCTTTTTGCCACCCCATATAAAGGAAGACAGTAGTCTATTGGTCGACTGAAAAAAAGATTTTGGCAAGAAAATTGGGAGGCTTTGAAATAAGTACAATAATCTGGGTAGTACATTCATTTTAACACAATTGACTTTACCTGCTAAAGACAAATAAATAACATTCCATCTTTGGAAATCTAATTCTAGTTTTTTAAGTATAGGACTATAATTTGCTTTGAATAAATCTGTGTATGAACGGGTAATATTAATTCCTAAGTATTTAAATCCCGATTTGGAGAAACAGAAGGGTAAGTCAGTATCTGCAATTTTAACTGCCATATTATTTATAGGGAAGCATATACTTTTAGAGAAGTTTAATTTATAACCTGAAAAATTACCGAATTCTTTTAATATTTTATCAATTTCAGAGATGCATGATAGTGGGTCAGTTATATATAATAACAAATCATCAGCATACAAAGAGACTTTATACTCTACACCCCTTCTTTTAATACCCCTGATGGATTGTGATGATTTGAGTATTGTTGACAATGGTTCTATAGCCAAAATAAATAGCAAAGGGCTAAGGGGGCATCCTTGTCGTGTTCCTCTAGACAAGGAGAAATATTGAGACACTATTTTATTAGTGAGTACGGCTGCTTTTGGTTGATGATAAAGCAAGCGTATCCAAGAAATAAATTTTGAGCCGAATTCGAATTTGTGCATTACAGCAAATAAGTATTTCCACTCGACTCTGTCGAATGCCTTCTCTGCATCTAGAGAGATAATCACTTCAGGACTATCCTCTGATGCAGGAGAGTGCACAACATTGAGGAGGTTTCTGATGTTAATGAATGAGTGGCGTCCCTTTATAAAGCCTGTCTGGTTTTGTGAAATTATTTCTGGTATTATGTTCTCTATTCTTGAGGCTAACAATTTAGATAGAATTTTGACGTCAACATTTAGTAAGGAAATAGGTCTATAAGAGCTACAGTAAAGGGCATCTTTATCTGGTTTCAGGAGAACTGTAATATGGGCCTGTGTAAGGGTTGGAGGTAATTTGGTTTGTTCAAACGAGTGGTTAAACATATTTAACAGTAAAGGGCATATTTGTGAGGAAAATTTTTTGTAAAACTCAATGGGAAATCCATCTGGTCCAGGGGTTTTACTACTCTGCATAGCTTTAATTGAATTTTCCACTTCTTGAAGTTGTAAAGGTTCATCCATGTTCTTTCTTTGATCCATTTTAACAGTGGGTAGATTAATATTAGATAAAAATGTTGACATGGGACTGTCTTCTTGTGGGAATTCTGAGGTGTACAGGTTAGAGTAATATTTATAAAAAATATTATTTATTTCTTGTGGGTCTACTGTAATGTCTTGTTTTGTATTCTTAATCTTTGGGATGACCTGAGATGCCGATTTACTTTTTAATTGTTGGGCGAGAAGACGGCCTGCTTTATCGCCGTGTTCATAAAATCTAGCACGTGCAAAAAATAAGTTACGTTCTGTTTTTTCAGTTGATAATAATTCATATTTTGTCTTTAAACTAAGTTTTTCTCTATACAGTTCGGGTGTTGGGGTATCAGCATACTGGCGATCGATTTTCTGTATTGATTCAATAAGTTTCTCCTCAGTTTGTTTCCTCTCCTTATTACGCGAGGTTGAGTATGATATTATTTCTCCCCTTATTACCGCCTTAAACGTTTCCCATAATAGTGATGGTGATATCGAGTCTGATTTATTATTTATTAAAAAATTGTCAATTGCACGAGATATGAATTTGCAAAAGTTTGAGTCTGAGAGTAAGGTTGTGTTTAGCTTCCATACTGGTCTTGTTGTATAGTTATATGAAAAACAAATATCAAAAATTACAGGGGCATGATCGGATTCAATAATAGTTGAGTATTCTATGTTTTTTATTGCCGGGATAAGTCTTTTATCAGCAAAAAAATAATCTATCCGCGAATACGTCTGGTGAACATGTGAAAAACATGAGAATACCTTTTTATCTGGAAATAAAAACCTCCATGGATCTATGCAGCCAATCTGATTCATATATCCGGCAAATATTTGAGACATTTTTAAAAGAGGTACAATTTTAGGGTTGGAACGGTCCATAGTTGTATCCATTACACAATTCAGATCTCCACCAAGTATGAGATGGAAAGAGTTTAAATCTGGTAACAAGGAAAAAAGTTTTTTCACAAAGTTAACGTCATCCCAGTTGGGTGCGTAGACACTGACCAAGACAACTGGTACCTCAAAAAGGTGCCCGGATACAATAATATATCGTCCTTGAGGGTCTGAAATAGTTTCAGATGCAATGAATTGTATTTTTTTGTGGATTATGATTGCAGCTCCCCTTGTTCTGTGATTAAAGCTGGAGTGATAAATCTGACCAACCCAATTTTTCCTAAGTCGATTATGGTCTTCAACACGCAAGTGAGTTTCCTGTAGAAAGGCTATTTCTGTTTTTAATTTTTTAATATGTGTAAATATGCGAGTTCTTTTCACTGGTCCGTTTAACCCTCTAACATTCCAGCTAACAAAGCGTACTGCTGAACTTTTTGTGTTTTCCTTATCGCCTGTGTTTGCCATTTTTATTCAACAGCTATGTACCCAAACTTTGTATATTGGGTGTGGGTTGGGGAGTTGGGGGGAGAGAAAGAAAAAAAAAAAAAAAAAAAAAAAAAAAAAAGAAGAAAAAAAATTATAATAAAAATAACGACATAACGTGGTTGAATCTTGGTAAACAACAAAAACTATAATACAATCTAGATTTGCCCTTTGAACAATGACAAACCGCAGTTCACAAACTTCTCTCTGCTCCCGATATTCCAAGTCTATGTGCTTCTATTCTCCTCAAAGCTCCCAAAGTAATATAAGTTAGGCATAAAGTGACCAATCAAACTTACAAATAAATGTGTTTAAGTACCGTTAATAAATACAGTGCTGCATAATAGAAATAAATAAAAATAAAGTATCTGCAGATCTTAAATAATAATAAGACACGTTTCCCTTAATAATAAAGTTAGATAAAACATATCTCAACTTACTGCAGAATTGTTCAACGCGGATATCTATTTATATTAAACAATCTGCATAGCAGCCCAGTTAAATATATTATGTATCTTACAAGTTCAGTGTCTGAAAGTCAACGTGATCCTTCATCAGTTCACAGTGTTTGTGAAGTCAAGAGTTATCATGTGTAGCAATCCGCTGGTCGAAAAATTGCTGCGCTTTCTCTGGCGTATCGAAAAGGAAAGTTTGTTCTTCATAATGAACTCGTAGCCGTGCAGGATGCAGTAACTGGAATCGTACCTTTTTTTGATACAGCAGTTGTTTGACATCTTTGAACATGGCACGCTTTCTGGCGAGATCGGCGGAGATGTCAGGATAAATCCTCAAAGTCGAGCCCTTGTATTTTACCTCATTCTGCCTGGCCCATCTTAGTGCTTTTTCTTTCTCTTGAAATCTGTGAAAACACACGACAAGTGGTCGAGGAGGTCGGCCATCCTGTGGTTTTGGACCGAGCGAACGGTGTGCTCGTTCCAATTCTGGAGGTTTTTCGAAGACTTCTTCACCCATGATTTCCATTAGCATCTCGGACACAAATTTAACAGTCGGCTGACCTTTCTCGCTGTTCTCCGGGATATTTAAAATCCTGAGATTTGCTCTCCGCGACCGGTTTTCCAAGTCGTCCACTCGATCCAATAGTGTCGTGTTTTGCTCTTTCAGGGCTTTAATAGTTTTTTCGGCCGCAGCCAGCGCTGAAAAGTTTTCGCTCGCGAGTGTCTCTGTGGCGCATAAGCGAGACTGGAAACTCGCCATCGTTTCCGTCAAGGCATTGACCGATGTCTGAAGAGACACTATTGATTCTTGAATCAGAGCTGAGATGTCTTCTTTTATCGAGGTTCGTTGCTTTGTTAGTTCTGCTACGAGTTGGCTCATTGTTACGCCGTTATCGTCTTCTTGGGTTTCTTCGGATTTGGCCGCGGTAGCCATCGTGGCTAATTTGCTAGCCACGCTGGTTCTCGTCGTTGGCGGGGCATTTGCGGCTGATTTATTCTTGCTCATCATGTAGTCTCGACACGTTCGTGTTAAGCACTGTTTTAACACTTAAAAAAAAACGTTTTAGATTATTTAAATGCCACTATTTAAAGTTATATTATCAGAAATGATCGGGAGCTCTGTTGATAGGCGTCGTCTTCTCACATTGCCAAACCGGAAGTCGTCTTTTACATTCTTAAACAAAATTGGGTCACACTTTACAATAAGGTTTCATTAGTTTAATGTTTTTGCTAACATGAACTAACTATGAACACTGTACATCATTTATCAATCATAGTTTAGCATTTACTAATGCTTTATTAACAGTTAAACTCCGCGAACATGGTACTGGGTCAGTGACTTCATCGACTTTTACTTTAAGATTTAAAGGGCTAGCATTGCAGACCCCATTAAGTGGTGGCGTTTGAAAGTGTGGAATGTATATTTTATGCACATATGCATCACTTTGGGTTTTTTTCTACTGTACAAAAGTTATTTACACTTAAATACACAGTATTTTGGATACCCGAGCTAGGTATTTTACATTGGTTAATTTTCATATTTTTCATATGACACATGTACAAGTTATAGCTCTAATGAAAGCTCTTGCCGGTGCTCATACGGTTCTAGCATTCTTTTTACTGAATTATATTCACATATCAAACAGTTGCGAATGAATCGCGGTGTTTCCTTGGCGCAAAGGTGAAAACAATACATTTATGATCAATAAGCAGCCCCAGATAGCACAGACAGCTGTTATCTCTTACCTTATGCAGTGCGCTTCAGGGCCATTTCTACTCTGTTTTTGAGGTGATGTGCATTATGTGTCTGATGTGGTCCAAACACAGTGAATTATGTGAATTAAAAGAATAGTGAAATATGAACACAATGATCGATCCCTGTGGCTTGTATAGCACCTCTCATCAGTTGGAATACAATAACTTTTGCATAGATTATGGTGGAGACATTTTTCTTTTTTCCAATGATTACAGACATGTGCAGGAACCACCAAAATTAACTACAGCACCCTAGACCACACAGAACCTAAAAGGTACACTTTCAAATTTGATTTTATAAAAAAAAATATATAAAAAGCACCTCTTTTTTAGGTGTTTATTATAATACAGACAACATATACAGATATTTTAAACACTCTCAATAGTGTTTTATGAAAATACAAAGGGTTTTCTTTAAAATGAGACCAAATTTTTGCATTTACACCTCTGCATGTGGATTTGGGAAGCTTTTAAATTTGGGTAGGCAAAATCCAGGCGGAAATCCTAAAATAACAGCAGAGTTTAACTGGTTAACATCCAAATTCACGCTAGTTAACATTAGTTAATGCACCATGAGTTAACATGAACTAACAATAAACAATTATATTTTCATTAACTAACATGAATAAATGTATTATTCATTGTTTGTTCATGTTAGTAAATTCATTTACTATTAACTAATACAACCTTATTGTTAAAGTGTTATCAATGCTTCTGCAGTCATCTTAGATTTATCTTAAAAACATTTCCCAGCATAAAAACGATATGGTTATGATATATTTTAGAGGCCTTAAAATGTAGTATATTTCATAGAGTTAACTAGAATCATTACCAGTGTGGTATCCAGCAGCAGCTCGTAGGCAGCGTTTTCCCAGCGCCCCCTGCAGCCAGAGCAACTCGCTGCGGTCTAGTTTTGCATGAACCTGGACCGCCACACTCCTTCCTGAAACCATGGAACTGCTGGCCAATTCCACACTCCAGTTTCCTACCTGCCACTGTAAATCACACACATTTGTTTTCTATCATGGTGAGGAAATTCCACAGGCTTTTACAGTTTTACAGTACTGAAACTACATTTTGAACACATCAGAAATACATTTAAAGTGCCCATTTATTCTTTTTGAATGTGAAGTACCCCTATATTTTAATGTAAAGTGCTCTATTATGATTGTGAAAAAGATCTAAGTGTACAATATATAAAGTTATCGTCTTCCAAATAAAGAACAGACCCTCTTTCCCCACCCATGAAGGGGTATAAGTCTGTTTAGGTCTGTTTAAATGGATTTTTCATCAGTTTAACATCTATATTGTGTTAAATGAGGCAATAAACACATGTATATGCCTTAATATAAGTGTTTGATGCACATTTATATATTGTGTCATATGACTCCCCTCTGAAAAGATGCCAATAATGCATCCAGTTATGTTGAGGTTGATATTCACTTCTGTACTTTCATACGCTTTAAAAATGAAACATTTTCTAAATACATCTCTATCGCTTTTTTTATTTTTCTTATTTGTTATTGTCTTCCAAATAAAGAACCGGGTGTTTATGTCAATATTTTGGTAACACTTTAGAATAATTATCCGTTATAACTAGTTAATAGACCATTAATAAACTGTTAGTTAACAAATTTTAAATGACTTGTTAAATAAAAGTTAATAGTTTGTTAATTATTTACAACTGTGCCTTATAGATGGGCAATGGATAACTTACAAGCTGTTAGTTAACAAGTTGTAAATGACTTCTTAACTGTATTTGAATGATTTATAAATATACCTCATAAATTATTAAAAGATCATGAACAAGCTGTTAGTAAATTACTTAATAAAGACTTGTTAAGTATCAGTTATGGTGTGTATATGTTATTGGGACGTTATTCTAAAGTTGCAGCTATTTTTCATTAATTAACTTTTAGTAAATGAGGAATAGTTGCAACTTTAGAATAACGTCCCAATAACATGCTTAAGCTAACAACTAACACTTAACTATTATATTTACTCATACTTTACAGACGAGAGTTGATCGTTCATCGTTTGTTAACCATCTACTAATACCAGTGAATCTTTGTAGAACTGCAAATGGATGGAGTAAGTTCAAGCTACAGAAATTTGATGTGATATTTAAAATATAAAATGTTTGTTTCGAAATTTTGTTCCACTTATAGGCTTTTCTGTGTGCTGTGTTTTACCAAAGAAACTCCACAGATGAAATGTTAAACGTTGTGTTTAATGTATAGAAACACACATACTGAACCATCACATGGCAGTACAGCAGTATGCAAGAATACAAACCCATGAAGTGCTAAACATGGAAACAAAATAAATACAAATTTTAAATTACACCAGTGGTCTAATAAAAAAGTTTGACTGGTGTTATTAGATGGTGAACAACTGATCTGTAAAGTGTGAGTAAATATAATAGTTAAGTGATAGTTATTAGCTTAAGCATGTTATGGGGACGTTATTCTAAAGTTGCAACTATTCCTCATTTACTAACAATTAATAAATGAAGAATAGCTGCAACTTTAGAATAATGTCCCAATAACATATATACACTATTAACTGATACTTAACAAGCCTTTATTAAGTTATTTACTAACAGCTTGTTCATGATCTATTACTAATTGATTAGGTATATTTATAAATCATTCAAATACAGTTAAGAAGTCATTTACAACTTGTTAACTAACAGCTTGTAAGTTATCTATTAGCCATCTATAAGGCACAATTATAGATAATTAACAAACTATTAACTTTTGTTTAACAAGTCATGTATAACTTGTTAACTAACAGTTTATGAATGGTCTATTAACTAGTTATAACGGATAGTTATTCTAAAGTGTTACCAATATTTTTTATCAGTTTAACATGTATATTATGAAACTTGCAAACAAGTGAATGTAATGAAGCAACAAACATATGTAAATGGCTTAATATAAGTGTTTGATGCATGTTTATGCATCGTGTCATATCACTCTGCTCTTACTGTTATTTTTGACAAGTGAAAAGATGCCAATAAACTTGCAATTCTTTATGTAGAGGTTGATATTATTTCCTACTTGTGCTTTTCGCACACATTGAAGATGAAAAATTTAACCCAGGCTCATAAAATTGTAGCCCTATATATATATATTTCTGGAGAGGGGGGGGGGGGGGGTAAAAACTGCAAAATTCTCTAAATACATCACTGTTGGCGCCTTTTGTTGAGTAGTACTGTTATAAATAAAGAATAGATCCTGAAATGATTTGTCAATAAAGTTGTATTTTTAATTCCAGCACAAACCTAAATACAGTAACAAATTAGCATTATGCTTGTTTATAGTCTTGACAATGCTTTGACCTGCTCTCAAACTCTTCTTGCAGAAGTCTGGAAGTGTTTTGCTCCAAATGACAGCAAGACACTGTTTTCTGTGCGACAAAGGCAAATCTACTTCTCATTCATTCAGATGGTGAGAATGTTACGGCTTACGTAAAAAGAATGACACACTCATAGCATCTTATCTATAAAGTTAGACAAGCTCAATAAAAACTCACCACTGAGAAGCTTTCTGCTAGTCACGCTAGTTAGGGGTTCAAGTTGCAAAGCTACTTAATGTAATGCATCATTCTTGCACTCTGCCATGGTCAAATCGATCCCATAATTACTGTTTGCATCACAGCGTTCATGTGACTATTCTATACTACTATAAATGTTTCTCTGGACCACAAAACCAATCGTGCATTGTAAATGTGCTTTGGGTCAAAAATAATTTATTTTTTTGCTTTGTTTAGTTTTTGATAAAAATCATAATAATATTAAATTAGGATCATGTTAAGTTCATGTAAAATCATGTAAGTTTTCTACCACAAATACAACCCCAAATCAGAAAAAGTTGGGACAGTATGAAAACTTTGACTTGTATTTCATTGCAGACTATGTGAAAACAAAATATTTCATGTTTTATCTGGTCAACGTCATCTCATTTGTAAATATACATCCTTTCCTGCCATTCAGACCTCCAATACATTCCAAAAAAGTTAGGATATGAGCAGTTTATGGCTAGTAATCAGGTAAATTGGTTAAATAATGATGAAACAAAGCTAATAACCTTATCATTACTAGGGGTGTCAAAATTAATAGTTTCTTCGGTGCACCGCGATGCAGACGCGGACAATTCGGTATCGGTTCAGTAATAATCATAACCGGTTATTATGTACTAACATAGGACAATTTCACTGCGTGTGTGTGTTTTCTGGACAGTCTTTCACTGACACTTACAGCAGAAGCGCCTATTTGTCTGCGATTGAGGGAATGAAAGTGAACTCCATTTCTCTCTCTTTTTCTCTCTAACTGTAGCCCATTTCATCTGCTGGTGTGACTTTTCCTCTCGGCTGCTGTCGTGACTTTTCCTCTCAGCTGTTACAGCAATACTTCTGGATATAGGTCTGCATTCCCGGTACCCGACCAGGTTTCTTGCAGGACGGGAATAAATTTCGCAGTAAAGCACGGAAGAGGTCGGTAACTCTGGTGTAATTTGAACAGGAGTGGGCGGTCTCACAATATCGCTCCCGAGCAAGCAAGCGCGCACGTGCTAGTGTGTTTATTTGTTTGGTGCTGTTTATGTTTGTGTGTGAACAAGAGACAGCGTGATGCTGTGTATCTATGTGTGTGTTTATACACACAGCTTGTTATAGCCCACCCCCCACACACACAAAATATAACACTGTGTATGGAAAGCTTCGTCAATGCACCGTGATGCACCGAGATATCGAATTGAACCGAATCGATGGCATGATAATCGTAACTGAACCGAACAGCTAGACCAGTATAGCTTCACACCTCTAATCATTACCTATAAAATGAAACTTCTGAAACTTTGCATTTAAATGGTGCTGCAAATGTCAGTGTTTTTGCTGTAATTAATTTACAATAAGTTACTGGTGAACTCCTCCCAGTAAGTTACAGTAGATTCAGCAGGAAATTGTGAACAGCGTAGTTGAAACGGTGAAACTACTGAAATTCCTGCTGAAACTCAGTGTATTCAGAAGTGTGTGTGAGTACCTCAGTGAGCAGTGAGTAGTTGGAGCGCTGACTACTGCTGGTGTTTCTGAGGGACAGTGTGAAGGTGCTGTGCTGAGGATGTCCAGACACAGACACGCGGCTGTGAGTCAACAACATCTCCTTGCCGGAGTTCACTCTGTGAGATCCAGACCAAATTAAAGCCTGCGACAAAAGAAAATAAAATAAACAACAAAAAGTTTTTCATAAGTATTTTTTTTTATAAATGATATCCAGGCCCAACTTTTAATAATAATAGAGGGCTCTATTTGAATGATCTAGGCAAGAAGTCTAAGGCGCAGGGTGCAAACCCATTAAGGGTAACTCTGAAACCACTTTTGCTATTTTAAGGATAAAAATATATACTCTGCGCCACGGCTCATGGTCTAACAGGGTTGAGCTTATTCTCTTAATGAGTTATAGGTGTGTTTTGAGAATAAACCAATCAGAGTCTCATCTCCCATTCCCTTTAAGAGTCAGTTGCATTGCGCCATAGCGCATTTGCATTTGCACATTTACATGGAAGACTTTTTAAGTGGAAAAACTGAACGCTTTGCTAGCACGAAAACAGTTAAACAGAGCATCTACAGCGCGAGAATGAGAGATGAGCCTCCTCATTCTTTACTTTCGCTCTCGTGGATAGGAAAACGTGGTTTACGCACAGACATCCATTAGCCTATACATAATTAATTTAGTTTATTAAGGGCAAAGATTTGTTTTAAACTTTTTCTAAATTCAGTTCCAATTTCCAGCAAATGAATAAATGAACAATAATAATGAAGTGCGGTCAAAAATTATTTTTATACAAAACACACGTCCTGGTCTTATGCCCTATATACTGATGCATACATCTCCACAACCCAACAAGTGGATAAATCTAAACTTGTTTTTATGTTATTTATGTAGAAAATTATAATTTTTGTAACATTTTAATCCTTAATTTTATTCATATGTAAAGATATTTGTGTATTGTTGTACATTCTGTGTGTATTAAGCAATGTTTAAGCCTTTGGACTATATAGGACACATGTTTTAATAACAAGGCCGTGCAGACCGAGGAGACTGTATTGTCCCACTCTGGAAAAGTACCAGGATGGTACAGGTCAGGATGCCTTTTCAGTTACAGCTGCACAGGAGTGAAACTCTGTCCCTGGAGTAACCCCACCGGTCCTACGCCACCTAACCCGCTCCGAGCTGGTATCGAACCAGCAACCTTCCACATGGGAGTCGGGTGCTCTACCAAGGAGGCTAAAGACCATGGCCTTTAGCGTTTGTCACTAGAGCACCTTTAGATGTCAGAGGATTGAGGTTTACCTGCACAGCACTCACTAGCTGGCCTCCGTTACACTCACCCCCCTAAACCTCACCCCCATCCAGGGCACGACACCAATGGAACCCTGCCGGTCCTACCCCACCCAACCCACTCCGAGCTGGTATCGAACCAGCGACCTTCCACATGGGAGTCGGGTGCTCTACCAAGGAGGCTAAAGACCATGGCCTCTAGCATCTGTCACTAGAACACCTTTAGAGGTCAGAGGATCGAGGTTTACCTGCACAGCACTCACTAGCTGGCCTCCGTTACACTCACCCCCCTAAACCTCACTCCCATCCAGGGCACGACACCAATGGAACCCTGCCCGTCCTACCCCACCCAACCCGCTCCGAGCTGGTATCGAACCGGCAACCTTTCACATGGGAGTCGGGTGCTCTACCAAGGCGGCTAAAGACCATGACCTCTAGCGTCTGATGAGGTTCACTCACTAGCTAGCCTCCGCTACACTGGCAGCATTAGAGATTTTACCGCCTTTAATATGTTCAAAAAACATTTAAAAATCTGGTTTACAGACAATCAGACATGTCATCATTCCAATTAGAATGAACCTAGCATCTTGTATTGTTTTTTTTAGGTTGTTCAGGGACAACAGATGAAAAATAGCCTTCTGGCTAATTCTGGAAATGCTAATTAATGTACACTGTCCCTGCCAATTAAACAAATAAATAAATAGTTGATCTGTGAGTCATACAAATCACAACCCATGGTTCGGAACACACGTGGCCCATGGATTTATACATTTTTTCACTTGTAGATTAATCCTAAATTTGTAACGATTGCAGATAGAGATCGCCTCCCACATCATTCAAATCACATGTACGAAAGCATTTAAGCTTCCCAGTAAAATATAATGATGATGAAAGAAATTGTGGTAGGTTATTCGGCATGTGTTCTTAGGTTATAAAAAGTGTTTTCTGTCACTACTTGTTTGGCCTGCATTAATGCATTCAGTGCATCAATTATTTATTGATCATTTAATCATTAAAAGATCAGGATCTCAACACCCACGCAACATAAATTACAACTGATGGTGATTTGTATATGTTAATTAATCCTAAGATATTTATTCGTAAGTCTTTTGAGTTATAAAGTTGAGTTAGTGCAGAGTGCCAGAGGTTGATGCGGTGGTCTCTTATGGACGAAGAATACCATCTTGACATTCCCCATAAGAAAGGTTCAGGGAATGTTGTGGCTGATGCCTTGTCAAGAGCCTACTCAGTTGAAAGTTAGGTGCACACGCAAACTGTAGTGGTATACAAACTTTTATTTGTTTGTAAATTTATGGTGGGGGTGTTATGTTCCATGAGTGTCTCTTCTAGCAACTGTGTATTCATTTTCTCTCTCTTTCCATGAGGTTGTTAATTCTGATCAGGTGCAGTTAACCCTGCAAATTGGTTCTACTGATGGATTCTCCGTCCTGATTGGTCCACCGAAGGATTGGCTGGAGTATATAAGACAGCTGGGATCATTTGGAGTATTGAGGCTTGGAGCAAGAATCCCTTCTGCTGGCTTTTAATTGGGGTTTTGTTCTTTTTGATGTGGTTAAATTGTTGATCTCTGTGGAGACTTAACCCTCTGGTGAGAGGATTTGTTTAGCCAAATCATGTGGGTTAACACCTATCCTATCAAAGTTTATTTTCTTTATCATTGTGGCAAAAAGTTTTATTTATTGTTTGTTCGATTTATTGTTAACTTATAGGAAGCTGTAGGGAGGTGATTGCCAATTTTCTTTTGTCTAAGTTTTCTCCTGTGTAAGAACAGCAAGGGAGTTGGTGTATTGTTTGTAGTAATTGTGTATTTTGTTCTTTTATTTATTAGTTTAGATTAAAATATGGAAGTTAGGATGTTTTGTTTATGTTGGCCCTGACCCCTCCTGAAGGCTAGTTTGCTTCTTTATGATAAATGTATACTATTTTTTTTTTCACGCTAAACTTGTCTTTTTGAGTCAGTAGAAGGCAAAATCTACATCTAAACCTCCTCCACTTTATTACTCCTTCCCAACCCTAGACTGGGGAGGCTGTAATAGTTACAAAGAGTCAAATAACACTGAAGTACTGGGAGAACAGTTTATGGTTTAAATATAAACACTGATGTTTATGGTAAAGATTAAAATCACCATCATATGCATTTAACTTGATGCTTAAAAAAGAAAGTTGTAGGCAAAAATATGCCACTAAATAATTCTTCAAAAATGATCCATCTAGCAATAAAACATGAAGTTTTGTGTGAATAACTGAATCATTTATCGAAAATAAGACTAAAATATATATTGTACAAATTTTAATGTTAGATTTCTACATCTAGTGTTATCAGCAACAGTAGTAGTAACAGTCACAGTACTGAATATTTTACTATTTACATTTATCTGGTTCTTTCTTTATTTTTAATAAAGTCACAGGTTCTAAATTCTATTGTTTTAAAGCCAAAAGTTTCTTGCAGTGCTGTTTGTGTAATAAATGGAAAGCAAATAAACTTGTCTCATCCCCGTTTTTTTTAATCCAAAAAAATAGATTTGTGAATCGTTAAACCTCTAGCTAGTACACAATGTAACTACAGAAGTCAAGCCTTAAATAGATAAAAATGCTCTTACTCCATCCAGATTTTTAAGCTAAATGCTAATGGTCTAATCAAATTCAGTGATGTATGCTAAAAGTGCTCCTGCCAGACTTGAAGATGGGCTGAATGGATTGAAAAATGGTAAAACTCAACAGTTTAACACTAAAGGAATTATAACATGAGCTTATTTCCATAAAAATGGAGCGTTCCTTAAATTTGTATTTAGTTATTATTTTAGTATTATTGAACAGTGAGCATGTGATCTCACAGGTTGTGGAGGACAGAGGCCAATCTGAACATGGTGCTCCAGATGGTCCCTCAGGTTGGTGTGGATCTGGGTCAAGAGAGAGTGAGATGGACAGGGAGATGGAGAGACGTTCTGAGCCCCCAGCTCCACTAGCAGTGTGTGCATTCCTTTGACTCCACACTATACAACACACAAAACAGCTCAGATTCAAATATACTAAAAAAAAAAAAAAAGAAAGGCAGAACAACAAACAACTTCTCAATCAATATCCCACACCTGGTATTTCATGCTTTGGGTTATTCTCTTGTCCTTCCACTTGAGCTCTGTGTTTTGAGAGTAAGATTTCCCATCCTGAGCTACAGCAACACATCCCTCCATCTCCACCAGAGGGAGAAGCGTCTGCATCTGACACAATGCATACAGTATCAGTCACTTTAAGGAGACAGCTCACCCAAAAGTCATAGATTTGCTGTCTTCCCTGTTTGACCAAGGCATTGGATTACTGGAAATAACTTTGCATATAACGTCTAGTATCTTATACAAACCTCATAAGATTGCAATGAATCTTTGAAAGCCACAGGTATTCATTCTTTCACTCAAATTGATAGTAATCAACAATGAATCACTTATTCGTATGGTTACCTATATCCTGGATCAGGGGTTTTCAAAGTGTGAGGCGCGCCTCCCCTGGGGGACGCCAGAGCATGTCAGGGGAGGCGCGGGAAAACATATGATATAATAAAAATATAATTATTAAGTTTAATTATTATATGTATTTTTTATTATATTTAAACGTTTTAATTAAACAAAGCTAAAAAAATAATACGTCAAATACAAGAAAACCTTTTTTACCCAGAAGGCCATAGCTGTGAATTCGCTTCTGTTTGACAAGCCTGCCAATACAGGTATATGCCTGCTAATACAATAAATCGGTTTCTGAGACCCCCCGATTCAAAGCCTTCAAGTTCAGGGCTTAAACCCAAAAGACGACGATATGATGATCAGTATTTGAGTTTAGGATTTACGTGGACAGGACCAGCTGATGAACCATGACCTTTATGTGTGGTTTGTCAAGATATTTTGGCTAATGACTGCATGAGACCCGCTAAACTTTGACTGTTTTGACTGGGATGGACAGTTCTTGGATCTGTTCTATTCATATTGAATCATCATCCTAGTTTTAAAAACATTATATTAAAATACTTGTAATTACTCTGTAAATAATTGCACTTTCATGCAAATGATGATAAAAGTGAGTTAACAGTCTGACATCTGTCTGTGTCTTTATATATACTGTATATATATATATATATATATATATATATATATATATATATATATATATATATATATATATATATATATATGTATATATGTGTGTGTGTGTGTTTGTGTGTGTGTGCGCGTGCGTATTTGGGAGGAGGGGGGCGCCAATGGATAAGTTGTGTCAAAAGGGAGGCCCACTGTCTTAGACGTTGAAAAACCCTGTCCTAGATGGTCTGAAAGCGAATACATTCAAAAGTAAATGTTCATTGAAATATCCCTTTGATTTACAGTACATAAGATTTCAAATTATTGCTCAAGTCCTATCTCTAAGATAGAGATTCATATTTTCCTTTTTTTCTATTGTAGAGTGTATTTATTTCTTTGATTTTGTTTTGAAAACAGACAGGGATCTCCATATGAGGCCACACCCACACATATGGATTTTCAAGAAGCCTACTGTATAGGCTCATCATGGTTTTTGCTGAGAAGTCAAGCTGTGAGCATACCTGGATACATATCCACAGAGGCCCTAATCAAAATATAGGGGGACTTTAAAAAACACTATACAAACATCATAAAGCAAAGCACTAATAAAAAAGCCATTAAAACCGCTTTTTTACTTGAAACCTTCAAGATCTTGTAATTTCACAAGGCCCTTCTCTGTTAGTATATACATATACACATTGTCTTGTACATGTTTTGTTCTGTAAACCCCTGACATTTTATTTTTATTATTATTATTTTCTTTGTGTGTGTATTTTTTTTTCTTTTCCTCCATTTATTTTTGTATTGTTCTAAATGTTGTTCTTTAAGCATTTAAAAAAAAAAAAGTTTAAGTGGTTAAGTTAATATGACCTTAGAAATTGTTCCAGTCCTGAAGGAGAAGGACATTGCAAAGACTAAAGTCCTCCTGAGAGGAAGAACAAAAATTTTCACGGACAAATTACAATCAGTTGAAGTCAGAATTATAATCTGTCCTTTTACTTATTTTTTATTTTTTACATATATTTCCCAAATAATGTTTAACAGAGCAAGGAAATTGTCACAGTATGTCTGATAATATTGTTTCTTCTGGAGAAAGTCTTATTTGTTTTTTTCGGCGAGAATAAAAGTAGTTTTTAATTTTTAAACACCATTTTAGGGACAATATTATTAGCCCCTTTAAGCTATATTTTATCCTGAACAAACCATCATTAAACAATGACTTGCCTAATTACCCTAACCTGCCTAGTTGACCTATTTAACCTAATTAAGCCTTTAAATGTCACTTTAAGCTGTATAGAAGTGTCTTGAAAAATATCTAAAGTATTATTTACTGTCATAATCGTAAAAATTAATAAATTCATTATTAGAAATAATAATAGATATTTTTATGTTTATTTATTTATTTATTTATTATTTTTTTGCTATGCTTTTAACTTTGGAAAAGATTTTTTCCCTCCTCATACCTCAGGAGGTATTTGTTCTTATTTTAAATTTTTTTATTTACGTATTGCACGTGCACGAAAAAATACGTCACATGTTTTTTTATGCTGCCGCCTTAAAATGATTTTTTTAAATGTGTTTAACAACATATTATCAATAGATGTTTAATTTACAAGCAGTTTATGTTGATATTAGTAAATAAATATCAATATTATTTTTCGAGCAGCTGAGATGGTGCCCCCCTCCGGAGTTGAGGCCCTGCATATAGGGAGCGGCAGTACTGCGTAAGAAGACCTTGCAACCCCCTATCAGAAAAGGTTTGGACAGTATGGAAAACGCAAATAAAAAAAGAAAGTAGTGATTTCCAAATTATTTTCGACTTGTATTCCATTGCAGACTATTTGTACACAACATATATGATGTTTTGTCCAGTCAACTTCATTTCATTTGCAAATTTACATCCTTTCCTGTCATTCAGACATGCAGCACATTCCAAAAACAGTTGGGACAGGAGCATTTTAGGGCTACTAGTAAACAAAATTGGTTAATATCTATGTGATTTAAAACAGATGATGTCCATAGGTAATTGTAATTATTATTCATGCATTCATTCACTCATTCATTCTACTATGTCAGAAGAAAGTTTAGTGAAAGTGCACAAGTTAAATGCTTTCATTTACCTGGCCGGGTAAAATAAAGACGCAGGCCTGCCCTCTGCTGGAGTCACCATGCCAGTGCTCACTTACTGTTACTGAAACATTTACAGGCTTTCGGTGGCTCGTAGAAATGTGGGCCTTAGAAAACACAACACATTTCATATCACATACATTTTACTTAATAGCTCTCAAAAACAATGAAAAAATAATACAACAAACTATAAGAAGTATGTATAGTGAGGCAGTTTTCAAAGGGAGTATTCAAATTACAGCATGAGATGTAGGTGAATCCGTCAATAGATGAAAGACAACATAACTAAAGGGAAAGTTCACCATTTTTTTTTTTTTTTTGTCATTAATTACTTTCACTTTGTTAGAAAAATGTTCATTTTCAGAACATAAGCTCTCTGACTCTCCATGGACAGCATGGGTCACAAAACATTTATAGCACATTTCCACTGAGCGGTACAGTACGGTACGGTATGGCTCGGAACAGGTCACCTTTATCAGGTTTGCGTTTCCACTGCCATGGTACCCTTTTGGTGGGCGTGGTGTACTACAGAAAGTTACAGACAACCTCATTTTTACTCTAGCAAATATGTACGGGTCATATAAGTTACCAATTACAGAAAAAAACTACACACAACATACATTTAGTCCTTATCTGGGTTCAAAAACAACACGCAACATATAGCCTACAGTCAGTGCAAACCTCTGATCTGCATCTTTAACCTTCACTCACACATGTAACCTTTGTTAGAGAGTAATTCCGTCATTTCGAGCTCATAATAGTTCAAAAGGTGATGATAATAGATAAACATGACAGTTTGTTCTTATTTTAGGTTGCTGGAAGAATCATTTGCTCCTTTGTTTTTTCAGGCTTCTCCTTTGTTTTGTCGTGCTTCACTTTCGTTTCTGAAACGATCGCATGTCAGAAGCACTTAAATAATCATGCACACATTATTATCATCAAGGAGTTTGTTATTTCAAGTATAGACGCGCGGTGAGTTCTCTGGAGAATGGGAAACGGCTAGCACTTTTAGATGGGCTTATAAAACAAGCAATATATATATATATATATATATATATATATATATATATATATATATATATATATATATGTATATATATATATATATACAGTGTGTGTATATATATGTGTGTGTATATACACATATGTGTGTGTGTATGTATGTATGTATGTATGTATATATATATATATATATATATATATTTTTTTTTTTTAATTATTATTATTATTATTATTACTATTATTGCAGTGTAATGTCTTGGCTGTGTTTTTTAAAAATGTCAGTTCCCTTGTTTTTATTCTCCTGCTTCTGCGAGTGACATATCTCTGTATACCAATACAGTTCAGCTGCGCGTCTCGCTCCGCCTTTTGGTACCCTTCCTTTGTGCTAGGTACCCTTTGCAAAGGCTAACCAAAATGTGGTATGGTACGGTTCGCTTTTAGGTATCCTTTGACAGTGGAAATGGCCATAAAAGCATACTGAACTGAACCGTACTGTACCACTCAGTGGAAACGGGCCATTAAAGCCCATAAGACACCAAGATCATAGTCAAAACAGTCCACATGTCATCAGTGGTTCAATCGTAATTTAAGAAGTTACTAGAACACATTTGTGTGCTCTATAAAACTATAATAATCAGATTGTTCTCTCATTAGTGCTGCACAAAATATAGCTTCATCATTGATATCGCATTGTGTATGATATAGGAAGGATTAGTTTTTTGTGTACATAAAATTATTCTCATGGCTTCAGAAAATGATTAAACCACTCATGACAAGGCCCACACGAAATCTGTGCAGACTTATTTATTTACTTGTGTAAATGTGTGTAAATTTATATTTATTCAGTTTTTAAATAACACTCAGTAATATTATTGACTAATATGAAAGATTTATTTATAATACAGGTTATAAAGTAATATTTTCTGTCTTTTAGTAGATCTATTATATGATAGACTTACATTTACATTTAGTCATTTAGCCGACGCTTTTATCCAAAGTGACTTACAAATGAGGACAAGGAAGCAATTTACACAACTATAAGAGCAACAATGAATAAGTGCTGTAGGCAAGTTTTAGGTGTGTAAAGTCTAAGAAGGAAAGCATTAGTAAATTTTTTTTTTTTTTTTGTAGTTAGTGGAGGAGTCAGAGAGGGCGTTGTATATTAGTAAGGAAAGTGGAGACTAAATAGTTGAGTTTTTAGTGGTTTCTTGAAGACAGTGAGTGACTCTGCCGTTCTGATGCAGTTAGAGAGTTCATTCCATCAACTGGGCAAATTGAGCGTGAGCGTTCGCGAAAGTGATTTCTTCCCTCTTTGGGATGGAACCACAAGGCCACGTTCATTCACAGAACGCAAGTTTCTGGAGGGCATATAAATCTGCAGAAGTGAGAGCAGATAAAAAGGGGCGCAGCCAGAAATTGCTTTGTAAGCAAACATCAGAGCTTTGAATTTGATGCAAGCAGCAACTGGCAGCCAGTGCAAACGAATGAGTAGTGGAGTGACATGTGCTCTTTTAGGTTCATTAAAGACCACTCGTGCTGCTGCATTCTGAAGCATCTGAAGAGATTTGATAGAGTTAGCTGGGAGACCGGCTAGTAGAGAGTTGCAATAGTCCTGTCACATCCGTCTGTGACCACCTGAGGGCGCTGTAGTGCACTAGGACTTTGTAGGCACTACAGCGTCCCAGTAAAAACTACATTCTCATACATACCACGCGCATACACCGGAACACCTACACTGACCTGTCATCTCATCTGTTCTGTGTTACCGTTGATTATCTGGACTATTTTTACAACCATTTCACCTCTGTTTTGCATCGCGTCGTTGTCTACATTGTCTTCCTTGTCCGAGTATCCAGTAAGTCTTGTATTCATAGTTCGTTGTTCGTGATCGTGTTTTTGTAATTTTGCCTAAGTCTAGTGTTATTGTTTCTGAGCCTTGTCTCTGTTTTAGTTTCTGTTTTTGTCGTTTGTTTGTTACTTTGTATTTTGATCACCTCGTTTTTTCACTGTATATGAACATCTGCACTTGGATCCGCACCTTTTTGTTTTTGTTCCTGTTTTGATCACGCAAACGTGACAAGTCCAGTCTGGAAAGAACGAGAGTTTGAACAAAGAGTTGAGCTGCATGTTCAGATAGGAAGGGTCGGATCTTTCTGATGTTGTAGAGTGCGAATCTGCATGATCGAGCAGTTCTAGAGATGTGGTCAGAGAAGTTTAGTTGGTCATCAATCGTTACTCCAAGGCTTTTCACCATTTTGGATGCAGTAATGGTTGCCCCGTCCATCTGGATTGAAAAGTTGTGATGTGGAGTCAGGTTGGCAGAAACTTCAAGCATTTCTGCTTTCGTAAGGTTCAGCTGAAGAAGATGACTTGTTTTGTTTACCAAGCAAGTGGATCTAATTGGATTTGCATTGTAAACATTAAATTAAAAATTTAAAAGCTATTGTTTTTAAATTTCATATTTTAAGTTTTTGGTTAAGATACTCCCAAAATAATTCCGGATAAATTCACAGATTTTTCACAAAATTCTCCAAAGAAATGGCACAAAAATGTCAGCAGATTCTGTCTGGCCCTACTCATGACTCATGGAATGTTTTGCTTATGTTTTCAGTACCTTTCTGGACTGTTTTAGAATCTGTTCTGTCTATGGAGGATCAGTAAGCTGTTTGATTTTATCCTAAATATCTTGATTTGTGTTCTGATGGTCTGTCTCATGGGTTTGGAACAACATTAGGGTCATAATTAATAACAGAATTTCATTTTTTGGATGAACTAAGCCCTCTTTTAGGTTGTTGAAAGTATTTGAGAGAAGGAAGAGTATACTAAGATACGAAAACTGTGATCATAGAAAGTGTTTAAGTATTGCAAATACACACCTGGCTGATGCCCTCATTCCTGTTGGTCAGTCCGTGTGATAAGGCATGTATGTGAAACTGAGTCAGTGTTGAGACAAATGCTTGTTTCTGCTCTGATGAATCCATTTGTCTGCTCACCAAAGCCCAAGATCCTTGAACTTTAAGCTAAACACAACATACATGTGATGAAACAGTGAACATTAGAGAACAACCTACAACGTCTTACAAAACATCAAGTGTTTATAAGCTGTTTTCCATTAAAACTTCACTGTAAATCTGGACTGTGCAATGATGACAAATGCCTAACACTGAAAAAAATTAGTCCTTGGATTTACTTTTTTTTTTAAGGTTGATGGTTGCAAACCATTTTTATGGGCTGAATTTAAACAATTTAAGTTAAACATTAAATTCAGTCCTTCTACACTACCTGACAAAAGTCTTGTCGCCTATCCAAGTTTTAGGAACAACAAATAATAACTTGACTTTGGTATCAGAAGTGGTTCATATGAAAGGCAAAGGCCTATAGATTATGCTTATTTTACCTAAGGAATGGGTAAGAAAGTGTTCTTGCAGGACTCCCAGAGGTCATTAAGATTCTTTGTATTCATCTTCAGTGCCTCCTCTTTCATCTCACCAGACATGCTCAATAATGTTCAAGTCTGGTGACTGGACTGGCCAATCCTAGAGCACCTTGACCTTCTTTGCTTTCAGGAACTTTAATGTGGAGGCTGAAGTATGAGGAGGAGCGCTATCCTGCTGGAGAATTTGCCCTCTCCTGTGGTTTGTAATGTAATGGGCAGCACAAATGTCTCGATAACACAGGCTGTTGATGTTGCCATCCATTCTGCAGATCTCTCGCACACCTACATACTCAATGTAACCCCAAACCATGATTTTTCCTTCACCAAACTTGACTAATTTCTCTAAAAATCTTAGGTCCATGCGGGTTCCAATAGGTCTTCTGCTGTATTTGTGATGATTGTGAGGATGCAGCTCTACAGATGATTCATCAGAAAAATCTACCTTCTGCCACTTTTCTAAATGATCTACTACAGTAGAAGTCAAGTTACTATTTGCTGCTCCCACAACTGGGATTGAAGTCTTTTCAGAGGTAGTGTAACTTGTTTGCAACCACTTACCTTAAAAAAAGTAAATCCAATTAACATTTTTTCAGTGAATAAAACCTCCAAAAAACCTAACCTCACCTCCTCACGGCTTCCGAACAGACTCCAATCCATATTCAAATCACCCAGTTTTCTCTGACTATCATTCTCTACCTTAAGATCCAAACCCCAACCGAGAGCCGTTCCTACAGTACATTTAGAAAGACACATTAGCAATTCAGAATGGAGAGTTCATCATACACTCAAAAAATGACATTAGCTATTTGTTCGAACTACTTATTTAAAATGAGCTGAAACCACACAATTCATGGCTTTTTGGGAGACAACTCAATTGTTTTATGTTCAATCCACTTAAATTTGTAAAAACGAATAAATTAAATTAATTCCTTTGTGTTTTCCCAACACATATGTGACCCTAAACCAAAAAAACAACCATACTTTTTTTTTTTTTTGGAAATTAAGATTTATACATAACGTTAAATCTGAATAAATACATTTTCATTGATGTATGTTTGTTAGAATAGGACAATATTTGGTCGAGGTTAAAACAATTTGAAATAAAGTAACTACAAATTTAGAAAAAATTGCCTGTTGTTATGATCGCGAGCATGGTTGCCCTTGCAGATCGCTAGAGAACACTCCCTGTCATTCACACGGACTACAGATCCCATCATGACCTGCAGTCACACATCTGGTTCGGTTCACCTTCTGATTACACAGCTTTTGACTATCAACACTGATTACACACTCACACACACACTATAGTTGCATCCCAAATCGCATACTTATGCACTATTCTATGCAATTTTGTAGTATAAATAGTGCAAGTAGAGTGTTCACACTGAAAACTCTAAAAAGTGCACTTTAATTACCCGGATGATGCACTCATTCATCCGGTAAAATGAAGTGTGTAATGATGGACACTTCACGCACTAAACGACCGCAGGTTTGCTCATGTGGCGGAAGAGGCGGAGCTATTGGGCCCACATGTTGGATAACTTTATTTATTTTGGATGGTGAAAGCAAAATTCTCCAACGAGAGTGATTATAGTGCCTCCCGATGGTGAATGCGGTTATACTCACGGCAGGTATTATTTGATCATTTATTTCACTGATTTGGCAATCGTCAAACATCATCAGGGAAAAGTAAAAAAGTAAAAAAGTAAAAAAAACATTAATGCTCCATTTGGGAAGACAGTACATACATATACTATCCTGTTGAGTGTGTAAGTGCATAAGTACATAGTGCATGAGTGCATAGTGTATAGAGTGCCATTTGGGACGCAGCTTCTATAAACCCTCAAGTCACTCGGCTGTAAGTGAACATTTCAAAACAGTTTTCCTTGTTTTGCCTTGCTGTGTTTTTTACCTTTTGTTTGTTTAACATTTATTGATTGTTTGCCGCCCGTCTCGACCCTGTTTAGTGTTTACGCTTATGTTTTTTTGTCTTGTGTGTGTGTGTGTGTGTGTGTGTGTGTGTGTGTGTGTTTTTTTGTTTTTGGTCACACTTTATTTTGATGGTCCATTTGTTGAATTTAATTCATTGTATCTACATGTCAACTAATTCTCATTAGATTAGAAGTAGACTGTGAAATTAGGGTTAGTGTGTTGACATGTACTAGCAAAGTTCCTTATAGTGAGCTAAATGTCTGTTGAAGGAGCAGTATCAGCAGATATTAAGCAGTCAGTCTACTAATACACAAATGGACCCTAAAAATCAAGTGTTTTCCTTTTTTTTTTATCAGTAGGCTACATTATTTAGATAAATTGAAACAGCCTTACAAAATTATAGTATTTAATGAAATAATTAATGATAATACACATCACATTCGGTTTTTGGCCAAGCACAACCAGAATTTTTAATATTGACTAAGAATTTACATTTCGGTGTCTCCCAACATCCCAATAATTTTGATTGTGTGGAAACCAGCATTTTTGTACATCATAATATTAAAACTGATACGAGTGTGAAGAGATCAGCAGTTTGCTTCACATATCAACCTGTTAGTTCTGGATAGCTTTGCTGGAACTGTGTATAATCATATGATGAGGTGGTGTGTGTTGAATCCTGATTGTCCCACTGTGCTCGGTGTGTGAAAATATGTGACCCTCTCTTTCCGCCATAGAGTGTCCTCACAGTCAGATTCCTGGGAAGCAAGTGTAGCTAGAGGTACAGAAATAACAAAGCAAGATATGAACTTAACATAGTTCATGTAGAGTTTTATGATGCAGGCAGATTAGTGGAACTAATTATTTGGACAAAGAAGGTTGTTATCAAAAGTGCAGTGGTGTATAAAGAAGTTCTTACTAAAAAGCTACTTTCAGAGCAACAAAAGTTGTTCAAAGCTAATGAAGTCAAATATATCAAATTAATATAATTAAATCTTTGCTGAAAAATCTGCAGTACACTGAAAAAATGATTCGTTGGATTTACTACCTTTTAGTGAGGTAAATGGTTGCAAACAACTTATATGGGCTAAATTTAAGTAAAGAAATTAAGTTGAACTGCTAAATTAAGGTTGTTTGTTTAAATCCAGCCCATAAAAATAGTTTGCAACCATCCATTTATTAATTTTCCTTTGGCTTAATCTCTTTTTTTTCCACAAGCGGTCACCACAGTGGAATGAACTGCCAACTTATCCAGCATATGTTTATACACAGCGGATGCCCTTCCAGCTGCAATCTCGCACTAGGAAACAACCAAACACACGCATACATTATGGCCAATTTAGTTTATTCAATACACCTGTACTGCATGTCTTTAGACTGTGGGGGAAACCGGAGCACCCGGAGAAAACCCACGTTAACACAGGGAGAACATGCAAACTCCACACAGAAATGCCAACTGACCCAGCCGAGACTCAAACCAGTGACCTTCTTGCAATGAGGCAACAGTGCTAACCATTGAGCCACTTTGCAGCCACTTACCTTAAAAAATATTTAATAAATACAATTAATAGTTTTATTCAGTGTGTACAATATGCAACATGCATTTCTAACAGGGATGCACAGTGTATCAGTGACCATATCAGTATCAGCTAATAAATGCTATTTATAATGTTATCATTATCGATCCGATAACAAATTTAGATCGATATCTTTAAGCCGATAAATTATACCAATTCACCTTCTTGCTGCCCCCAACCTTTTACTGGCATGATGGTTTATTTTTAAATGACTTGGTTGGTTTATTATTACACTGTAAAACCCAACAGTCAACTTTATAAAATTAAATGCGTGCAGTTAACTCAAAATTTACTGAAAGTTAAATCTACTCATTTGAAAAACGTTTTGAACTCAGTGTTGAAGGTAATGAGTTAATTAAATACCTCATTACTTCAGCTTAAATGGAGTAAGTTCACAGTACTCACACTGTTAGCCCGGATTTCATGTCTAATAATACAGTTTAAGTGCAAAGTACTTAAATAATTTAATATGGTTCATTACTATAACATTTTTAGCGAATTCTACTTTTTCGTAGACAAAGTTTATTGTATGAATAACTTTAAGTACAATAGACTAATGTTTTAAAAGTTTTTGACTGACCACGCCCCTGCTCCCAACCTGACTTGCTGTTGAGGCAACGCCATTTTCTCGTGGGTGCAGCAACAGGTGATTTCTGACTTCTGGTGAGTATACTGTAAACATTTTATCCAGTTTTTCTTTTCGGCTGTTTGTGAATACAGGAAAACACTGTTTTAAGTATGTTTCGCTCTAAATGCGCGGGTCCTGTTTAAACACTTGCCATGCATAGATTTGTTTTTTTAACTCAAATGGTGTGTAGCAATCGGTTTTCTCAAATGGTTTGAGTTGCCTTAGCTTATTGGGTTTTACAGTACTCAGTTGGTTTGAGTTCTCTTTATTTATTGGGTTTTATTGTGCTCAAATTGCTTTATTTACTCAAATGGATTAAGTTTACAATACTCATTAGCATTAGTTTTTGAACTCAAATGGTTTGTTGCAATCGGTTTCCTCAAATGGTTTGAGTTACCTTAACTTATTGGATTTTACAGTGTATTTTAGTCATTCATTCATTGATTCATTCATTCATTTTCTGCTGCTTTTCTGGGGCCGGGTAGCGGAGGCAGTAGTCTTAAGAGAGAACCCCAGACCTCCCCCTCCCCAGACACTTCCTCCAACTCCTCTGGGGGGATTCCGAGGCGTTCCCAGGCCAGCCAAGAGACATGGTCCCTCCAGCGTGTCCTAGGTCTTCCCCGAGGCCTCCCCCCAGTGGGAAATGCTGGAACACCTCCCTAGGTAGGCGTCCAGGAGGCATCCAAAACCAAACCGAGCCACCTCAACTGACTTCTCTCGATGTGGAGGAGCAGCGGCTCTACTCTGAGCTCCTCCCGAGTGTCAGAGCTTCTCAACCTATTCATAAGAGTGCGCCCTGCCACCCTTCGAAGGAAACTCATTTCAGCTGCTTGTACCCAAGATCTTGTCCTTTCGGTTATGACCCAAAGCTCATGACCATAGGTGAGAGTAGGAACGTAGATTGACCAGTAAATTGAGAGCTTTGCCTTTCGGCTCAGCTCCTTCTTTACCACAACAGACCGGTACATCGACTGCATTACTGTGGCCGCTGCACCAATCCGCCTGTCAATCTCACGCTCCATCCTTCCCTCACTCGTGAACAAAACCCCGAGATATTTAAACTCCTCCACCTGGGTATTTGTTATTTATTTTTGGTCAGGTGGTAGATTTTTTTTTTTTTAAATAAAAGAAAGTTGACCATAGAAAAGAATAGTTGACTAATAAAGTTCAGAGATCAGTTCAAACTTTTCTGAAGTAAATGTGACTGGACATTCAGTAGACACATTATAGGGAATGATGAATCATTTCTCTACCTGAGGTATTGAGTGATTGAACACCAGCGCTTGTTTAAAGCCAGAGTTTGCACTCAAGATCTCTGCATCAAAAGCCAAACTGCTCACACCAACCAGAAGTTCTGCAGTACATTTAGCTGAGGACTGTGAACGGCGCAACTGTAAGAAAATAAAATATGTTGTGCAGTTTTGAATAATATTTCATTAAAAAATGAACAACAAACCTTTTATTTACAAAATGGTAACTGGCATAATGTGGTTATGTATTTTATTTCACATTACAAAATGCACAGTGTATGTGGAGAGTTGTCTGAATAATGGAAGATTGTACATGAATATCTAAACATACAACCTATTAAATAAAATATGGAATGGCACAGAAAACCAACCATCATACAGTGCATGTCAGGTGAGTATTAAATTAAAATTTTCTTTTAGAAACTTATTGCGTATAAAACGAGTTCACAACTGTTACATCAATAGGAAATATGCACAGTAATGTTTATGTGACTATTTTCAATTTCATAATGTTGCTTTTACAGCTTCGATAATTTAATTTAATTAAATTAAACTTAAGCATTCATTTAGTTGTTCAAGCTAAAATCGAGGTGAAAGTCAGTTTAAACACAAGTGCTGTCAGGAGCAGCAGATTACTAAAACTTCATTGAAAATACTCATTTATTTATTTTCTTTTCCGCTAAGTGCCTTTATTAATCTGGGGTTGCCACAGCGGAATGAACCGCCAACTTATCCAGCATATGTTTTACACAGTGGATGCCCTTCCAGCTGCAACCCATCACAGGGAAACATCCATTCACACTCATTCACACACATGCACTACGGACAATTTAGCTTACCCAATTCACCTATAGCGCATGCTTTGGATTGTATTGGGGAAACTGGAGCACCTGGAGGAAACCCATGCGAACACGGGGAGAACATGCAAACTCCACACAGAAACACCAACTGACCCAGTTGAGCCTCGAACCAGCGGCGTTCTTGCTGTGAGGTAAACGTGCTACCCACTGTGACAACATGCAGCCCTCATTGAAAATACTGTGGTAAAATTCATTTCTATATTGAAAGACATGGACAATATAAATAATGCGATTTACTGTAATGCATTGATTGTTGTCCAGTGTGATACCCAATTTATATCGTATCTCAATCAGGCAGTGAAGATCAATGATTTTCACACATCTTAAAGAGGACCTTTTTACAAGACATAAAATAAGTGTATGTGTATGTGAAGTTTCAGCTAAAAATACACCAGCGATAATATGTTATAACTGTTTAAATCTGCTGCTTTCAGGCATTAATCCAAATGGTGCCATTTTGGTGACTGTCGCTTTAAATTCAAATGAGATTGTGCTCTTTTCAAAAGAGGGCGGAGCTATGAAAACCTATGCCTCAGCATATTGCAGCAAGTTTAAAACAGGACTAAAGTTATCTCTGTGAAAAACTGAAAATATTAAAAGAAATATCTCAGAAGAGAGCAGTCTATAATTCTCTTAGTAGCAGACATTATCTTTGGCTGGTTTGGCAAAAAGCTCTAATGGTGGACGGCTGCTTTTCACTCAGGGAAGTCTATGCTAATAAGGTATAGATCATCACTACTGGGCAGAACATGTAGAAAAGGGAGAATGTCAATCAAAGCGTTTCTGTTTTTATGAAGTGTGAAAAATTCATCAATTTTTACCATTAGGATAAGAATTAGTGTCAGTACAACCAAAGAAGACACAAATATGACAAAGACCTTAAAAATGAGCTTTTTTGGGTAGGTCATACTCATCACACTCACACTCAACACTCATATAACACTATCTAGAGCAGTGTTTCTCAACGGGTGGGTCGCGACCCTTCAGTGGGTCGTGGAGTGTGTGGTCAAAAAACAACAAAAGTTTAATTTTTAACTTATTTTGACTTTTATTTTAAAATGCGTGCACAACAACCCCACCGTTTGACATGTGAAATTTCATTTAATTATAGCAACAAATATATTAAAATGCAAGTGCGACCCCAAATATGTGAAGTATGGATTTACATATATTTACGGCAAAAAAAAACTTAAAGCCTCAGTGTGTCATAAGTAGGCCCACATGGAATCTGAGTGCGCAGAATTCCACAGATTTTCCGCAGAATTACGCAGATTTCTGCAGATTTTTAGCCAATCATTAATTCTATTTATTTACTTGAGTAAATGTGTAAATCTGAATTTATTCAGTTTTTTATTCAGTAATTTATTACTTTTTATTTCATATATTAAGGTTTTAGTTATGATACTCCGCTGGATACTCTCACAATAATTCCGCAAAAATCCGCAGATTTTTACCAAAATTCTCTGCAGAAATAGCAAAAAACATCCGCAGATTCCGTCTGGCCCTGGTTATAAGTAGCGAGGTGCTCTCACAAGAGAACACGAAACCTTCTAAATGAAAACAACATTTAGAAACCAGACAACATGTTTTATTAACTGTTTAGCTCATGGTAACTGAACCTTTCCTTACCCTAACCACTGTTTACAGTATTTGTCGTTTTTACTTTGTAATATTTCTACAATTTGATACATTTTGTTAAATGACAGCAATAAAATATTGTTTATTTGTAAGTCTTGGTGATGTTCTTATGATTTATCTGTCACTACTCGTGTATGGTAACAAATAAATACAAATTAATTATAATTTTTAAAATTGTATTTAAGTTCCAAAAATTTATGTCGCGGCTTGATGACCATGTAAAAACGTGGATCCCATGGCCAAACCAGTTGAGAACCCCTGATCTAGAGAACTGTTTATCTTTTTACACACAATAATTAGTATTCAATGGTATGTATGCTGTGCAGTATTTTAAAACATAGGAATTAATGACTGTAGAATAAATGTTTAAACTTAACATCATACCTGTGATTTTGAGTAAAAGTCGGACGGAAGGTATGGATGTAAGGCTGGTGTGTTGTGGGAAATGTTGAGCATTAGCCCAGTGCTAAAAGAAAACACATCAAAATGCATTCACACTACATCACAGAAACAAGACACAAACATTTACATTGACGCCCCATTCACACATGGCATCAATAGCTATGTTTCCATCCAAAAATGCGAATAAACTTTATGCGCAAAACTGGATTGTTGCATAAAAGTTGTGCGAATGAAGCAGCGTTTACATCCAACGTCAAAGCGAACAAAATCGTCACTTCCTGATTAATTGGCGCCAAATATCAACAGTAAAAACTGCATTTGCTGCAGTAGGAGAAGCTGCGTCAATCTTTTCAAAATGAGCGCGCCTCATAAGACAATCCTGACAAGCAGTGAGCGTTTGAAGGTGTCAGACGCGGAGCACAGGCGCTCTTGATTCTGGAGGTCATTAATAATATAATAACACTAATACTGAAATGGTAAGGCGTTTTATAATGACCAAAACAACATTTCAGATGTTTTATAATGTGCTCAGCCTGACGTTTTATCCATTCACATACATTTTAAGCATCACATGATCTCTTTTAACAAAATCACATGACCTTTTTTAATGCGCATGCTGGAGTTTATGCGGTAAAAGTGTTTCCATCGCAGTTTATGAGCATCTTTTATTATCGAATAAAAAGTTTATCCTACCCAGTTAGGGGCATAAGTTTTTTATGCGCATTTTCAAAATGTATGCGCATCATGGCGTTTCCATCAACTGGAACGTTTTTTATGCGCATTTGCATAAAATAGGTGGATGGAAACATAGCTAATGTCAACGCTTGATGAAGAGCGTGTCTGAAGTTTGGTCTGATGCGATCATCATATCAGTGTCAACCAATAAATTTATAAAGCTCAACAGGCTATTGTCAGTGTTTTGTACAACTGTATTTACACTGCCCCTAGTAGCAAAGAATTCTGGCCCAGATTTGGCATAAAGCTGGCACAGCAGGCATTCATCCGGCACTGGCATACAGCATGTGGGCCAAACATGGCCCGGGTTTGGCAGAGGTGGCACCGTCTTTAAGGCGGCACACAAGATTTGGGCCAGATGAAAAACGTAGTATTTGGCCCAGATTTAAAAATTTGATAAGTGGGCCATTTGAGTTTGGCCAGTTTTGACCAACATTTAAAATACACTAAAATCATTTTTGAGTAAAGAAAAAAAATTCTACCAATCAGGTCACTTTGAGAAAAAGCGTGCCCATAGTGTGCCTAAAGCACATCACTCCATGGGTTTATCAATTTCATTGCAATCGTGACACACCAACCTATCTGGCCCAGTTCAGGCCCAGTTATGAGTTATTAACTTGGCTGAGACTTGGCCCAGGTATGGTCCATGTTTGGCCCTTGTCTGGAACCCAGATTTGGTCCAGTCATGTACCATAATTCACTGCGGCATGTGGGCCAAGCAAAACCTGATTGTGTGGGCCAGAGCTGGGCCAGAGAAATTTTGCTATGTGGGGCAGATCTTGATGGTCAATTCCGATTTTGGGACTGTTTTGCTGGGTATTTGGGACTTTTTGCTGACCTGCTAACATCATCTTTTAAAAGTGACTTGTATATGATTGACTGTATTTACACAGCACACGGCAAAGGCGCGATAAGCAGGAAAAAAGAGCGAAAGCTGACTAACAGCTGATAATAAAAGAGCGCTCTTTTCTCCATTCCTGTATTTAATCTGTTCACTGTGTTTTATTTTTTAACTGCTTTTTGACAAGTTGCTTTACTATAGTTTAGTACTTTACTATAGCCTTTTTAGTTCTCATGTATGAGATTTAAGGTTTGGGACTCTGCTGAAGTCTGTTCTGAAAGTCTCAGAGTTGACGTCATTCGTTACAGTTTTTAAAAGATGCACGACTCGCATTGACAGGTGAAAATCTGATTTACCTGCTTACACTACAGACACAAGGACACAGATCCGATTCATATTGAATACATTTCCACATATGAACAAGGCAGGAATCTGATTTGAGTAAACCGGAATCCATGTGAAATCGGATACAGTCACAAAATCAGACTTGACCATCAAGATCTGCAGTGTAAATGTAGCCTGAGAAGTTTAAAACACCACTCGCTTTTTAAGAAAAAAATAAAATACATTTAATGATGGATGAGAGTTTTGGAGGAAGTGTATAAATGCAATATATTCAAATTTATTATTAATAGTGCTGTCAAAATGAGTCTGTTAACGCATGCGATTAATTTGAAATAATAAACTCGTTAAAAAAAGTAATGCAATTAACGCAGCTGCATTTTTTTTTCCTGTTGTGGCCGACGGTTGTTTAACATGTAAAGAAATATGGATAAGACCAAGGAAGCACTTTTTGAAGGCAAGTTTCAGTATAAAAAAATTAATGTCGTATCACCAGACTCTCCAGAGTTTCCTCCAAAGTTTATTTAATTTCGTATGTTTCATTTTTAACCTTCGACTTTTGTTTTAATGGAATTTGATATCGCATGGCGAACGGAAAGAAAAACCTCCGCATTTTGTGACTTGGTGGTCCTTTAAGGTGATCAAAAATCGCTGTTTACATGGTATACTATTAATAAGAGCATTAATGTAATCATTAAAATAATCAGATTAAATAATAAAAATCTGATTTTAATTAAATAATTAAAATCTGAGTATTGGTGTGCATGTAAATGTACTCAGAAAGTGCCAGATGAAGTCGCGAGCTGTCAAAGACAGCGCATTCAAATGTTTCATTAATTTGACGTGTTTCCCGCTTTAATGCAACTTTTGTAAAGTGTATGTTTTACATTGATGTGTCAGAATCCTTGTGAAATACAGCAATAGAACGCTTAGTTTAAGCAAATTTGATGAACCCGATCATGCGTGTTGAATCTGAAGGGTGTCGCTCCGGCTGCGCTGTCCTGCGGGCGTTAATTAGGCACCGAAATGCATATGCTGATTCAGAAATACTGCTTGTGATCCTGCCTGTTCTCACTCTCAGCTCACATCATTCAAAACAAAAGGGCCACATTGTCCCCCGATAATGTCAACAGACTGGACTGTTTTAGCAACTGGCTAAATGTAAAGGAGGACTAAATAAAATTGTTTCTGCTTAATAATTAATGTTCTCAACTTACAGCAATACAACTTTCCAATGAGTGCAATTGTTCAATACTTTATTATTATTATAATTTTCCATATCTGTAATGCCTGTATTTTATCTTTTTTTTTTTTTGCAGTCCAACATGGAAATCATTTTTTCTTTATTGGCATTGAATGTTTTGAAATTCAATTGGCATTATCATGCCTGTGTTTTATTTCTGTAATAAATATGGCTGTCAATCCAGGATCTTGATGGTTTATTGTGGGTATGTTGTTTACATGAAGAAATCTGTGTTACAAGTTAAACAAAAATTCTAAGAAACAATTATATTTAGAATTTAAATAGTTTTTGTCTTGCGTTTACATTAATTTTACATTTGAATAGCCAAAACCACAAGTTTCAGTCTTTTAAATGTGATTAATTCCGATTAATTGCAAAAAAAAAGAAAGTGCGATTAATTTCTTTTAATCGATTGACAGCACTAATTTTTAAACATGTCAATATTTTGGATGATGATGTACTTTTATTTAACGCGATGTCAACAATAAAGGCGATTTAGATTTCAAAACATTTAACATTAATAGATATACAATTAAAAACAACAAACAAATTAGTACATAAATTAGATACGATTTTCAACATTAATGTAGGATACATATTAAAAAGAAAATAAGAATATTTTGAATGAAAATTTCAGATTCAGTGTGCAATGACCTTAATTGAATAGTTCAGCCAAAAACACTCAAGTATTCTGTCATCATTTACTTGTTCTAGGCCTGTCTAAGTTTCTTTTTTCTGTTTAACTGTGTCCAAACTCGGTCCTGGAGGGCCGGTGTCCTACAAAGTTTAGTTCCAACCCCAGTTAGACACACCTGAACCAGTTAATCAAGCTTTTTCTAGGTATACTAGAAACTTCCAGGCAGGTGGGTTGAAGGAAGTTAGAACTGGTCACCGGCCCTCAAGGACAGAGTTTGGACACCACTAATTTAGAAGAAAACTAGAAACCTGCAATCATTGACTATCAAGAGATCAAATGGTTGCAGGCGATCAGCTTAAAAATATCATCTTTAGTCTTCAACAGAAAAAAAAAACAGCACATGCGTCTGAGTAAATGTTGAGTTAATTTCCATTTTTGTGTGAACTATCCCTTTATCTCTAAACAGATATTATCAATAAGACTGCTGTACCTGGAGATATTGTGGTGACCTTGAAGATCAAATGAGAAAGTCGAACTCTGAAGATTTGCTCTGACCCCAACCTGCACACATTTCAGTTCAGAGTTTAGATGTTCTTCAGCGTATGACATAAACAAAATGAAATGACCACAATGTTCACTGATCCATTCTTAAAAACGTAGGAAGCATGAATGTTCTCTCCGCATACCTTCAATGTGTCTTTTTGATCTTGCTCTGAGCAGATGGCCAGCAGGGGTCCTGTGTTGATCCCCTCTGTGTAGTTCACCTGTAAAAACAAGCCTCTGTGCCTTCAGTTTGCTTTGCCCGTAGGAGAGGTTTGTGGAATCAGAGGCATTTCCCTTCAACAACATGGGAAATGACCCAGGGTGTAGAAAAAGATTCTGGAGCATCCATATTGATACTTCTATACTCAATTGATGCTTAGTTTTTCTGCCACAAATGATAGCAAATGATGTAATTAAAGAGTTAAGGGTCGTATATGTATATATTTGGTTTGTATGAATGTATATATATATATATATATATATATATATATATATATATGTGTGTGTGTGTGTGTGTGTGTGTGTGTGTGTGTGTGTGTGTGTGTGTGTGTGTGTATACAACAATTCTGTCTGGTTCTCGAATCTGATTGGTTGATAGCTGTGATATATTTAATATCGTAATATCAGCACCCGTACAACCTCTTTACCCTTTGTGTATTACTCCGCCCACATACAGCCAGCAACAAGCAATCTCTACAGTTTGACAAATATTACTGTAGTTAGACAACAAAATATACTTTGGAGGCTTTTTTAGTCAAGAATGTAGTTGTTTAGATTGCAACTATGCAGTTTATTTGCAAGAATAGTACCTATTTTAAAACATTTACAATTCTAAAAGCTCTAAGTGACGTTGGTGAATTAGTAACGGCTTCTGCTGTTTTAACATCAGCTGCAGATGTGATTGAATGGCGGAAAAAAAGTAGTTCCTAATAAAAAGGGGTTTTTAGACTCTCCGTGTTTGATTTTCTTATTTATATACACAATTGTGCTGTTGAACTGTTGTATAAACACAATATCACACTCGTAGCAGTGCAATATGGCTGTATATCAGCACGGGTGGTATGCTAAGGCACTCTGCCTAATATATATGTGTGTGTGTGTGTGTGTGTGTGTGTGTGTATATATATATATATATATATAAATACAGGGGAAAATACCATATAATTGTGAAGGAACTTTCCGTATTTTCATTTTACAGCAATTTTACCTCTATTTTTAGAGAAAGAATCTTGGCTCGAAGCGTGAGAGGCCGAGAAAACAAACACATGGAGTCTTGCTTTTTGCTGTTCTCAACATCACCACATTCCTCCAAGACTGATGAAATTCTTGATTTACGCTCTTCTCTTTAATTAAAAATTACAATAGTGTTCTTCCCTGAGTCCTGCTATATGTTTTGTTCATTCTGAAATGTTTTACTTATGAGGTAGTTTTAATAAAGTAAATTTTATGAAGTACAGATATTGCACGTTTACACGCTCACGAGAAATTAGTATGTTCTATGTAATTTTGTTTTTGAATGTGCATGTGATTTTTACAAAAGCTGCAGGCCTGTTTGTTTCAGATTCCATGTTTATTTGTTTAAAGAGTATATATATATATAGTAAATGCAGAAAATGACAAATGGAAACGATTATACAAATATAGATTCATGTAATACTAACTTTTCCTTCTGTGACATTTATTTATGTTACCTGTTTCTTTTGTAATAAACTACTGAATGCAATGTTGAAAAAACAGTTTTGTGTACATTGTGCTTCATTTGTTTTACTATATGTTTGGAAAGCTAAATTGGCCTTATAATGATATTTTAACGTACTTAAGCAAAATTTTATCGGTGAAATGTTTTTACAAATTTATTTGTAATTTATTTATTGATTTCAATTTAAAGTTTACTAAAATTTCTGTATTATCATTTAACAGAAAAACTTAATTGTACTAAGGATTTACTGTAAATTTACTGGATTTTCCTTCGTTTTTTTTCCGTAAAAAAAACAGAGTATGTTTTAGCAGAAAACTGCAGTATACTTTTCTTTTTTTTTTTTTACAGAAGTTTTACCGAATGTTTCGTTTACAAAGAAAAACAAATACTACAAATCAGAATTTCCAGAAATTTTGTAAAAAAAAAAATGGAGAAAGGTCTGGTAATTTCTGCCAGTACATTCTACGTTTTTTTACGGAATTATTTTTTACAGTGTGTGCGTGGGTATATTTATATATATATATATATATATATATATATATATATATATATATATATATATATATATATATATATATGTATATCTTTTTTAAATATTTCACAAACGATGTTTAACAGAGCAAGAAAATTTTCTCAGTATGTCTCATAATATCATTTCTTCTGGAGAAAGTCTTATTTGTTTTATTTTGGATTGGTCTTTTTTTTAAATACTATTAGTTGAGTTAAGGGAAGGAGGAGGTTGGGTCAGTCAGTTAGTCACTCAGTTAGTCAAACAGTCAGTCAACAGCAGCTTTACAGTGGACTTACAACAGAACAGCAGGCACAAATGGCACTTGCGAGAAATTTGATGTTTCTAAAAGTGTACACAGTGAACTCTGGTGGATTTGCGAAAACAAAAACGACAAAAAAATGTCACTCCTAGGACGTATTTGGCGCTGTCCAAAAAATGTATATGAAGGTACATTTTCAGAATGAGCCTGGATTGTGAATTTTGGTCACTTGACGTCACCAAATGACGACCCAAATCTAATCTTATGACTTTGTGTGCTTACTAGGGGCAAGAACCCTTTCATTTTCAATAGGTTCTGACTGCCTGCCAGTGTTTTCTTGTTTCGTGATTGAATAAAATTGAAATTGATCCCAACAATATCGATCCTCTGGATCTTTTTTTGTTGTAGTTGCGATGTGAACTATTATTTACCACTGGGAATGATTTTTATGTATCTGTCTTTAGATATATCTAGAAACATCTATTTTTATTATTATCTTTGTTGTTATAAAGCTTGGTGAGGACGGGCCAAAATATTGAGTTTTGTTAGGGTGACCCTGAATCCTCAAAGGTTTAATACTACGACAGGAGGAGTCTAAATCGACAGACAATCTCTAAGTCGAATATTTACAGAGGTAAATTTGAATTTCACAATAGACTACACATTTCCTCCCATTAAATTAATATATTATCATAATGCTGTAAAAAAATGTGAACTCAACATGTTTACATGCATGAATAAATCCAACCACCTGTGAGAGATGGTTTCGCTTGTGACGTGTTTCGCTTCCTATGGTCTGTGACCAACAGAGAAGCATCTATAGGCAACAGGGATTTAAATCATTCCAAATGTCTGTGATGAGAGAGCGTATTTAGAATTTCTTAAAGTGTGAAGACACTTTGACACAGTTTAAGCAATACTGAAATGAACTAACTTAAATGACTTTTCTATTATTGCTTACAAAGCTGCTTTGACAATTATCATTGAAGAAAACAAGTCACAGAAGTCGCCAATAACACAAGGGCGATTCAAACATGACAGAATGTTCTTTTCTTCCTATTTTTTTATTATTTGGTCAATTAACCCTTCAATAAGCTAATGGATCATTAGTGTGTACGAAAGAAGTACAGCAGAATAAAAGGCAGCGTCTGTGCAGCTCAAAAAAAAGACCAAAACAGACCCCACAAAAGAAGTTTATTGTGACTCATTCTGCATTACGCAAATCTTGACGTCCGTCTGTTCACAACACAGCAACTTCTTTGTTATCACACACCCAGGAAATTCCGCCAATTTAACAACACAGAAGAAGAAGGTATAAAAGAAATGGTACACAGACTTTAATTTCCCTCCTGAACAAAAGCAGCATTTGCTGGTAAAGTATGGTCAAAACCAGCATCAAAACAGACCTTTCCAGTATATGCTGTTTTTTTTTTTCCAACACAGGCTCATTAGGAATATGTGTTCAGGGTTACATTTTTGAAAATCACTCATACACTCACCGGCCACTTTATTAGGTACACCTGTCCATCTGCTCATTAACGCAAATGTCTAATCCGCCAATCAAATGGTAGCAACTCAGTACATGTAGACATGGAGAAGACGATCTGCTGCAGTTCAAACCGAGCATCAGAATGGGGAAGAAAGGTGATTTAAGTGACTTTGTATGTGGCATGGTTGTTGGTGCCAGACGGGCTGGTCTGAGTATTTCAGAAACTGCTGATCCACTGGGATTTTCATGCACAACCATCTCTAGGATTTACAGAGAATGGTCAGAAAAAGAGAAAATATCCAGTGAGCGTCTGTTCTGAGGGTGCAAACGCCTTGTTGCTGCCAGAGGTCAGAGGAGAATGGCTAGACTGGTTCCAGCTGATAGAAGGGCAACAGTAACTCAAATAACCACTCGTTACAACCAAGGTCTGCAGAAGAGCATCTCTGAATGCTCAACACGCCAAACCTTGAGGCAGATGGGCTACATCAGCAGAAGAACACACCGGGTGCCACTCCTGTCAGCAAAGAACAGGAAACTGAGGCTACAGTTCACACAGGCTCACCAAAAGTGAACAATAGAAGATTGGAAAAACATTGCCTGGTCTAATGAGTCTCAATTTCTGCTGTGACATTCGGATGGTAAGGTCAGAATTTGGCATCAACAACATGAAAGCATGGATCCATCCTGCCTTGTATCAACAGTTCAGGCTGGTGCTGGTGGTGTAATGGTGTGGGGGATATTTTTTTGGCCCACTTTGGACCCATTAGTACCAATTGAGCATCATGTCAACGCCACAGCATACCTGAGTATTGTTGCTGACCATGTCTAACCCTTTTTGACCACAGTGTACTCATCTCTGATGGCTACTTCCAGCAGGATTATGCACCACGTCATAAAGCGTGAATCATCTCAGACTGGTTTCTTGAGCATGACAATGAGTACTCACATGGCCTCCACAGTCACCAGATCTCAATCCAACAGAGCACTTTTGGAATGTGGTGAGGAAAGGGAAGAATTGCATCATGGATGTGCAACCAACAAATCTGCAGCATCCGCATGATGCTATCATGTCAATACGTACTAAAATCTCTGGGAAATATTTCCAGTACCTTATTGAATCTATGCCATATAGGATTAAGGCAGTTCTAAAGGCAAAATGGGATCCAATCCGTTACTAGTAAGGTGTACCTAACAAAGTGGCCGGTGAGTGTATTTTGCGGTTGAACCCTTGGGCACATATTTCCAATGAGCTCTCAGCAGGGTTGTACTTGTGTGAATGAGATTTGAGAATTAAGGAAGATTCTCAGCAATGAGTGATTGTCTTACCTGAGACTGTGAACTCTGCTCCAGTGTGGCACTCAGGCCTCTGGCGTCCGCATGAAGCTCCAGCTGAGCACAGACACTGCTGTTATTCCAGTTCATAAACACACCTGCGCTGCTGTGAAATGGAAGACCTGCTTCAATAGACAGAGACAGAAACAGACTACACTCAACCACACAGCCATAACATGGGACTGTTAATACCGCTGCACATACAGTAGATATTGACAAATAGGCAGTCGAAAAAGCTATTTTTGTAAAACACCAGGTTTGATGAAAAAAAGATATATTTATGTAGTCTGAAGTCTGAGAAATAATATTTGAGAAAATATTACAGGTCACTAGCTTTATACATTTTTACTTTTTTTTAATAATTTTATTTATTTTTTTCATATTAATGAAGTGTATCTTAAATATGTCTTATGGTGTACTTTAAAAAAGAGCAGTAAATTAGCAGTTTTTTATTATTTGTGTTTGATGTTTTTATTTTACTTGTTTTGTTTATTTAGGTTTTTTAATTGCATTATGGAGCCTTTCTTCCAACAACTTTTAACCTTAAAACATTGAACAAAGTGACTTTTATTAACATTTTTAATAGTTTAAAGTATAGGTGGGCATATATTATTATTGTTTTATCTAGATTAATCTTACTGTAATCTTGTAGTTAATCCTAATTATTCTAGATTAAAAGGGCTCATTTGAATTCTGCTGAAGGCATTCAGAATATGTGTGCTACCCAAATAATGACTAAATATAAGTCTTTGAGAATGGGTTTCTCAAGCCAGGTGGCGCATTAGACCAGGGGCTCATCTCCTGTTTCCAAAATGCATCCCAAACTGCTTGAGAAACTGTTTTACAATGATAATTGGTGATGAAAATAAATGATGTTCAATAAGATGTACTTGTGTTTGCTAACAAACAGCGATTTTTTTGATTACCTTAATCCGACTAAAGTCATAACTGAACTAAACAGAAAAATGGAATTAAGACATGGAGTATGCATATATTAGCGGCATTATTGAAGTAAACACTGCAGTCAAACTATTACTGTCATGTAGGACTTTTCGTCATATATTCCGACAAGATCCAAACGCGGATGTCAATAAAGGTCCGCACACACACACATACAAACACACACACACACATTGCAAAATGTGGAAGTTTTTTTTCTTTCCATTTGACTTTTAATTATTAAATTCCATAACACTCTCACCAGTCCTTACTCCTTATTTGCATGTTATACCCCAGTTTGTCACGAAGGCATAAATGAAATGTTCATGAGTTTAACTCCTAAGCTGCAGTTAAAGTCACCCAAAATTACATGAAACTCCAGCCTGATCTCACGAGAAAACGTAAGTATTTTACGTTTTGCCAGTTTAGTGGCTAATTCGTACAAATTCGTATAATTTCAGTCGTACGAAATAATACGATTTTAAAAAGGAGGCGTGGCACCTAACCCCACCCCTAACCCCAACCGTCATTGGGAGCAAATCGTACTAAATTGTACGAATTAGATCGTACGAATTCATACAAATTAGCCACTAAATGAAAAAGTTACGAATTGCCGTGAGATTGTGTTGGAAACTCTTACATGAAAGCACTTCACGTAAACACCTTAACTATATTATTGTTTATTGAGGCAAATAACTAGATTACTGATGTGCATGTAAGCGTAGTCAGTAGTGTCAACGAATGAAGGGAAGGATCCAGAAGGGCACTTTTTTGTCAGACAGCTCATCAGTCAGGTATACATATTACAGTGCATGACTGTAAAAATATGGAAAAACAACTCTTGATTACATAAAAATAGCATGAGAGGGATTTATCTTCATTGTTGGACACTTAATTTCATATCACTATATGAAAATATGATTTTTTTTTTATTCTATGAACTGTCAGACTTAGACATTTTCAGTAAATATGGGAGGACAACAACACCTAACAAATAGTGAAATATACGAAACATTCTCAAACAAATCTTTAAGAGGCGCATGCCATAAGCTTTACAGAGGTCTTCAATCACATAATCTTGAATGGAGTCCTTGAACTAATTAAAGTTTTCAGTGGAATTGCAGATTTTATATTAGAATATTGTGTCAATATTGTGTGGTTTTCAGTGACAAAATGTATGAAGTTCCTATGTTTTTTTAGTAATATATGAATTAAAAATAGAATGCTATTTTCTAAAATAGTCACTTGTAAAATTAGGCCTGAGGTGTTTATTAATGATTTTACAGTTTCTTTTTTTAATTGATAAGCAGTTTAGAAAAGAGAACAAAAAAATTAAATTATACTCAAGTAAAAGTATAAATAAATGTAGTGCAAGTAGAGTAAAACTATCTATTGTAAACATTACTCAAAGTAGCCCTTTTAAAAGTACTCAAGAGCAGTGAGTAGTGAGCATTACACTGTGAAAGGCTGATGAATATACATGCAAATTGTGTAGGGATGTATAAACGTAACATTCTGTAGTGAATTTAGTTCTTGTATAAGGCCATTTGTTTAAGGACATCTTATTGGACCCTTTTAATGCTTCCAAATGATTTGCTGTATTTATAAAATGCCCATGTCTTCAGGTAGTTCAGTATGATGTGATTTACTTTATATGCGATTTGATTGGACAGGAATCAAAGGATTGGTTTTTCTACTCAGCCAATCATCATAGGCAAGAAATATTCTATTAGTGTATGCAGGTTAAAGGAAATAGTGGAATAAAATACAGATACAGCACTAAACATGTACTCAAGAGCAAGTACAAGTACACATTTTTAAAACTACTAAATAAATTGCAATTCCTGAGAAAAACCACTCAAATACAGTGAATAACAGAAGAAAAAATAAATGTTTAACCATGCATTTTAAAAGATGACAATACTAACTACATTAATTTTTGTCATGTATAACAGTGAAAATGCTACACCATGTCAACAACCCACATACCTGCAAAATGTAGCCAGGGGAAAGAGTGAGACAGCTGGGTATAACTTCTGCACCCGTGCTGTGTTACAATGCTGCTGATGTTTACACACAGTGATTCTTCCATGATAACTACACAAAGTAACGCTCTAAGATCTTCCCCAGATTGCTGAGTCACTTCCAGCCCGTATACAGCATCGTCCACCACTACAGTCAGCTCTCCTGCACCACAAGCACACAACAACAAGATAGTATCAAGCTCTGACATGCAGATAAATGCATACTGCATGGGTCATTCTCAGTAAATCATACTATGAACTTATTGTATTCTGCTGAATAACTAATACCACAGGATAATTTGATTGCTTTATTATAGAAGTAGCTCAATTCATCCAAAGATGAAAATGTACTTACTATTTTCCCACCATCAATTGATTCCAAACCTGAGTTACTCTATTCAGTTGAACACTACACTGTAAACCCTAATGTTGTCTTTACTTAAACAATTAAGAAAAGTTGACTGAACATAACTTAAAATTTTGCATTTTGGTCCTATCACTTAAAAATGTGATTTAATTTAACTTATGCACCATGAAAATGCTTAAACCTAAGATTTCAAGTGTAGTGAGCCCAAAATCATAATTAATCCTAATAAAAAAAGTTTTGACTGTAACATTCTTATAAGTGCAACCTTTTAAGTGCAAGGTCTTTTTTTTTAAATCAGAAAACAAATGGCTTCAGGTCAAATTATTCATCATAATGTGAAATAATAGCTACTTATTTTTTGTTTAAAATTTATTTTTAAAAAGTCATAGTATATTATTACACACATGCATAAATATATAAAAATATATATACAGTTGAAGTCAGAATTATTTGCCCCCTTTTGAATTTTTTTCTTTATTTTTTAATTTCCCAAATTATGTTTAAGAGAGCAAGGACATTTCCACAGTATGTCTGATAATACTGGAGAAAGTCTTGTTTTGTTTAATTCGGCTAGAATAAAACAGTTTTACATTTTTTAAACACTATTTTAAGGACAAAATTATCAGCCCCTTTAGGCTTTTTATCGATTTATTTTAGTCAATATTTTATTAGTCTACAGAACAAATCGACATTATACAATAATCGTCTAATTACCTTAACCTGCCTAGTTAATATAATTAACCCAGTTAAGCCTTTAAATGTCACTTTAATTTGTATAGAGGTGTCTTGAAAAATATCTAGTCAAATAATATTTACTGTCATCATGGCAAAGATAAAATAAATCAGATATTAGAAATGAGTTATTAAAATCATAATGCTTGAAATTGTGTAGAAGAAATCTCTTTGTTAAACAGAAATTGAAGAAAAAAATAAACAAGGGGCTAATAATTCACAGGGGCTAATAATTCACAGGGGCTAATAATTCTGACTTCAACTGTACAGTATATATATATATATATATATATATATATTTATATATATATATATAGTAATGTTTGTCACGTGTTTTTTTATTTTATTTTTTTTTTATTCATGGAATAATGAATGAAATAAAAATGCTGTTCTAATGGAACTACAGGGCACTAGAGGGTGCTGGTCAGGCACCTGGATTGTATAATAGGTGAGTGGGTGAATGGAGAAGAGCATGGCTGTTTCTCAATTCCAAGAACGCAGAGAACGGACTTGCGTTCTTGAGGAGACTGGGTGTGGTCTTGCTATGTGTCCTCGGAAGAACGAACTCGGGAGACCGCGAGAACAGAGAACGTGTCCAGTGAGAAATGAGATGCTTCGGATTTCCTGATGGTCACGTGACCTCCACGTGCTTTTAATGGTAAATAATTTAAACATTACAGCATTTATACAGGGATTTATTGCTTCCCCCCCTTTTGAAAAAATATACAATGTATGAAGACTTTACAAATATACGTTGCACAATATAAATAAAACAGATTTTAATACGAGTTTCAGCAAACAAACACCCTTAATGTGTTTATTCTTTTATTAAGATGTTCATGGAAAGTTTATATTCACCATCTCATTTAGGAAACTCCTGAAGTTAATAAGTTACATCTCTGTACTTTAATAATAAATCTATATAAAATGCTGCACTTTCCACCTCCAGTCGTAATGACTTCTGGGACTTCGATCGCGAGTTCCGTGTTCAAGTCTGCATCGTTGCGTCCTCAAGAACACATCCAGGAAGTTTCATGCGTCTTTCGTACTTGCGGTCTTGAGTATTGGAACTTAACTTTGGCAGCTGATGAGGATGATGTTACACGAGAACACAAGACTGCTGAAGATCGCATATTGAGAAACAGCCATTCAGTTGTGGTAGAGGGAACACATGGTTCCTAGGAACTTTTTCAAACTGTTAGTATTGTGAAGTCCTAGTTGGGAAACTTTGCGTTTTAAGCTTAATCTAAGTGCTTCCTTATTGTCCAGATAACTGAATGTTAGGAAAATGTATAGGCATGCTGTCTGAATAAGATTTGACGTTTTGGATACCATCATAATGAAGTTTCATTAAATTAACAACTAAAAGTAGATCAACATATTTCAACATACTCAATGTTTTTTTTACTCCGATCAGTGACCAGTTACTGGGTTTTTTTATGCTTAACTTAAGGAAAAGACCATCATCCAACAGCTAAGACATTTCTTTATTTTTTTTTGTATTTTGTTTTGAGATAAGTTTTTAAGATATTGGGAGCTTCTTAACTTTATTTTGGGTACATTATTCTTTAAATGAACATATTTTCCATCTAAGAAATGATATATATAAATAATATAAATAAATAAATATATATATATATATATATATATATATATATATATATATATATATATATATATATATATATATATATATATATATATATATATATACCAGTGGTGTAGTCCTTGCTATACGCACGTATACTCAGTATGCTTAATTTTTTCCATGAGCTGTTTGGGTATTACCACTTCTGAGGATAAATAATTGAGTAAACCCTCAGTATACTCACTTGTTTTTCTGATTAAACTTCCCTAATTTACATGTATTTGTGTCCACTTTAACTGTATACCAAACAGGTTTTTTTTTTTAACTCACAACTTAATTTGTTAAGATGTGCCTATCTCTTACAATTCTTACTTAAATATTTATATGATACATTTTTCTTTGTTTACCCCAAAAGGATCTGATCCTGATCCACACTAAAATTAAAATCCTAAAATCGCCCCTGTAAAACAGTATTTCACATTTGTCTTAATTGTGCCGCTAGTGAACGACACTATACCGTATTTAACACTAAAAACAATTAGGCAAAGACTACTCATAAATCGCGTAACAATGTGCCACTTAAAAGGGTAACTACTAGTATATAATAGCGACAACAGAAGACAGACTCCTAATAGTTTGGTTTAAAACAAGCATGCACGAATGTGACAATTAAAAATAATTGCTGATTGATGTTTAAAGGAACCTATAAAATAATAAGCCAGTAAAGAAAGTAAGCTAAAAAGCTGTCTTTCCATTTATGCACAGGCCCTTTTGAGTTAACTTAAATACAGGTAACTGATGTAAAAAAAAAAAATATATATATATATATATATATATATATATATATATATATATATGTGTCGGGTGTAATAGTACACCACCTTTTTTTCTAGGACTACACCACTGATATATACATATATATATTTTTCTATGCATATATATATATATATATATATATATATATATATATATATATATATATATATATATATATATATATATATATATATATATGCATAGAAAAAAATAAATATCGCTTTAGGTGAATATAGGTGAATACAAGAGAGTATGTGTGTTTCCCAAAGCTGGGTTATTGCTGGAAGGGCATCCACTGCATAAAACACATGCTGCTGGATAGGTTGACAGTTCATTCCACTGTGGCGAACACAGATTAATAAAGGGACTAAGCAGGAAAAGAAAATGAAGTAAATGAGCTGATTTGTTGATCTTGATATTTACCTTCTGTTAAACCATTTGACTGGGTTAGCACGCCAACCATACTAACTGAATTAGGCAAAGCGGAGAGATCTTGTATTGAATTAACAACATCTCCTGAAAGAGATAGGTGCAGCTTGTCATGAGGTAGAGATCCAGTCAAGTGAGCACTAAATGTTTCGTCTTCTTTTTTTACCCTGCACTGCAAGAAAACGCTAGAAAGAGAAAAGTGATGGGTAAAAAACTGTTTTGCTCAATACAAATCACACAGCAATACAAATCCTTTTATCAGTTTACCGTTCTGAAGAACAATTTGCATATAAATGAATGTGACCCTCAGGCGTGACCCCTGCTAATAAGGTCTGATGGAAGTCAGCATAGATTGACAATGCATTACTGCCCTTCCCCGCCTTGTTTTCCAGAATCAAGTGAATGGTTGAATTCTTTTCATCTGCCTGCAGGCTGATTGAACTACTGATGTTTCCAAAATGTGACACTATCATTGCTGTATTTGCCTGAAATGACATTAAACACAAGTTAAGCACTCAATTGCTTATGCCATGATCAGTTACGACTATATATATATACAGGTGAAGTCAGAATTATTAACCCTCCTGAATTTTTAGCCCCCCTGTATATTCTTTTGCCCAGTTTCTTTTTAATAACTAATTTCTACTTACTGATTTATCTTTCCCATGATGACAGTACATGATATTTGACTAGATATTTTTCAAGAAACTAGTATTCAGCTTAAAGTGCCATTTAAAGGCTTAACTATGTTAATTAGGGTAATTAGGTAAGTCTTTGTGTAACAGTGGATTTGTTCTGTAGACAATCTAAAAAATATATTGCTTAAGGGGGCTAATAATATTGAACTCAAAATGTATTATTAAAAACTGCTTTTATTCTTAAGAAGAAAAAATATTACAGGAAATACTGAGAAAAATCCCTATTAAAATATAATTTTGGAAATATTTGATAAAGAAAAAAGGTCACAGTAGGATGAATAATTTTGACTTTATTGTATGTAAGTATTTACCTGGTATATCCTATTGTCGATGCATATTTGTCCTTCAGAATGATACTCAAAGTCGCTCTTGCTCCTGTGACTCTTGAGCGCTTCTATATTTAGGCTGACATTTAATGGGAAATCCATCTGAAAAGGGTTTAATTTAACAAAACATAGTGACAGCACAACACAAAGTTCTGTAAAATAACATTCTTTGCCTTCTCTCTGTTTTTGTCTGTAAGCGGCAAACACCATTAAACAGAACAACACTAAAGGTGCATGCCAAATCGCATACTCATACACTATTCTAGTACATTTTGTAGTATAAATAGGATAATGGCCCGTTTCCACTGAGCATTATGATACGTACGCTTTTTTCCAATCACTGGCACAGTATGGTTGGTATGGGTCACCTTTATCAGGCTTGCTTTTCCGCTGCCTAAAAGGGTACCAAGGGTGCTCTACCAATCAGAAACACCTGGGCTAGCAAATCAAGCTCTTACTAGGCTTTCTAGAAAAATCTGTGCAGGTGTGTTGAGGCAAGTTGGAGCTAAAATCTGAAGGACACCGGACCTCCAGGACTCAAGGGGGCTGTTTCATAAAAGTGGTTTAAAAAGTGATTAAAGTCAAAAACCTGACTTCAATGAGCCGAACGATGTTTAATCCACGCTTAAATTCAACCCAAGCTCATTCTGGAAACGTAGCCCCGCGGACGTTTCTGGAGACCGCGATTTATGTGGCCGGACGTACATAAGGCCGCGTTTAGTTTTTTTTGAGCGAACGCTGCGGGGCGGTGTGGCGCCGCTCCGCCCCTCCTCTTCGCGCTCGCCGGCCGACGGTTCGCCTCCGAGTGGAGGGCTTTCCCGATGCAACCACTTTGTCCGCTTAGATCACAGAGTTGCGTCGGCGGAGCGGAGGCCCCGGAGGAGGAGGAGGAGCCGGCTGCGGGGACGAGGACCGGGATCGAGTCCGGGGAACAGCGGTTCCGAAAATCAAGTAAGACGAAAAACAGAATACGAAAAATAAGGGCGAGAACGTGGCGGGATCCGAAAACGCGGTCGAAATCGAAGACGAGGGCTTTTGCTTTTTTTTTTTTCTGGACGGCTTTTGCGAACCGTCGCTCGGGTTTAGGGAAGGAGGAGGAGGAGGAGGAAGAGGAGGGCGGCCGAGTCGGCCGATCCGGCGGCTTTTCGCGCGAGAACGGCATGGGCGTGAATGGCGCGCGCTCCCGAGAGGCGCTCGAGACGCGAAAAAGCGTGCACAGCGGCCTCTCGCGGATCCGCGAAAACAAAGACTGCTCAAATACGTACCTCCCGGGACGTAAATCGCGGACCGCAGAAACGTCCGCGGGGCTACGTTTCCACAATGAGCCCGGGTTGCCTAAATTGGTTCCACAAAAGCAAGTTTAAGATCATTTGATCTAACTAATCTGAGCTCAGTTTAAATAACCTAGATAGCTGCTCATGCACATTACTGTCATAAAACCTTGAAAGTCGAGCTTAGATGCATCAATTATGTTGTGTGCTACCATGGCAATGAGAACTGAAAGATTTCTTTTGTTTTTAGTTTGTTTCATTTGTTTTTAGAGTTCAAACATATAATAATTTAAACATAATAATCAAAAACAACAGTACGGCTTCCAACGAAGCAAGAAAGAAGGCTGACCGGAAATTGCAGATATTAGAATACGGGCCATTATTTAGGTTCAATTATTATTTGTCACAATACATTGAAAGTGTTCTTTTGCGCCAGCAGAGAGAAGGAGAGAATGCGCGCTTAGCCTACTGCCAATTGCTGCTTGCAAGAAAGAAGTTAATGCATTGCAGGCTATGCATTTACGTATAATGTATATTCTTACCTTAATCAGCTGGGACAGGTTGGCTTTTATTGTAATACCTTGCTGAAATGTAGCTGGGTCGTGAAATTGTACCTGACCAAAGGCTTCAAGTCTTTCCTCATTTCCAGCCCACAACCTGACATGAATTTCATGCACATTCTTCACAGAGAAGTGAAGTCAGCACATTTCCAGGACCAAAATGAAATATTGTTAATTTTAAAACTATGATTACATGTTAGATATATAAAAAAAAAAAAAACGAACTATAAAATATTTAAGCGTCATTTTGTTTTGAGTTAGTTCACCTGGTTGTTTTGGACCGTGAAGCAGATTTTGGAGTCTTGAGGAATTCTCTCAGTGCTGAAAGACTGGACCAATGAGGAGCACATCTAACCATTAAAACACATTGTACAACAGTTAGTTTCATTCCTCAAATCTGAAAAAAATATATACATTTTTGTCCAGTGACCCTTCCAGTAGATTATATTGAGATACCATTATGTGGTAACAAGTCACTTACAAAGGATTTCTATAAAATTATATCTGAAGAGTCCCTAATAGTACCTCAAAAGTACATTTTAAGTACATTTGGGCACTAATATGCACCTTTGAGGTACCACTGTGGACTCTTTGTGAACAAATATGTATCCTTTGAAAAGTGACAGCTCCTGTACCTTTATTTCTGAGAGTGTAGCATGTGTGTTTGGATATAACTTTGGTTTTTTGACCACACTTCGTTATTATTGTTCATTTATTTGTTTGCTGGAAATTAGAACTGAATTTACAAATAGTTTTTAAACAAATATTTGCGCTTAACAACCTAAATTAATTATGTATTGGCTAATGCAGTGGTTCTCAAACTTTTTTCATCAAGTACCACCTCAGAAAAAAATTGTCTCTCCAAGTACCACCAAAATGAGCAGTATTGAAATACAATAGAGTAGTCCTAGTAAAGCAGCTACAACTCCACACGGTTAAAAAAAAAAATGTGGCAGATTACCTCAGAAATATAGGCTATATTTCATATATGGCATATTATATACATAATTTTTGATAAATTTTGAAATATATGTAACATATACATGACATATTTCATTCCTCCGTGTACCACTAGAAGGAAGTCCACGTACCACTAGTGGTACACGTACCACAGTTTAAGAACCACTGGGCTAATGGATATATGTGCGTACAACAGGTTTCCTTATCCACGAAAGGGAGTGAAAGTAAAGAATGAGGAGGCTCATTCTCGCGCTGCAGATGCTCTGTTTACTGTTTTATTGCTAGTGAAGCGCTCAGTTTTTCCACTTACAAAGTCCGCCATGTAAATAGCAAATGCGCTACGGCACAACTCAACTGACTGGGAATGAGAGATGAGACTCTGATTGGTTTATTCTCAAAACACACCTATAACTCATTAAGAGAATAAGCTTAACCCTGTTAAAGGGTTAAGGATTTTTCCATCACTGAAATAGCAAAAATGGATTCTGACATGCCCTTAATGCTTTTGCGCCCTACGCTTTAGACTTTGCGCCTAGATCAATAAAATAGAGCCCAATATGTCCAAATCCTATTGCCTTTAAGAGTCAGTTGCATTGCGTTGTAGTTGCATAACAGCTTCGTTAATATGTAAAGAGCCCCAATTATGGGTTTTTGAAAATGACCTACCATTCAGTGTGCAACACAGCTCTAAGTGAATGGAAATATCCAGCTGAAGTTTAAAACTGAAAGTGCACCTTATTTAAAAAATATCTTATTTTCTTTAAATAAAAGAGTCAACTCTGTGTTGTTTAAATGATTCAAAAGTCATCCGGATCGTATCCTGATGTAGACACAAAACAGTACCAAATATGAAGTGCCGGATCTGGTAAAACGTGAACGTGCCTTTTCCTTCAAACACTAGCGGAGTGCAGGTGTGTGTGGGACTGATCATGACTGAAGATGAGTGAACATTAATGAGTGAAAATTCTGGTGATTATTGCAAGAATCTACACTGCAACAAAAGATTCGTCTGCCGTCAGAGCTTGACAGGAACTTTATCAGCACACAGTTCATGGACCAGTTTCTTTCTCCATTTCACAAGTGTAAATACGATTAAAATGGTTACCTCCTTGTTTTGTCTAGCTTGCAAAATATGTATTTAAGTGTGTTTTGTTACTTGTAATCACTCCACATGGCCTGTACTGCATCTGGTTAACTTCATATTTACATATCGGGTCTAAAGCCATTTCGAAAACGCGACGTGTGCCACTTTCTTTACGGATTTGAATGCGTTTGTGAGCTCGCAATCCTCAGCCATTTGTCATTGCTACGGCCATCATCAGCTGTTTCTACACATGTGCAGTGGTCAAGTTTCAAAATAGTTCAGCGTTTGCCACTGTGTGGATTAATACTGAATGTGTGTCACTGTTTTTACTTATGGTTAAGAATAGAGCAATATGCTGGTGTTTAACTGCATTGCTTTAATGCACTCCTGCATTGTGCTCACACATACACTCTGCACGCTGGCTGCTTCAACAATGTTGATAAGCCGTGGTGGGCGTTTCTCTCTGTCTCGCACTGAACACAGTCGACCAATCACAACAGACTGGGTCATCAGACCAATCAACGCAGATCAGCATCGCGCTAAGGAGGGGTTTGGGAACAAATGAATCCCTGAATGAATCATATGGAAGTCATTAGGATAATGACTATCTGCGTGCTGTTGGAGACCCCCAAAATCTAAATATGACATTTTTAAATACATAATAGGGTTTTTTATGACATATCTCTGACAAATTCATTCTGCACCACTAATTGAGGTCATGAAAAATATTAACGAGGCTGTTATAAAGTTCATGACACAGTTATAAGGGTCTTACGATAATGGTGTGACAATGGCTATTAGTGAACATCTCAAACCAACAATCAAAGACCAAAGATTTCTGCCTTATTGAACAAAATTGTGGCTAAAATTGCTAAGAGTGAGCTGGGTTTTATCTGTTCAAAATAAATCATTCAGGACTACAATACTATGTTGGGAAAAGTGCAACTGTTGACTCTGTTTTGTTTTACTGCTGTTGTAATGACTTTATACAGCACAATGCTGTATGTGAAAGCAACTTGTGTCCATCCACAGCACATAAATTATATTTTAATACACAAAGTTCGCCAGAAAACGAAAAGAAAAATCCGACTTAGCACCCAGACCTTAATGGCCTTGGTGATTCTACACTAATAGGCTTGTACTGTAATACAGGCTATGAAACATGATTATTACACAGTGTGTTGATACATTTCACACTCACGTATGGCTGCTGTGGCTGGAAACCCAGAGTAAGGACATGAATGGCCTTTCTGTTTCCATGGACAAGAACCTTTGACTCCAGAGTGTAAACCTTGTGATGTAGATCACTGGTGAATGTCTCTTGGAGAATGAGACTCTGAGGGAGAAACTTAAATGGTTGTCTGTTAAAAAGAAGCGAAAACAGAATAAATACTTGAGTACAGCAGAATGGATAAATCACTAAATTCTGTCAACATTTGCTCATTTTTTACTAGTTTCTTATTATTCTAAAGATAATCAGCTATTTATTTCCATTGCATTTTTCTATAATATGGAAGTCAATGGCTACAGGAACTAATAGTTTTGTTACAATGTACTAATTGTAAATACATGTATTTACTGTGTAATTATGCTTGATTAAATACATGTATGTAATTAACTTTTGTTATTACATTTGTAAATACACTGTTGACCATCCCTTACACCTTAACCCACCCTTAAACCTACCCATGCCACCAAACCTGTCCATAACCCAACCCCTATCCCAACTTAAAAGCACCACAAGTGTTCTCAAATACATTATCAACACAGTAAGTACGTTGTATTTATTTTTATGTAAGTACATAGTAGTTAAGGACACTTAATATAAAGTGGGACCAAATATTCAAATTGATTTGGAAGTAGTGGAGGCTGAGTAAATGGTCAGTGAAGTTTCAAGTAGTTTCCATTCAGACCTGAAGTTTAACTTCCATCTTTTCTGATAAACCCTCTTGTCCTTCCTTGTTTCCTCTATGGCCCCCTCAATCTGTAGCTCCGCATAAGGGTTTTTAAGATCTGCCAGGGTCATTGTCATCATCAAAAGCCTCTTCTTTAGCTTCTGCACAGAAATAAGTATCAGAAATAATACATCCAAAATGGTTCACTTTCATGCAAACTCATGTTGTATATAGCTGTATTGCCGGCAGCTAGCTCTCTGCAACTCTCAAATGGTCGCCCACTGAAGAAATAATCATTAAACCCATCTTCTGTATTGCAATCGAGTTCTCGTCCTTTCCTTTCCTGAAACCTGACAGAAAGTGTCTGATGCATATATAGTAGAGACAAGAGTTTCTACAGGTGGTTTATTCAGCTCACTCACCAGTGTGAACCACACTCAGAATAGAAAATAGAGTATTTGTAAGAAAGTGTCTAATGCATATAGAGAGGAAAGAGTGTGTTTCTGAGACCTTATCCAGAGTGCTGAGAACTGCTGAAATGTTAAGGTCCTGCTTGCCATAGCCTGCGCTCATTTCCAGAGTCTTCACTTGCTTGCCATTGCCTACAGAGATTTGCCCATGCAAGGCCGGTGTCCAGGCTGTGCTGATGGAGTATGAAGCTTTGACTCCACGCTTACCCAGCACGCTCCATCCACCAACCTGGAACGATAGTAACATGGGATTATACACTTGTTCTGTTGCTACTCCAAGGGGACCATCTGAAGATTTCGCAACCCAGGCCCATTGTGAATATTTTCCAAGGTCTACAATTCTGAAGACTACAAAATACAACCCAAGCTCATTCTGAAAACGTAGAGAGCCAAATACGTCCCAGGAGCTACGTTTTTTGCAGTTTTTGTTTTCGCGTATCCACCATAGACTGTAAAATATATGGACGTAGTATCCGTGACGTCACCCATAGGTTTCTGAAGAGCGCAAAAGAAGCCACAAGTAGGCGCGGCCAACCGTCGCCATTTTGGTCACGCGTCATCACACCCACGGCGGGATACCAAACAAGGGCAAAGAGGCGGAGAGTGAGCGGAGCTACAGACACCTGCTGGCATTTAGCTTAGACCTGGTTCAGACACACTTTACTTTGGAAGAAATGCTTAATACTTTATCACCTGTGACTCGTTTGTATTCTGACCACTTGTGCTTGGTTGTACACTATATCAATAAAGTGTTTAAACTTTTAAAAACACACTGCTGTAATACATTGAGCCACTAAACATTGTTCTTATGACGTTTCTCAACAGGAGGAAAACGCGAATTACTTACAAACACTTCAGATATAGTCTGTGTTAGTTACTGTAAGACTATTGATAAAATCCAGCATAACACTGTATGACAACGCTTCAGATGACTGTTCTAGAGCCTACAGCTAATCAATCTGTCAGATTCTGGAGTGCATTACAGCTCTAAATATAAATATAAACGATAAATGATCTTAAATAAAACAAATACATGTATAGAGATGGTAGATAAGTATATAACTTTACTCACATGGGAAACGGAGGCCACGTGAATGGTTTGTGAGCACAATTAAGTGCCCTCAGCATGCCATGCCATCTAATAATTGTAGGAAACAAGTCCAAAAGGCAGTTGACTGTGTAAAGCCCTATAAAACAACACAGAAATACGATAAATGTGCCGAGTTCAGTGGCTAATCTGCAGGATTCAGCTGAGGTGACGTGACGGCGACCAGCGAGACCTAGCTGTCACTCAAGTGACCACGCCCTTAATTATGCAAACTTAATATAACTTAATATAAAGGAAACAGATGAGTTATAAAAAAATTCACCCCCCTCACAGTTGTCATGAAGGGTAATATTAGCTGTATTAACCAAAATCTTTTTTTGTACCAGGCTGTAAACACCTTTTTTTCTGCTGTAAAGTTGGCCATTCTAACAGTGGGCTCAATTGAAATTTGCTCTGTTTTGGAGCCAGGAGCGGCCCGGACTAGCGGAATTTCGGATGAATTGCAGTTTTAGTTACTTCCGTATTGGCTTCCTGAGAGAGAGCGGGAGGTTGCCGCTTGGTATCCACCAGAGCCCACTGTGTCCATTTTTTGAGGTCTCGAATTTTTCTCGTGAATGCCATTCGCGCCTGCTGTTCCCACGTAAATCCACTAGAGGCCGCTTTCGACTGACTGACTGACCTACCCTTCTCCTTTCCTATACCCAACCAATGGTGCTTTCAAAAGCACAGATTGACCCATTATTTTTGGCTTCTATTTTTGTCGTACACGCTTTCTGGAACCGTTCTTCGCCAAACCTAAACATCGTTGTCTTGTTCAACTCCTCTCTGCATCTCAAGTCCACTGATGTACATGGCAAGCCACTGGACAAAGTGGTAACAGTGGGAAAGCAGTCCACATGGAGGTAAGTGCATAGCTGTTAAGCGCGAAAAGGAACACCATCATAGCAGCACTTAGTGTTTGCTTTAAAGACGAAATCCACTCATACGTACTTCAAGCTACACCATTTGCATTCTCCAGAAATGTATATAGGGCTACGTTTTCAGAATGAGCCTATGTTGGCAAAATACATACCCAGAGCTACATCTGCTGGCAGGTTTTGTTTTCGCAAATCCACTAGAGGCCTCTGTGTACACTTTTTGTTGATCTCAGATTTCTCTCACGATTGCTATTTGCATGTCTTCTTCTCGCAAAAATCCATCGCAAAATGTATTTCTTGTTGACTGACTGACTGACCCACCCACCCACCACCTTCCTTAAACCTAACCTCTAAAGTAATCTAGAAAAGGGGCGGCTTTTACCTCTTTTTCAGATTTAACCACATTTTCACATTTGTTTTACAAACAAAATGCAGCCAGACGTACCTCTGGGTATTTATTTCACAGAAATGTAGACCTGGGTACATATCCACAATGAGCCTGTGTTAACATTTTTACCCCTCAGACATGAGAAGCTCACAGTGAGGAGTGTTTTAATCAAGTGTTGGACAGAAGGTACGGTACACCCACCTTGACGTAACTGAAAGTTGGCGTGAAAAGATGTAGCTGGCCTTGTCGTTCTTTACCCCTGTCCTTGTAGAAACCCTCCAGTGTAACACCGCGGATATTTACTAGTTTCCTTGTGGTTACCTCAGAGCTGAACTGTGTGATGCCGCGTTGAGGCTGAGCTAGTTTTTGAGCTGCGTACACATAGAGCCAGGGTGTATCCATGTTGAATGAGCCTGTGGAGACAGTGAATGGCAAGCACACTTTGACACAAACTGTATGAATTCACTCTTTCAAACGGGTCATTTACATCTAAACCTACTAGAGATGCATGACTATTGAACTCACAGCAATACAGAAAATACTATCTATCTATCTATCTATCTATCTATCTATCTATCTATCTATCTATCTATCTATCTATCTATCTATCTATCTATCTATCTATCTATCTATCTATCTATCTATCTAAAAACTGTTTTAATCTATCTATCTATCTATCTATCTATCTATCTATCTATCTATCTATCTATCTATCTATCTATCTATCTGTCTGTCTATCTGTCTGTCTGTCTGTCTGTCTGTCTGTCTGTGTTCTGTCTGTCTGTCTGTCTGTCTGTCTGTCCAACCCAAGCTCATTCTGCAAACGTAGCCCCGCGGACGTTTCTGGAGACCGCGATTTACGTGGCCGGAGGTACGTAAGGCTGCGTTTAGTTTTTTCGAGCGAACGCTGCGGGGCAGTGTGGTGCCGCTCCGCCCCTCCTCTTCGGGCTCGCCGGCCGACGGCTCGCCTCCGAGTGGAGGGCTTTCCCGATGCAACCAGTTTGTCCGCTTAGCTCACAGCGTTGCGTCGGCGGCGCGAAGGCCCCTGAGGAGGAGCTGGAAAGCAGGGACGACGACCGGGATCGAGTCCGGGGAACAGCGGTTCCGAAAATCAGGTAAGACGAAAAATGGAATCCGAAAAATAAGGGCGAGAACGCGGCGGGATCCGAAAACGCAGTCAAAATCGAAGATGAGGGCTTTTGCTTTTTTTTTTTTCTGGACGGCTTTTGCAAACTGTCACGAGGGTTTAGGGAAGGAGGAGGAGGAGGAGGAAGAAGAGGAGGGTGTCCGAGGGTGTCCGAGTCCGGATCCGCGAAAACAAAAACCGCTCGAATACGTACCTCCCGGGACGTAAATCGCAGTCCGCAGAAACGTCCGCGGGGCTACGTTTCCACAATGAGCCCGGGTTGCATCTATCTATCGTTCTATCTATCTACAAACTGTTTTTATCTATCTATTAGGGATGTGCGGAGCAGCCGGTATTTGTATTTGTATTTGTATTTGTTGAGGGGGGAAAAGTATTTGTATTTGTATTTGTATTAGAGTAAAATTCAAAATGGCGCAAAAATATATATTTTTTCTATTACACTTCTTATTTACGTTATAGTGAAAGTATTGTTTAATTATACCCATTATATAAATTATAGACATGCAATATTGGTTGTTGTTTTTGAACATGTGACAAGAAATGTCATTGAAAAGAAAATAACATGGAAGCCATTATCTCATCCATGGTTAAACCAACAACTAATAAAATACCATTGTGAATATTATGAACCCCACCACCACCGTTCTTGTTGAAGGACACTGAATAGACAGAATAAAAACAAATAATACTTCAAAAAACTGTTCTTCTTCTGAAAGAACTTTTTTCCAATGGACAGAATTCCAAATACTAATATTAACTAAATAAATCTAAATAAAACCCTGCCTGGGGGATCTGGCAGAACAAACGTATTCTATATAATACTAAAAGATACAGCCCTTATATTGTCATCTGCCTGCCACAAAACAAACACAAAGTTTTTTTTTTTTTTATGTTTGAAACTGACTTGCTGGGGCAGAATGTAGCTTTGTTGATGGTTTGGTGCTAGTGGAGGATTTAGCAGAACATAGCTGAGCTGATTGAGGGGATTGATGCTTGTGGGGGGTTCACAGACAGTATCAGGAGAGGATGCTTTTAGTGCATGTGATAATACATTACATAGAAGGTTGCGCGGTGGCACAGTGAGTAGCACTGTCGCCTGACAGCAAGAAGGTTGCTGGTTCAAGCCCCGACTGGGTTCTCCCCATGTTGGTGTGGGTTTCCTCCGGGTGCTTCGGTTTCCACCACAGTCCAAACACATGCAATACAGGTGAATTGGGTAAGCTAAATTGTCCCTATTGTATGTGTGTGAAAGAGAGTGTATGGATGTTTCCCAGTGCTGGGTAGCAGCTGGAAGGGCAGCCACTGCGTAAAACATATGCTGGATAAATTGGTGGTTCATTCCACTGTGGCAACCCCAGATTGATAAAGGGATTTAGCCGAAAAGAAATTAATGAATGATTATGCATAGAAGATGTTAACAGATGTTTAATATCTCTGACTCTGCTGATTTCACTTTTGCACACATTATACAGTATCACTTTGTTTTATCTGCAAAACCACTGACTGTAATATGCTTCCACACAGAACCTGAAGGTTTTTTTTTTTCTTTTGACTGGTGGAGGACCAAGAAATGGCTCAGCAGCAGTCTCATTTTTTCATAGTGCCAAAATGTATTTGAGGAGTTTTAAGTTAATAAAAAGTGACGGTAAGCTATGCTAAGGTTAACTAGCCTATAGCATATATCTTGCTGTCTGCAAAAGACAGTAATGTAGACGTACCATATAACTCCCATAGGTGCATACTATTCGACACAACTGCAAAAGCATCGCTTTAACCTTTATAAACGAACGTTAACGTTACTCTGTCAACAGTCTATTGTCTAAATTACCGCGCTAACAGAGCTAACGTTGCGTAAACGGAGCACCCGGTTGCAGACGTCCGATCAAACTCCGCTTTAACTCCGCTACAAGTTTATAAACTGCCTTTGGAACCCAGTTAAGGTACAAAAATCTATTTAACAAAAATTATGATGCAGTGAAGTATTTTTTTCGCTCAGCCGAGCCTTCTGTCTGTTGCTGTGGAGAAGCGCCCTCCGACTTCTGACTGAGCGTCTCTCTCTCTCTCTCTCTCTCTCTCTCTCTGTCTCTCTCTCTCTCTCTCACTCACTCACTCACTCTCACTCACGCGGGCATGCACTGTGGTCTCATGAGGAAACGCTGCTTTTTGATATAGTGTTTTTCTTGCTCCCGAATACAAATAATTATTTCAAGTATTTGTTCGAATTAAGTATTCGTAAAAACACGCTATTCGTGCCTTTCCGAATACCGTATTCGGGTTCGGCTCCACCCTTACTATCTATCTATCTATCTATCTATCTATCTATCTTTTTTAAATAAATTATTACCAACAGGCATGTCAAGCTAACCTCAAAAGTTTATCTCGATGAACTTTAATAATGTAGTAACTTATTACACTGGTTCGTTTGCTGTGGCAACCCCTGATAAATCAAAGACTATGCTGAAGGAAAATGAATGAATGAAAGTTAATTGTTATGTTCTCAGTAATGCAAGATGCAATAATGTATTTAAATGAATGTACTAAATAATGTACCAACACCCCAAGACAAAATATGCTGGTAAAATAACATGAACATTAACTGTTGCTGGATTCAATGTATCGACAGATTTTAGAAAGCTTGTCAACAAAATCTCTATCAAAACCAGCAAAGCTATCAAAACATCTATGAAAGCATCTCAAAGGACATTTCCTGGACCATCAACACCTCCAGCCTGGTCAAGAAGGCTCACCCGCACCTATTTTTCTTAAGGCAACTTAAAAAGAACCAGCTTTCATCAGCCATCCTGGTGAACTTCTATTGCTGCAAAATAGAGAGCATCCTGACCAACTGCGTCACAGTCTGGTATGGAAGCTGCTCTGTTGCTGAGCGTGAAGCGGGTGGTGAAAACTGCCCAACGCATCACAGGGACCACACTGCCAGCCATAGAGGACATCCAGAAGAAACACTGTCTGCGCTGAGCACGCAGTATTCCTAAGGACACCTCTCACCCTGCTCACAGACTGTTATCACTCCTGCCTTCCGGCAGGCGCTTCAGGCTCCCTCGGACAAAAACCAGCAGACTGAGGAACAGCTTTTTCCCCGGGGCTGTCTCTCTTTTGAACTCTGCACCCCGCTGACTCTCCCCACCCCCAATACACCCCCCACTCTCCTCTAACTAATACTCCTCACAATCACTGCACTGTTTAACATTTGCACATTTAAAAGTTGCACATATTCATTGCACTACATTTAACTGTACATACCCACTGCACATGGACATTTGTAATCATGTTTATCTATCTGAACACTTCTGATTATTAATAGCAACCTGTACATATATCCATTTATTGTTATTCTCTATTCATAGCTAATACAACCTGTATATAATGTTGATATTACATCCATCTGTAAATATCACCGTGGTTTTTCTATAACTATACTTTATAACATATACCTGTATCCTGCACTTGCTGCTATTGCACTGCTGGTTAGACCTAAACTGCATTTTGTTGTATTGTACTTGTACATGTGTAATGAAAATAAAGTCTAATCTAATCAAAAACAAGGCAATCTATATGGTTCATATACACATTATTACAGATTTAGAACATGTATACATAGACATCATCTATGTAACCAACCCAGAGTCATTCTGGAAACGTAGACCCGCGAGCGTTTCTGGAGGCGACGATTAACGATTTACGGAGGAACGTATGTTAGTTTTTTTCGAGCGAACGCTACGGGGCGGTGTGACGCCGCTCCTCTTCTTTGCGCTCGCTGGCTGATGGCTCACCTCCGTGTGGAGGGCTTTCCCACCGCAACCAGTTTGTTCACTTAGCTCGTAGTGTTACGTTGGCGGAGCGGAGGCCTGGAGGAGGAGGAGCCGCCCGCGGCAACGACCAGGTTCGAGCCTGGGAAAGAGCGGTTCCAGAAATCAGGTAAGAAGAAAAACAGAATCCAAAAAATGAAAGCGAACGAATTTGCACGGGGCGAGAAATCGGCGAAATCCGAAAACGCGGTCAAAATCGGACAAGGGCTTTTGCTTTTCTTTTCCGGATGGCTTTTGTAAATCGTCGCTCGGGTTTAGGGAAGGAGGAGGAGGGTGGCTGGGTTGCCCAATCGGTCATTCAGTCAGTCAGTCGGACGGACGGTCGCTCGACAGCGGATTCTGGCGGCTATTCACGCAAGATCAGCACGAGCGCGAACGGTGCACACAGCGGCCTCTTGCGGATTAGTTAAAACAAAAACTGCACAAATACGTACCTACCGGGAAATGTCTCCTGAAATGTCAGCAGGGCTACGTTTTCACAATGAGCCTGGGTTGTATGTAACTTATATACCTATATATTCTAACTATGCTTATAATAACTTTACCTATTAAAAGCTATTAGTTAATTAGTTACTAGTAACTAATAAAGTTATAGTGACTAATAACAATACATTTTCCGAATTTGATTTGAATGCAATACTGTGCACCTTTTGAAAAGCTGTTTTGAAACAATAATTATTGTGAAAAGCGCTATACAAACCAACTTGAATTGAAGTCAATGCACACACACCTTCCCACTTTTGAAGGGAAGTCTTCGTTGAAACATCCTTCCAGTGGACACCGGCTATCAGAGGCATTTGATTGTTGTAGTTGATTTTCAGGTGGGTGCTGCTCTCTGATTTTTGTGTCTTGAAGTTATTATGCAGAAGCTGAGTTCTGTAATTCTGACCTCTGTCCAGAAGACGCAGGCTGAGCTGGAAGAAGCAGCATATGTTATTATGGCACATAAGTATACAAGACCACAATATGAGCGAGCAGATTCGATAGCCACATTCAGAGTGAACATATTTGGTAGAATGAAACCTCCACTGCGTAACTGGTGAGGTCTGGTCCAGACTGGTTTCTGAGGGACTGATTAAAGAGGATCCTGTGTTTGTTGCTGCTCTGGTTCCACTGTTTTCCATAGCTTATATCAAGAGATGACTGGACGTGGACTGGGCTCCTTTCGTGTTTGAAGAGAATCTGTTGGTGGAAACAAACTGAGATAGATCCAGCTGCAGACCCACACGCATTTCAGGATGTTAGATCCAGACTACTGGATAAAGGCTGGTGAACACTATATCTGGGCAATGACAAATTAGTCATGGTTTTGTATCATTAAATTAGCTATCCTAAGAATATCTACGTGAATTCTGTTTACACTACCTGACAAAAGTCTTGTCGTTGATCTCAGTTGTTAGAGCAACAAATAATAACTTGACTTATAGTTGATCATTTGGAAAAGTGGCAGAAGGTAGATATTTCTGATGGATCATCTGTTGAGCTGCATGTCAATCTTCACAAATACTGCAGAAGACCTATTGGAACCCGCATGGACCCAAGATTCTCACAGAAATTAGTCAAGTTTGGTGAAGAAAAAAATCATGGTTTGGGGTTACATTCAGTATGGGGACACGCGAGAGATCTGCAAAGTGGATGGCAACATCAACAGCCTGAGGTATCAAGACATTTGTGCTGCCCATCACATTACAAACCACAGGAGAGGGCAAATTCATCAGCAGGATAGCGCTCCTTCTCATACTTCAGCCTCCACATCAAAATTCATGAAAGCAAAGAAGGTCAAGGTGCACCAGCACTGGCCAGCCCAGTCACGAGACATGAACATTATTGAGCATGTCTGGGATAATATGAAGCAAGAGGCATTGAAGATGAATCCAGAGAATCTTGATGAACTCTGGGAGTCCTGCAAGAACGCTTTTTTTGCCATTCGAGATGACATGAAGTGATTTGAGTCATTGCAGAGATGTATGGATGCAGTCCTCCGAGCTCATGGGAGTCATCCACTGCACCATGACTTTGTATTCTATACTGTACGTGTGGTTTATTTATAAACTGATTTCGAAAGGATCACGTGCTTGTGATTGAACACAGCTGGAACTGCATCAGATCCGTATATTACAACAATCAGATGAATACTGACGCACTATAAATAACCAGAGCTTTCTACTCCAGTCATCTTCATCTTGAAGAATCCCCCCTTCCACTCCTACCCCTCCTCCGATATGGCAGCCCAGTGGTTAGCACTGTTGCCTCACAGCAAGGCACGACACAATTGTTGTTTGCTAGTTTCAGCTTGGCGCAAGAGTCGTTTTGATGTTTTGCGCCACACTGTTAAAATAGCAAATACATTTGCGCTCATATGTGCGCCCTTTGGGGTTCTGGTCTAAAAAAGGAGGTGTGTTATGGTGCATTGCTATTTTGAGAAACATAATAGACCAGATCAAAGGTGGTCTAAAGTCCAGCGCAGAGCGCGTTAGTCATGCGCCTCACTTACACATTGCTTAATACACACAGGATGTAGAGTAATACGCAAATATCTTTACAAATAATTATTTATTATATTTATATTTATATTTGTTTTATTAGGAACAAGCTTAGATTTCTCCACCTGTCAGGTTTTGTACCATATGAGGAATAGCATGTGTGTTTGGAAATAACTCAGTTTTTTTAACACACTTCATTTATTCATAATTTATTCGGCTAATGGATGTCTGTGCGTACAACAAGTTTGCCTATCCACGAGATTGAAAGTGAAAGTAAATAATGAGAAGGCTCATTCTCTCATTCTCACGCTGCACATGCTCTGTTTAACTGTTTTCTTGCTAGTGAAGCGTTCAGTTTTTCCACTTACAAAGTCCGTCATATAAATAGCAAATGCGCTATGGCGCGACGCAACTGACTCTTAAACGGAATGGGAGATGAGACTCTTATTGGTTTATTCTCAAAACAGACCTATAACTCATTAAGAGAATAAGCTCAACCCTGTTAGACCATGCGCCGCGGTGCAAAGCAGATTTTTCCATGCTTAAAGTAGCAAAAGTGGATTCTGACACGCCCTTAATGCTTTTGCGCCCTGCACTTTGGACTTTGCGCATGGATCATCAAAATAGAGCCCTTAGTCAGACATGTCTCAGCACGTTGACAAGCGGGGGAGTTCTCGAGACCTACCTGAGCTCAAACTCTTCTCTCGCCCTTCAAACAGGAGGGAGCCCCGGACTCAAGGATATTCTGAGCTCCGGACTCAAGGATATTCTGAGCTCAGAGCTCTCTCCCGGGACAGCATACCAAATACGCTCTATTACCAATCATCAGCTAAGTGTGAACTCTCAAGTAAGTCAGACCTTACTGTCCTAATTAAATAAATCAAAATCAAGGCATGATCATATTTTATTTTGCTGAAATAAGGGTAATCTAGAGGCCTTTGCCTTTCATATAAGCCACTTCTGATACCAAATGATTAGCTAATAGTCAAGTTATTATTTGTTGTTCCTAAAACTTAGGCGACAAGACTTTTATCAGGTAGTGTACAGTTGAAATCAAAATGATTATCCCTCCTGTGATTTCCTTTTGAAATATTTCCCAAATGATTTTTAACAGAGCATAGGTTTTTTACAGTAATTACTATAATATTTTTTTCTCCTAGAGAAAGCCTTATTTGTTTTATTTTGGCTGGAATAAAAGCAGTTTTTAATTTTTTTTAAAACCATTTTAAGGTCAATATTATTAGCCCTCCTTATCTTAAGTAAGTAAATAAATAAATGTCTTTCTTGTCACTTTTTCAAAAAAAATGCATCCTTGCTGAATAAATGTAACCATTTCTTTTTTTGAACATTTGTTTACTTGATGGTTGCACCGCATGACATTTTTATAGTCTTTAAATTTAAACTTTTCTCAAAAATTATCCATGAAACCAAAGAATGCATTTGAGTTATTGAGACAATAAATATTACCTTGTGGTTTAGGTTGATGAATTGGGAGCAGTGGAGTTCATGAGCTGCTGTTACACGATACGTCTGGATGGAGTCCGATTCGCTGTGAAGATTCTGGGTCATGTGACACTCTTGCATTTTCTCCAAATCTTCTGAAAAAAGATTCAAGTGATTGAAAAAGTCTATTGTGCTCTTGTCTTGAAATGGTGCATTATTGTTATTTAGAAGTCACTTACCTTTTACACCGTACCTAACCCTAACAGCAGAACTCCACTCAGAACCCCTTTGCTTCAATAACCCAAGACCTCTGAGACTGACAGCGCTGGGTAAAAGAAATCCAGCATCTATTGAATAATGTCTCCTGCCATCTTCCAAACTTCTCTCCAGCTGCACTGTGAAGTGAGGCAGAACATAGAGAGTTGTTTGCAAATCATAAAGGCATTGTAAGTCATGTGCAAGAGAAGAAAGAATAGAACATAACTTCATGACTTATATAATTAAAAAATAATATATTATAATATTAAAAATATAGTATCCCGTTGATTATTGTCAAACTTCCAGCTTTGATTAAAATCAGGGTGTCAAACTCATTTTAGCTCAGTGGCCACATGGAGGAAAATCTGTTCTGAAGTGGGCAGGACTGGTCAAAACAATGGGGGGGTTGGGGGGGTTAGTCGTGTGGTTGGGTACCACGCCTCCTTTTTCAAATGGCACATTTTTATACAACTGAACTCGTATAAAATTGCCACTAAACTGACAAAACGAAAAATTGTTACATTTCCTCGTGAGATCACCTCAGTGAGCAGTGTTTCCCATAGGTTTAAAATATACTTGCTGTAGAAGCCAGATTGAAAAATAACACATAAATGGTCAACTACATGCGAGAAACAAAAAATAATTAGATTTTTAACTTGATTTTCATTAATTATGACACTGTTATACACCTTTTATTTTCAATGGGTTAAAGTTATTTTAAAAAGGCTGTTGAAGTAATAGAAATCCACAACTTCTATGCTATTTAGGAGCCATGTGCACCCACAGACAGGTAAAGGCTGCTCAATGACATTTACAGTACTGTCAAAGCATTTTAGATATGTATAAAGTATGTAATATATTAACATCATTAAGTGAATAAAATATACAGCAAATGAGAAATAAATAACAGCAAAAAGGAATACAAATAGACAGTATTGCTAAAAATAATAATAATTACTAGAAAAAAAATGTGTAGATTATTGAAACAAAGCTAATTTGTTGATTAGCCATTTCTTATGGTGTACAAATATTTTGCAGGCATTATAGATGTCATTTTGTTCTCTCCGAGTATAAAGTTATTAAATGATTAATCATTTAATGTTTCTATTGCGGCTGTGCAAACACAGTCAGATGTAAAATGGTAATGCAAAAACACATACAAGTAACGGCAACTTAAAAAAAAAAAGTAAAATCTGAATCCTGGACATTTAAGGAGATTCAGAAACTACAGTCGGATACAGCGGAAAAGGCGTCCCTGTGGGTCTGCAGAGCACGTGAGAGTTCCTGTGTGAGTGACCGATCGCGCACACACAGAACCAGTAGGAAACATGCAGAGTGAGAGAAGATTTTCCACTGGTTAATCAATCGCGAGTGTTTAGTTTTCTTGGACATATACAAAAAAAGTGTAAAAGCATGATAATAATAGTAATATTCATGTGTCACCACCAAATATACCTGGGTGGCCCGCCCAAGTAAAGTCTGTGTAGGAAGAACTGGTGTGGTATGACAGGGTATAGATGAGGTCTTTCTCTCTGAGATGCCTGTCAAACTGACGCTGGTTTAGGCTTCTAGTTCGAATGAAATTACAGTTTACTATTGCGCCATCCAGTGAACACAGATGGAACAGCAGTATATTTTATTGAAAAATTGCAGCTTACAGAATCATCTCGCGGGCCGCATTAAATTCGTTTGCGGGCCTGTTCATGATTTAAATCTATCCCAGTAGGCACCTTAATGACAAAACGACATCAAATTGACATTGACATCAAAAAACACATAAAAATGCAAATCAATTTATCAACAAATTAATGCATGTTCTTGCCTGAGAATGATGCGTCCTTGTTAAAGACATTTTTAAGCAAAGCCTGTATTACAAACTTCCTGCTGCGGGCATGTGTGGTGTTGACTGATAGGGAAAATGGATGCCCATCTGCCACTACTTTGGCATCAAGATGAAAGTGGGTTCTCATCTCTGAAGCAAGATTCACAGTCTCCAGTAGACCCTTGGGAACAATGGTGAATGATTTAATAAATACTGTTCTTGAATTAGAAAACTCACAGCAAAAAATGTGCTTTATTACTTGGGTAACACTTTAGAATAACTATCCGTTATAACTAATTAATATTCCATTAAAAGCTGTTAGTTAATGAGTTATAAATGACTTGTTAAACAAAAGTTAACAGTTTGTTAATTATTTATAACTGTGCCTTACATAATATATCATAGGATATTAGTTCTTAAAACCAGACAATGGGCTAAATTTTACCAATCTAGGCGCAAAGTCTAAATCGTATGGTGCAAAAGCATTAAGGGCATGTTCGAATCCACTTTTGGTACACTTTGCGCCGCGGCGCATGGTCTAACAGGGTTGTGCTTATTCTCTTAATGAGTTATGGATGTGTTTTAAGCTTAACATGCATTAAACCAATCAGAGTCTCATCTCCCATTCTCTTTAAGAGTCAGTTGCTTCGCACCATGGCGCATTTTCTTTTTACATGGTGGACTTTGTAAGTGTAAAAACTGAACGCTTCACTAGTAAGAAAACAGTTAAACAAACCATCTGCAGCGAGCCTCCTCCAGTCAGCCTCTTTACGTTCTCTTTACTTTTACTCTTTACTTTACTCCTTTACTTTCTTAGATAAGGAAACGGTGTTGTACACCCTCCACTGAAGACATCCATTAGCATATTTATTTTCATTTGTTAAGCATTAAGTTTTTTCAAAACAATTTCTAAATTCAGTTCCAATTTCCAGCAAATGAACAATAATAGCGAAGTTATATCCAAACACGCATCCTATTCTCATGCCCCATATGGTGATGCAGATGTCTCCAAAACCCGACAGGTGGACAAATCTAAACTAGTTTTTTACTAAAACAAATAAATATGCATATAATAAATATCACTCATAATAATAACATTATACAATTGCAAGTTGTCATGAATAAACTGAAAAAAGTCCCCCCCCCATATGTAAAGATATTTGTGTTGCTTTTAGACCTGCATAGGCGCATAACTAACGCGATCTGCGCTGGACTTTAGACCAGCTTTTAGTTGGTCAGTGGCACAGTCTATTTCAGTTCCTCAAAAATAGTAACGCACCAACAATGCGCCTTAACACACCTCTATTCTAGACCGGCACACCCATGAGTCCGCAAAGTGGCACAAATGGATTTGCTATTTAAACAACATGGCACAAAACAGGAAAATTACTGTTGCACTGGTATGCTAATAGCAACAAATCTTGCAATACATGTCTTGGGTCTATTGCGCCGGGTGTACAATAGGGCCCAATATTTTTTGCTTGTCTAGAAAATGTCTCTTGAATTGAGAATTTTTAGACTAGAAACAAGACAATAAAAATCAGTGTTTGCAGCATAACTTAAAACTTTAAAACTCACAAAAATGTTCTTCTTACTTACCTTGATGAAATAATGGTGGATGTTGTCAATCAGTAGTTCGATTCTGCCTGAACGCTGGTTGTTTATTTCTTCAAGCTGCGCTGTGGAGACAAAAATATTAGACAATATCTTTTAGATAAATATACCATGAAACCAATCATAAGAGTATTGTATTAAGTTGAGGTTTATACTGAGATTGAAAGCTGAATAAATAGGTTTTCCATTGATGTATGGCTTGTTAGGATAGAAAAATATATAATAGATAATAAAGATACAACTATCTGAAAACTTGGAATCTGAGGGTTTAAAAAAGTTATATTTTGAGAAAATTTCATTTAAAGTTATGTAAATTAAATGTTTAGCTATGCTTTTTACTAAACAAAAAAATAGTTTTAATATCTATACAGTAAATGTCTAAAATAATCTTCATGAAACATGATCTTTGCATAATATTCTAATGATTTTTGGCAAAAAAGAGAGTATCATTTTGACCTACGCTATATATACAACACATATTTTTATCCTGCTTTCACTTATTTTAATAAATTAATCAACTACATTTTTAAGTAATACCAAGTATATTATACTATTTTGCAAAAATCCCTTTACAAGTGGTTTAAACACAGTTGTGTGGCAACAGTCTGTGAATATAACCAGCTTCTAATGGTAAACATTAATTCTATTTTTTATTTCTATTTTACTTTATAAAAACTGCAGAAACACTTTGATTGAAATTCTTCTTTTGTACGTGTCATCAGTGGGGGAGAGCCCCGCCCATTGGTGACGATCTCTCCCTCATTAGCATAGCATAGTTTTTGAATCTGTCACTATGCTGACACACAGGCATTCTTTAGCTCCGCCCTCTTTTTAAAAGAGACCTAAGAGCTAAGACCTATCTCATTTGAATTTACAATGACGCTACCAAAATGTCACAATTTGGATCAAATCCTAAAAAGGGCAGTTTCAAAGACTTTTTTACAAATAAAACATTATTTGCAAGGTATTTTGAGCTGACTTTATTACAACTATGTGAATCAATTAGATAAATTGCTTACGGTTGTCAGTAATAAATAAGTTGGAATGGCTTTATTCTTTTAAGTGTAAGTAATTAATTAAATTTTTTTTTTTATTTAATTTAATTGTGCAACTTAAGACCGGTTTTGTGGTCCAGGGTTTCAAACAATACATCCATATAGAAATTCATTTGTGAGGCGCTGTTAAAACCTTGAATGAGAATGGCTTTCAGGGGATGAGTTATTTTCAGAATCAGCCTTTTCGGAGTGAGATTGACATCCAGGGATACATCTCTGTGGATAGTGGATTGTGGTGTTCCAATAAAAAGAAGCAGCGTGGCTTCCAGTGGCATCCAGAAATGTCTCTGTTAAAGATCCATAATAAATGTCAATTTAATGACAATGTATTTTTGACCTTCTTAATTTAAATGTCACATATCCTACAAACCTGTGATACAAAAGTATAGGCTGCCTCCAAGAGATACTGGTTGAGACCTTTGTCCAGTTTTTGAAGTCTGAGAGTAAAAATAACTGGACCCAATGGTGGAAAGCTTTTTCCCATCAGTGTCAATGGATAAGTCAGATCAGAGCATAACTGCCATCCAACCATCTTAGACCCTACAAGAATAATCATTATTGTATATATATATATATATATATATATATATATATATATATATATATATATATATATATATATATATTATATACATACATATATTCTTTTCGTGATGCCAGGTGACCAAAATTCAATATCTAGCCAGTGTATAATTACAATGTTATTTTGACATCCAATGACGTCATCAAGTGACGTTGGTATTTTATTTGATTTGAGGTTGTGTTGGAAAGTGACCAAAATCCAATGTTGTCCCAACATCTTAAACCAACGTCATATTAACGTCAAATACTGACATTTATACATGAGCTATGGCAACCAAAATCCAATCCCATCTGATTAGAACATCCACACAACATCAAGCTGTAACATCATTAGACGTTGATATTTGGTTGATTTTAGGTTGGACGTTGGATATTGATGTTGGCCTGACATATTTTCATATTCAAACAAAATTCCAACGACGTTGGGGTAAATCAATCTGACGTCACGTTGACTTACTGTGCCGGCTGGGTATATACACTGTAAAAAATGCTAGGTTCCACACAATTACTCCTTGTTGTCCTGACAAAAATCAGTTAACTTAATCACCAGTATATGTATACATTCATTCATTCATTCATTTTCTTGTCAGCTTAGTCCCTTTATTAAGCTTAGTCCCTTTATCCAGCAAGTTTTTACGCAGCGAATGCCCTTCCAACAGGAACCCATCTCTGGGAAACATCCGCACACACATTCACACACACACTCATACACTACGGAAGATTTAGCCTACCCAATTCACCTGTACCACATGTCTTTGGACTGTAGGGAAAACCGGAGCACCCGGAAGAAACCCACGCAAACGCAGGGAGAACATGCAAACTCCACAAAGAAACCCCAACTGAGCCAAGGATCGAACCAGCGACCGAGCAACCTTTTTGCTGTGACAGCACTACCTACTGTGCCACTGCGTCGCCGTATAAGTAATTGATTAGAGAAATTGACTTAAGAAATGTTAAGAAATATTACATAAGTACTTTAAACAAGCAGCAGAAATATTTTTTGGGTGTATTGTGGTAAAGTTACTTACATGTTTTAGGAGTGCAAGTGTTCTTCTCTTTCAGGTTTCTTGTCACCACAAGCTCGTCTTTAAGGTCTCCACTGACGCGAAACACTCTGGAGCTGTCTCGTAAAGACAATCAAGCAACAATTTTAGAGTGTCTTAACAATTTAAAGTTTTTAAAGGAACAACTGTTTATGAGCCAGGTCATTTATTCATTTTCCTTCAGCTTATCATTCATTCATTCATTTTCTTGTCGGCTTAGTCCCTTTATTAATCCGGGGTCGCCACAGCGGAATGAACCGCCAACTAATCCAGCAAGTTTTTACGCAGCGGATGCCCTTCCAACCGCAACCCATTTCTGGGAAACATCCACACACACATTCACACACACACTACGGACAATTTAGCCTACCCAATTCACCTGTACCGCATGTCTTTGGACTGTGGGGGAAACCGGAGCAAACCGGAGGAAACCCACGCGAAGGCAGGGAGAACATGCAAACTCCACACAGAAACGCCAACTGAGCCGAGGTTCGAACCAGCGACCTTCTTGCTGTGAGGCGACAGCACTACCTACTGCGCCCCTTCAGCTTAGTCTTATTTAATTTATTTTACATTCATTAATTTGTTTGTTTGTTTGTTTGTTTGTTTTGTTGGTTGGTTGGTTGGTTGGTTGGTTGTTTGGTAGATATTTATAATTCAAAGTGGCTTACAATTGAAAAAGAAATAGAAGCAATCAGACCGACAAAAGGTCAAGTCCCAGTTATTCTAACACAGTATATATGGCAAGTTTTAAAAATTACTCAGTTGAAAAATAGACTGATAAAAAGTGCTGCACTGAAAAAAAATACATTAATTAACTGTTTCTGTATTTTGTGATTCATGGGAGTTTTCTGTTTATTTACGGTTATGAATTGGATTATGGAATCTTGATCTCTGCTCTTTCGACTTTTGTTGTTAAAATCTCAACTCTGCAGTTTAACAAAGTGATTCATTCTCATTTTAGTAGTTTGAAGCAATATATTGTATAAGAAATAATAAACAGAGAGAATTAGGTTCTTAACATAATAGAAATGTACTGGCAATTTAATACAAAGCTTTTTTGAAGTAATTTACATCACCACCTAGACAATATATCACTTCAAACTATTAGAGATGATAATTAAAGTCACGTTTTCCAACTTTTGAACATAAAAATAATTAAAGGATAAAATCAAGGGTCCATAATGCATTTTAAAAGCATACATAAAATTATATATATATTTTTTTTAAATGTGAATCATAAAATAGTGAAAAGTTTATTTGTGGATATTTTTTTATATTGCAGTAAGTGTTGACAAAAAAAAGATGCATCTTTAGTAGCTTATTAAAAATGACTAAAGACTTGAGTTACTACTTGAGTTGAGAGAGGCAAGTCATTTCACCAACTGGGAGCAGTCAAATAAAGTTCTCTTTGTGTCTCTTTGGGACCACAATGTGCCACTCACTTGTTAACACATGCAATCATCAGTGCTTTGAATTTGTAAGCAGCTATTAGCAACAGTGTTAATTTCGTTGACGAAGACTATGACGAAAAATATTCGTCAACGAACATTTTTACAGACGAAAACTAAATAAAAACTAAATAAAAAGTCAGATACGATGACGAAGACGATGACGAAATTTAACTGACACTTTAGTCAACGAATAAAAACGAGAGGAAAATGTTGGGGCGGGACGAATGGAGAAGAGATCCAATAAGAACTACCCTTTTGTGGGGAAATCCAATCAGAGCAAATCTTTTGAGGGCAGGTTGATAATAGGCTCGTTTGACTTGGCCAAAGTCTGCGCAGAATCGATCACCGGTGATCACCGCAAGATGCATGCCGGTTAGAAATGTGTCCGCCTTGCCTTCGCCTCGCTCTGATGTCACGCTGACGTGCGCCAAAAAACTCTCGCGATCGCGAGGCGGGTACCTCGGATAGAGCAGTCGGCCGCAGTTGCTCTCAAAAGACTAGGTGCGTTCGACATGAAGCTCAGCTGCAGCCGGTGATCAACGAGATTAGCCGAGCGCAGGCGGGGGCGGAGTTGAAAACGGAGCCGTCAAGACGGACAGCTGGACACTTCGGGACTCAAAGTTGCTGCAGTCATGATGACCGATCACATGGCATCATCATATTTTTTTGTTATTTTTATTTATAACAACAAAACATTTACAAATAAAACAAAATACAGTTTCTACAAACTGTGGTTCCTTTTTAAACAATAAGAGAGAATTATGAATAAAATATATAACAAATGCATGAGAGAAATAAGAGGAAATGAGGGGTTAATATAAACATAAAAACGAACAGGTCTATTAAATACAAAGCAATAAGCATAAATTCTAGGAGTTAAACATCAACCTTTAGGCTAATACTTCTTGTTTGAATCTGCTAAAAATGGGTTTACATATGTACATTTATAGATATAAAAATTTCCAATGTAAAAAGCAAAACAAGGTGTTTTGATTAGGTCTTAATAAATGACATTATTTTGGATAATGAATGAATTTTCAAAAAAGCATTTTAATTCAAAAAGATTGTGTTGAAAAGAACAAAAGGTAAAATAAGTGAGCTATGTAGAAGTTTTCCAGAAAGAGCAGGTAGCCTTTAAACTGCTAGACAGGAAATAAAATATATATTTATATTATAATAATAAAACCATTTTATAATTATTTAATAAAATAGTTCTTTAACTTAATTTGTTAAGAGAGCGTTAGGGTGGCAGGATCAATGATGTTGATTTTCTTATTTCAAGTCTGTAAGACTTTTTTAGGTTATTCACTAAAATATACACTAAAATATATCATTTAAATCGTTCATGGAGATGAATGCAGTAAATAGTCTGTATAAAAAAGTTAAAAATAAACCTGTGCAAACAAGCTAACCTTTATAACCAGATTATTTAACAAAAGATGATTACTGCAGTAAAATATTTGTAGTCTTTTAATAAGCAAGATGTGTGCAGGATAGAGAGGGTGTGAAAAGTGAATTGTTTGTTTTGAAACTTTTGAATCGGAATTTGTCCAATTATAAACCCGAAACACACGTGTTTGTTGTCATGTGGTGAACTCGGCCAATCGTGTAATATCGGTGTCGTCATCAAAGCTCCTGCAGTCGCTCTTCAGAAGCTGCACGGTCTGAGTTTGCCGTCTGATCTCGGAGCGCTGTCGCGGTACTTTGATGCCACATGTGACAGTCACGTGGCGCCGGCGCAGCATCAATCCGGACAAGATTTCTAACCAGAATGCACCGCTTTAAGACAAATTTCGATCGATCTGCGCAGCGCTGCATGAAGTCGAACGCACCTACTGCGTTACCAAAAGCATGATGGGAAACGACTGGCTGACGACACAGCTTAATGCTGATTGGATGAGACTGACACATTACTTTATTATCTTGTTTTACTAAGGTTTATACCTGAATTTGTTGAATACCTTTTTTTGTATTTTCGTTGATAATTTTAAAAAAAGTCATAAAGAGCATAACATATGGTTATTTATTTAGATTTACACACAAACAAAAACAAAACACATCTTTGTAAAACATAACGTGACCTATGTAATATAACTAAATGTTACTAATAAATCATTAGGATTTGTGTGTGTATTTCACTCTCAGTTTTAAGTCCTGTTTGTTGTCATTTTCACTTTTTATATGTTTGTGTGAATTTTGTATTGTAATTTTTATGCAGCGTTATTCCATTAAAGTCAATCCAATATATACATATATTCAAAAATACAAAGATAATCAGACTGTTTTGTCATTATGTCTTATCTTTGTGTGGTTTCATATGAGAAGTGAAAAGGGTGTAGTAAACAAGACACACACACAAATATGTATATATATGTATGTGAAGTCAAAAGTCATGTTTATTAGACCAAGAATATTTTGATAGTTTTTCCTACAGTCTAATAGTTTTTATTCTGGAGAAAGTCTTGGGCTGTTTATTTTAGTCTGGCTGGAGTAAAAGCAGTTTATATAGACCTAATAAGCTTGTCAATATAATTAACCCCCTAAGAATTTATTTGTCAAACAAACATTTGTCATGACCTGTCACTCAAAAGCATCTATGGCTACTTCATTTATAATGTAGCCAAATTAGGTTTCTTGAAAGTTTTCTTGCTGTATAAGCTGTTTATTTTGTTATTCTTTTAACGTTTGTTGAATATACAGAATTATATTTTTAATACACCCTTTTAGTTAATGAGTTCATCTTCTGTAATTCTGACCATCTTTTTGTAAAAACAGTGATATTTCTATTGCATCCACTCCCACATTAAAAAAATACTATAGTAATGTATACTGTAGTGCTTTTGAACCATGTTATAAAATAGCCTATTTAAATTGAATATTTCTGGTATCACAACAACTATAAACACAACACAATACTGAATAAACATGTTCAAAAATGCTATAATATTTACTATAAATCACCATAGTATTTTTTCATGAGGTCATTCGTCTGCGATAAAAAACGCGAACGAGAACTCCGCCACTGGTGACGATTCCAGGTGGCTAAACAGCGAGATTCGGCAGGTGTCCGACTTCTGATGTAATTTTTGAGCCCTCCTCTTACTGCAGACGCCTGCTCTCGTTTACAATGCAGTCAAGGCGAGGCGCACCTCAAACGAGCCTCTTGGCAAAGCCATTAGGCTCGTTTGACTTGGCCAAAATCTGCGCAGAATTGATCACCGGTGATCACCGCAAGATGCATGCCGGTTAGAAATGTGTCCGCCTTGCCTTCGCCTCGCTCTGATGTCACGCTGACGTGCGCCAAAAAACTCTCGCGATCGCGAGGCGGGTACCTCGGATAGAGCAGTCGGCCGCAGTTGCTCTCAAAAGACTGCGTTACCAAAAGCATGATGGGAAACGACTGGCTGACGACACAGCTTAATGCTGATTGGATGAGACTGACACATTACACTTTATTATCTTGTTTTACTAAGGTTTATACCTGGATGTTTTGAATACCTTTTTTTTTGTATTTTCGTTGATAATTAAAAAAAAAGTCATAAAGAGCATTACATATGGTTATTTATTTAGATTTACACGCAAACAAAAACAAAACACATCTTTGTAAAACATAACGTGACCTATCCAATATAACTAAATGTTACTAATAAATCATTAGGATGTGTGTGTGCTGTATTTTATTTATCTCTCAGTTTTAAGTCCTGTTTGTTGTCATTTTCACTTTTTGTATAATTGTGTGAATTTTGTATTGTAATTTTTATGCAGCATTATTCAATGAAAGTCAATCCAATATATACATATATTCAGACATACAAAGGTAATCAGACTGTTTTGTCATTATGCCTCATCTTTGTGTGGTTTCATATGAGAAGTGAAAAGGGTGTAGTAAACAAGACACACACACACACACACACACACACACACACATATGTATATATATATATGTATGTGAAGTCAAAAGTCATGTTTAATAGACCAAGAATATTTCCACAGTTTTTCCTACAGTCTAATAGTTTTTATTCTGGAGAAAGTCTTGGGCTGTTTATTTTAGTCTGGCTGGAGTAATATCAGTTTATATAGACCTAATAAGCATGTCAATATAATTAACCCCCTAAGAGTTTATTTGTCAAACAAACATTTGTCATGACCCGTCACTCAAAAGCATCTATGGCTCCTTCATTTATAATGTAGCCAAATTAGGTTTCTTGAAAGTTTTCTTGCTGTATAAGCTGTTTATTTTGTTATTCTTTTAACGTTTGTTGAATATACAGAATTATATTTTAAATACACCCTTTTAGTTAATGAGCTGTTCATCTTCTGTAATTCTGAACATTTTTTTTGTAAAAACTGTGATATTTCTATTGCATCCACTCCCATATTTAAAATACTATAGTAATGTATACTGTAGTGCTTTTGAACCATGTTATAAAATAGCCTATTTAAATTTTATAGTTCTGGTATCACAACAACTATAAACACAACCCAATACTGAATAAACATGTTCAAAAATGCAGTAATATTTACTATAAATCACCATAGTATTTTTTCATGAGGTCATTCGTCTGCGATAAGAAACGCGAACGAGAACTCCGCCACTGGTGACGACTCCAGGTGGCTAAACTGCGAGATTCAGCAGGTGTCCGACTTCTGATGTAATTTTTGAGCCCTCCTCTTACTGCAGACGCCTGCTCTCGTTTACAATGCAGTCAAGGCGAGGCGCACCTCAAACGAGCCTATTTTCAAAACAAAAGCCGCGGTTTTCAAGTTATGATGACGTTTGTTATACATTATATTTAGTTACACATTATACTTGGTTACAAAGCGTTGGTTAATTTAAGTTGACTTTTCTCGTTAGCAACACGCTAAAGTTTTGTTCACTCGGTCCGAGGGCAGCGTCTCATGAACAGACAGACAGAAATGTCAGAGCTTGGTCTAGGACGAAAACGAAGAATTGACATCTGGTCAAACTTCACATATGACAACAAGGACAACAAGAGCGTCTGTAAACCATGTGGAGTAAAAATCGCTGGGAAAAACACCACCAACTTGAAGCGACATTTACAGACGGCTCATCCAGAAATCCACACCAAGGTGAGCATAAACGCTAACGTTAAGGTTATCCTATAAGATAAACCACCGTGATTCTGCTAAACTTGGAATAAAATTGAAGCCAAAGGAAATTAACTTTAAATAGTATTGATTAAACGAATTGTCTCGCTGAATTAATTAATATAAATATGTGTACTATTATAATAGATGTTGTGGTGATATGACTCGACAAAAGGTGTGTGTGTGTGTGTGTGTGTGTGTGTGTGTGTGTGTGTGTGTGTTATATGGCAAGAAAGAAGAAAATATCACAACTTTGTATATCATTTATATATCCTCATAGATACAGAAGATGTCTGATGACCATGGGCCAGGTGGAAATAAAGCTAGTGATGCTACTAGTACAACACAGCAGCAGGCCATCTCAGATTTCCTAAGGTCTTCAAAGTACAAGACTGAATCAAAGGAACAACAGACCAAGGAGCAGGCCATAGCTAGATAGATTGGACGGACAGGTTTACCACTCACAACAATTGAGGATGAGGACTTTGTGCTAATGATGGGGATGATAGATGGGAGACTAACAGTTCCAAAGAAAACTAAAAATAGCAATTTAATTAAAACACAGTATGAATGCTGTACTTTATCTTGAAAGAATGTCATATGCGTTTCATATAATTCAGGGACAATGCATATCTTTTTCAGGGAGCATGTATATTGTTCAGGGAGAGCAGGTCTTGTGGTTATTTTTTGTGAAAAAGACTCATGTTTTTGACATGTAATAAAATGTTTTTATTACAACAATTAGATATGTGCCTGTATTCTATATATGCTTCCATATATTATATTATACTTACAATTACATGAATTATGGAGAAAAATCTGCTAATATTTGGTCTACTAAGACTAATAGACTTAAGACTAAACTAAGACTAAAACTTTTATGATATTTAGTCAACTAAACTAGACTAAGACTAAAAGATTTCAGATGACTAAAATAGGACTAAAACTAAATGGTGTATTATTCCAAAGACTAAGACTAAATCAGAATTTGCTGTCAAAATTAACACTGATTAGCAATCAATGCAATTGATTAAAAGAGGTGTTACTTCACTCTTTTTAAAACCATTCTAAATCTCATTCTGGATCAGTTGCAGAGATTTGAACATGAAGGCAGCTCAACTTTAATCACTCCTTGTAATTACGGAGCAGCTCATCTTCCTTCATGCTACCTAAAACCCAGAATTGCTGCAAACTAAACTGAAACAGCAAATATGGCTTCATTGTACAGTCTTTCATTCAAAATGAAACCAAAAAGAAGCATGAGGTGCTGAGTGGCCAGTGAAATTCTTATATTCAAATAACTAGTACTTGAATTTCATTGAAGTTCATGTTCATAGTTTGAATCAAAACTGAAAAAACACCAGCAAATTAAGAAGTGTTGCAAATTCGCACAACACAAACAAACTAAGAAAATGTACTGCATTTTCTCATAACACATGCAAATAGCATGGAATACAATGGCATTGTTTCAAGTAGACCAAAAAACTTGACGAACATGGCTGGGATTTATTTATTGTGGTGTGTCTACTGCTCTAAAATTGCAGGTGATCTTTCAAAGGTGAGGTTTTATTTTATTTATTTATTTATTTATTTATATATATATATTTATATATATATATATATATATATATATATATATATATATATATATATATATATATATATATATATTTAAATCCTGATTACACAGTTCCCTTGTATTTTGTATAATATTAGCTAACCCAGGCTCATTCTGAAAATGTACTGCTATATACATTCTGGAGATCGCAAAATACGCCCCAGGAGCTACGCTTTGTTTTTTTGTTTTTGTTTTCACAAATCCACCAGAGGCCGCTGTGTATGCTTTTTGAAATCTCAGATTTCTCACACCATTTGCACCTGCTCTTCCCACATAAAACCACAAGAGGCCGCTGTCGACTGACTGATTAACTGACCGACTGACTTATCAACTGACCCACCCTCCTCCTTCCTTAAACCCAACCAATGGTGTTTTCAATAGCACCGATTAACCCACCCACCCACTTCGCTAAACCCAACTGACAGTTTTAAAAAGCAATCCAGAAATAGAAAAGCCCTTGCCTATTTTTTACCACGTTTTCAGATTTGACCACATTCTCACTTTGTTATTTATTTGTTTACTTTTTTTGGCTTCTGTTATTTTCTTACCCACTTTCTGGAACCGTTCATTGTTGGACTGGAACATCATAGTCATAGTCAACTCCTCTCTGCATCTTAAGTCCACAGATGTATATGGCGAGTTAACTGGTAAACCGTGGGACAGCCGTCTATACGGAGGTAATCGGTCAGCTGGTAAGTGCGAAAAGGAACGATACATACCGCACCATAGCGTTCATTTTAAAGACAGAATGCAGTATATGTACTTCTGGGTACATAATTCACGATCTCCAGAAATGTATATAGGGTTACGTTTTCAAAATGAGCCTGTGTTGTTAATACCCTTGATAACCATAACCTATATAGCCGGGTAAGTCATGATTTTGGGTCCTCTTGAAAACGTTTTATTTGCATATGTTGTGAAAAAAACCGACGTTTTCTTCATTTGTTTGTGTTGTGAGAAAATGCAGCATGCTTTCTTTATTTGTTTGTGTTGTGAGGTGCTTTTTGTACTTCCATGTACTTTTGCAGTAAATTGCAGTGCGTTAAGCTCTCTCGGCCACTGTAGAACTTATATATTCGAACACTTTACATACTTGAAGGTCAGTATATCCATGACATCTTCTGGAGTGTTGAGAACCAACTTCAGGTTCTGCCCGTGGTGCAGATAGACAGCTCCATCCAAGCTGGTGGAGGTTTTGAGTTGAGTGACCCACTCTAATCCCACACGGCCTATTGCTCCGTCAACTCCAGCTCTCACAGAGATGCCAACCAATGCACTGTTTAAGAAGAGGACATATATTTTCTGTTTGTTTTTAATAAAAAAAGACTAAAAAAAGTCTTAGCCCAACAAAGCTGGTATAGTGCTTAGGACTTTTGCACAGCGCTGTTTATATAATCATGATGAAAAAAAAAACTATAACCGCTGAAGTCCTTTCCAGAAGGAAAGGCAAATGGATTAAAGCCTACTGTACTTTTCAACATTCACAATTCCATCAATTCAGACAGTATTGCTAACAACACTGCAAGAAATACAGGACAAACAGCCTCTCTTAAACAATTAAACCAAAAGAATTCAAACTCTAACCTAACTCCAATCCTAACAAACCATACATCAACTGAAAGATCCTTAATCCAACATGTATACGTCTCAATTTTAAAATAATAATAAACATGTACACTTATGACTGGCTTTGTGGTAAAGGGTCATACATATCCATTATACCATCAGTAAAACCACAGATTTAATGTCGGCCTAAAACGTTTACACTCTACTGTATGATTTGCCAACACAACTTCAATGTGACAGCACAAATAAACCTTCATCATACCTTGGTTTGATATAGCCAGCCAGTGAGAAGTGTGACCAATTCTTATAGTTAGAGATGCCTTTAAGTCTGAGGGAAAACAGAGCGGACATGTTGATGCTGAGCCTCATGGGTAATCCGGAGAGGGATGGTAAAACCAGTTCCTCTGCCAGAACAACTGGCTTTTGGCTGAGTTTTATCTCCTGACCCTAGGAAAAGAAAAGAAATTATAAATATATATATATATATATATATATATATATATATATATATATATATATATATATATATATATATATATATATATATATATATATATATATATATCTCCTAAGAATGCTGCCCCCGCGACCTAGCCCCAGAAAAGCGGCAGAAAAAAATTCATCAGTAAAACAAAAATTCAAAAAAATCTTCTTAAATGTTTCAACACTCTGACAAATAATTTTCTAACAGAATCGTTCATTTTAATACTGGATTCAATTTAATAATTATATATTTTAATACTGGATTCAATTTAATTATATATATATATATATATATATATATATATAATTAAATTCAATATATATATTAAATTAAATTGAATATACATATATACATATATATATATATATATATATATATATATATATATATATATATATATATATATATATAATTAAATTGAATTAAGAAGATTTTTTTTAATTTTTGTTTTACTGATGAATTTTTTTCTGCCGCTTTTCTGGGGCCAGGTCGCGGGGGCAGCATTCTTAGGAGAGAACCCCAGACTTCTCTATACCCAGACACTTCCTCCAGCTCCTCTGGGGGGATCCCAAGGTGTTCCCAGGCCAGCCGAGAGACATAGTCCCTCCAGCGTGTCCTGGGTCTTCCCCGAGGCCTCCTACCAGTGGGACATGCCTAGAACACCTCCCTAGGTAGGCGTCCAGGAGGCATCCGAAACAGATGCCCGAGCCACCTCAGCTGACTTCTCTCGATGTGGAGGAGCAGCGGCTCTACTCTACTTCCCCCGGGTGTCAGAGCTCCTAATCCTATCCATAAGAGTGCGCCCTGCCACCTTGCGTAGAAAACTTATTTCGGCCGCTTGTATCCAAGATCTTGTCCTTTCGGTCATGACCTACAGCTCATCACCATAGGTAAGAGTAGGAACATTGACTGACCGGTAAATCGAAAGCTTTGCCTTACGGCTCAGCTCCTTCTTTACCACAACTGACCAGTCTATCGACTGCTTTACTGTTGCCGCTGCACCAATCCGGCTGTCAATCTCACGTTCCATCCTTCCCTCACTCGTGGACAAAAAACACTGACATACATAAACTCCTTCACCTGGGGTAAGGACTTTCCTCCAACCCGGAGATGCCAAACCACCTTTTTTTGGTGGAGCACCATGGCCTCGGACTTGGAGGTGCTGACTGTCATCCCAGCCGCGTCACACTCGGCATCAAACCGAACAGTGCATGCTGAAGTCCATGTTCGATGAAGCCAACAGAACAACATCATCTGAGAATAACAGAGATTAAATCCTGTGGTCCTCCATGAACCATCACTTATCGTGGTGGAGAGGTTTGAGTGCCTGAGTGATCTTAAGAGCTATGTTGTCGGGGGCTAATGCACCAGGTAGGGTCTCCCAAGACAAAAAGGTCTAAGGTGACAGGTCAGACTAAGGGTGCTTTCACACCTACACTTTTGTTTCGGAACGTGTCTCGTTTGCCCAGTTAGCGCGGTTCGTTTGGCATATGTGAACAGGGCAATCGCGCTCTGTTCCGCGCCAAAGTAATCGCTCCGAGATTGCTTGAATGAGGTGGTCTCGACTCGATTGAAACGAACCATGGAGCGGTTCGATTGCAGTGAGAAAGCGATCCGATCCGAGCGCGGTTATATCACAGTGTTTTATGGATATGTAATAGACATATGTCTATATGAAGAGACAATTATGAGTAGGGCAGGAAGTTTCGCGAGTCTCTGGATGCCCACAAACGAGTGATCATCTCCGGTAATCTCCCGGTCCTCAAATAGGCATCGTCGCGCACCCTTCTCACCCCTCCCCACCGCATCTCTCCTCAGACACGTCGCATGTGCGAGCACCTTGTCAATCACCACCAAACCACCACCCCTCCTGACAGCTGAGAGGGACGCTGCAAAATAAACCCTGACACTCTGACCAATGTGAGGAGTGTTTACTCGCAAGTGACTTGTTTTAGCTCTTTTGGTCCGATTAGAGACTTTGCATTGTGAAAGCGAACCGCACCAAGAGCAAAGAGCAACAATGTAATATTTGTAATCTTTGTTTCGGAACAACTGAATCAATTCACAGGTGTGAAAGCACCCTAAGTGCGGCTCAAAAACCCCTAATGAGTACAAGAACATCAAGGGCCAAGACATCGCCTGGTATGGCGTAGGCGGGGCCCCACCCTGGAGCCAAACCTGGGGTTGGGGATCGTATGCATAAGGGGCCGGTCCATTGTGGAACGAGTGGTAGTCGAAGGTTAGGACCACGACAACCCGATTGTCAGGCACAGAAAAAAAGTGATCAGAAAAATATTCATGACACAATTTTAATGACCTCACGACAATCATGTTTTATGACAAGATGTGTTGCCTTGAAACTATAATCAAAAATTTTTATATTTTTTCCTACAGTCAGAAATGAAAGTAGAATATTCTGTTCTTACCTTTAACAATTTGACAACAACACCAGCTGTACTAAGGGACAGCTTTCTCTGATACGAATGCAGGTCATCACAGGTCATAAAGGTCATGTCATTGCCAAACATCTTCACGTTTATCCAGCAATGGAGGGTTCTGTCCTTTTTCCTCTGCTCTGTGAACTTAAATAGAAAACCTGGTAACGTGAAGCCAAATTTTAAACATTTAAACCATAATCAGGACTCTCACCTTAGTCCTCATGGAACTGAATGTTGCGGACTGACAGCCATCACTATTACTGTTTCTCTCCTTCTTCTTCACAGAGTCTGCTTGAGCTGAAGGTCCGGAGTGATCAGCAGATGCTAGAGGTTGCTGCTCAAACACTGTCTTAAGAAGAGGCTCAAGGTTTTCCATTCTAAGGCTAATCTAAACAAAAAAATCCAGAATAACTATCCGTTATAACTAGTTAATAGTCTAATAATAAATAGTTAGTTAATGAGTTATAATTGACTTGTTAAATAAAAGTTAATAGTTTGCTAATTATTTATAGCTGTGCATTATAGATAGCCAATAGATAACTTACAAGCTGTTAGTTAACAAGTTGTAAATGGTTTGTTTACTGTATTTTAATGTTTTATAACTAAACCTAATAAATTAGTAATAGATCATGAACAAGCTGTTAGTAAATTACTTACTAAAGATGTGTTAAGTATGAGATAATAGTTCCGCCAGAGGCTCGCGTTAACGCAGCACGTCAACACCAATAACGGCAAACCACTAATATATATATATATTATATAAAAAAAGTTATTGCATAAAATATTTAAATACAATAAACTGACACTATTATTCTGACAATTATAGCACTGTTAGATGTATACTCTTGAGGAAAAACCGTAACCAGAATATTATTTTGTCAAATACTTTATGATAAATCTTATGATTTATACTAAAGACTATAAAGCCAAATGCAAATTTCTAAATCAGATTTTTACAATTCTTTTAATTTATATTACATTTAATTAAAATGAATGTTATTTCATTTTGTGTTATTTGAAGTTTCAATTAAAAAAAACCCTGCCTATAGATGAATTATGATTTACCTTGTACTGAATGATTGTAAACAAAAAGCTTTTTTTATTGAAAAATCTGTTTTCACTGCATAAGATTCCAAAATAACAGTAAATGAATGAGTGTGATTTTTGATTTTATGTTTTGTGGGGGGAAAAAAATATGTTTAATTCATTTTTACCTCCAGAAGATTGAATGCTCTGCCTAGGATGAATACTGTCAGATTAGCCATAGCATAACTGGGAAGAAAAGACTGGGGGGAGAAAACCAGAGCTCCCTCCACGTTTGCAGCAGCCACTCCTGAAGCAGAGACAAAACAGAGATGTTGCAAATGGGAGAAAATTAACATGTTGAATATAGAACGGAAAAGTACCCGTGTCCACGGTGTAATCCATATGAGAAGAATATTTCCATGGTTCTGCTTCAAAGTCTCTGCTAATAATGTCATCTGGAAGTGACTCCATCAGGTATTTCTTCAGAGGGTCTTCTGTTTTCTGGATATTAAAAAGGTGACTCCAAACAAATGACCCAACTGAGGACATATCATAGAGAACACAGTTAAAGTCAGAATTATTAGCCCCCCTTTGATTTTAGTTTTCTTTTTAAAAATATTTCCCAAATGGTGTTTAACAGAGCAAGGAAATTTTCACAGTATGTCTGATAATATTTTGTCTTCTGGAGAAAGTCTTATTTGTTTTATTTCGGCTAGAATAAAAGCAGTTTTTATGTTTTTAAATAGCATTCTAAGGTCAAAACTATTAGCGCCTTTAAGCTATAAATTTTTTTTAGATAGTCTACAGAACAAACCATCGTTATACAATAACTTGCCTAATTACCCTAAGCTGCCTAGTTAACCTAATTAACCTAGTTAATGTGTGTCCCATTATGTGTGGCATAAAAGTTAAAAAAAAAAAAAAAAAAAAAAGAACACCATACCAACAGTAAATGTGATGCTGGTCGTGTGACGGTCTGGGGCTGTTTTGTTGCTTCAGGACCTGGAAGAATTGCTGTGATAAATGGAACCATAAATTCTGCTGTGTACCAAAATATCCTGAACGAGGACCACAAGATAAAGCAAACTTGGGTTCTGTCGCAGCACAATGATTCAAATCACACCAGCAAGTCTACTTTTGAATGGCTGATGAAAAACAAAACAAAGACTTTGGAGTGGCCAAGTCAATGTCCTGACCTGAATCCAATTGAGATGTTGTGGCATGATCTTAAAAAGGTAGTTCATGCTTGAAAACCCTCCAATGTGGCTGAATTGTGACAATTCTGCAATGATGAGTGGGTCAAAATTCCTTCACAGCACTGTAATTTCATTGCAAGTTATTGAAAAAGTTTGATTGCGGTTGTTGCTGTTGAGGGTGGCGCAATCAGTTATTAGGTTTGAGGGGGCAAACACTTTTTAACACAGGGCTATGAAGTTGTGTATTTTGTTTTTACTTAATGATATATTATATTATATTATATTATATTATATTATGTTATATTATATTATATTATATTATATTATATTATTTTATATTATATAAAAACTGCATGATCTGTTTAACTGTGTTATCTTTGACTAATTTCAAAATTAGTTTGATGATCTGAAACATTGGTGTGCCAAACATTTAAAAAAAAAAAAAGAAATCAGTAAAGGGGCAAACACTTTTTCACATCACTGTATTTCCAGCCAAACTACAAGAAATACTTTCTCAAATATTCTCTAATACTGTGAGAATTTGCCTCGCTTTGGTAAAACATCACTTAAAAAATATTTGAAAAAATAATTAAACATTCACAGGGGTTAATAAGGAGCTAACAGGACTGTTAATTTGATCTTCAATTATATATTTAATGCTTTTTAAATTCCCTTCTGTTTCGGTCCCATTCGAAAGCTGATCAATTAAATACTATTTAATAAGTCATACCTTGACTGGACTTCTCATTGCTTAAAGTTGTCTTCACAAGTGTGAAAATCTCCTGGTTTGGGCAGTGCATGAGCTGCTGATATGCTGCAATTCTGACCTCCACATTCTCTTGCTGTCTTTGAAATACCTGAGCAAGGACTTTTCTCTGATAACACATAATCCAAGGATGTTACTCATACCATAACAAACACAACATCAATGTGCATCTCCAGTGCTATATGTCTCTTAAATAGTTTGTTTATACTGACGTCCTGATGGCATGGGATTCTCCTGAACGCTCGTATAGCCGCCAGCTGAAGCTCCAGTGGCACAGAATGATTTTGCACACAGCGGCTCAGTGTTGGGATGAGATCTGAAACAGCTGCTCCTGCATTCTCTACTGCTTTTAACACATGCAGCAACTGCACAGAAGACAAAGACCACTTCATTTCCCTTTCTTATTTATCCACAAAACAATAAATCTTGGTTGCACTACTTGGCTAAATTGCCTGGTCTCAACTCAAGTTTGATTGTCCCCCCTTGCCACCTTCTTGGCTGGTTTGTGTTCACACCGTCTTTTTTCCTTATGAACCCGATCAGCTTGCGTCATCGAGCTGCTGTTGTGTGTACAACTGTTGCTAGGTGAAGGCAATGAAAGCCAAGGCAGCAAAATGGAAAGACGTACGCATATCACGGTAGTTCTGCTTTTACTGAATGTTTTGGTTTTGATTGAACATACAGAAAGCGTCTCGCAAAGATATTATAAACGTTCAGAACACAACGTGATGTCTGCAGAAGTCGTTTTTAGAGGAGACGAGCAAACAATATCACTGTGTTTGCACTGGGTCAGTCCTGCTTGTGGCCAAGGTAAGGTTAGGTAACGTTAATATAAAAAAGTCAGCAGGACCAGAGTTTGTGCGAACCGTAACGCAGACCCAGGGCCGACACGTCCATAGACAAGAAACCAGGCCGGCGTCCGCAACAACCTCCGCCCCAACCACGATCTTTACTTTCATCCTCAACATCACCACCAACTCACATCCCCAGCCTTCCCCAACCACCCACTTCACTACTTTCTCTTTCGTCTGTGACACCCCAACACCTCTCCTCCCTTTCAGTCCACGACACAAACACCTAAACACTCCCACCTAAACAAAGCTCGACTCAACCACTTTTCTGACTTTTTTTAAACAAGAGGTATGAAAACACCCTGCTGCTAGATAGTGTTTCAGAAGTGTTACTGCAGCGCAACACAAACAGCATGCATAGGTATGTGTAAGTTTATGTAAAGTACACCAACAGTACAGTGACCGAGAAAGCTTAACATGCTGCAACTTTAAAAAAAAAAACACGCAAATAGAGAAAACGTCAGCAAATTAAGGCCCCGTTTACACTAATACATTTTAGTTTTAAAACGACATTTTAGTATGAGAACGATCTACGTCCACACTGGCGTTTCATGTTACTCTACACCACTGAACGCACATCACGTGACCACACACACACTCTGGAATGCGGTGCAGCGATGAGAGCTGTGCACGTCGGACTGTTCATCAAGAATCTACCATTGGATCTAATCTCACTTTATTTGTTAAATGTGATATTTAATTAATTTTGTTGTCTTTATTTAACGACATATTACACGACTTTGGTCTTTTGAATCTATTACTTGTTCGAGGTAACGTGTTTTGGCTGAGTGCAAGAAATAAGTTAATATGAATTTACGCAACCACGTACACTGACTGCACATTTGACTGATCGCTTGCCTTTATTGACTATTAAAACTGATATTCAGCAAAAAAGAGGCTGTTTCGTATTTTCAATGAAAGTAGTGATGTTATAGCCTCTGTTTTGTCATAAATATGCATACAGTGAGGATGACACTCATATAAATATGTAGCTACATGATTTCAACTTTTTTGGTGTCTGCTAAGTTGCTAATAACAAAATAAAAATAGGCAGTTCCTTATATCTGTATCCCGAGGAGTGACACAAACAACTGAGGTAGGATCCAAATGCAGGTTTAATCAGAGTCAGGCAAGCAATGATCAACAAAGGTGCAAACAGGTATATGAAGTAAGTCCAGAATCGTAGTCGAAGTAACAGGCAAGAGGTCAAAAGGCAGGCGGCAGACGGAGACAAAAGGTAAACAAGGCTAAGGTCAAAACACGGAGAAACAAGACAAGGAAACCGCGTTGTAGTGTTACTATACAGTTAACAAGACTCGGCAATGGGAGTAAGTGAGTGTGCTGGTTAAATAGTGTGTACAATCAGTCTCGGACAATCCTCAGGTGATGCGAGTGTATCCAGTCTAGATGAGGAAGCATGTATGAGTGTGACCGGAGTGCATGTATGAAAATGTAGTCCAGAAATGGCGGATTTGTAGTCCATGGTTATTGAGAGTGAAATCCAGTGATCTTATGGAGAGCGATCGCTGGTTATCATGACAATATCATGTTTTCATAAAATTTTTAAGAAAGTGAAACAATGTAGCCAGGGTGATGTGAATGAGGTTATAAAGTGCACTGTTCCCTAAAGATTTACCCGACATGTCCTCGGGAGTTTGTTTTACATATCAATCTTGCGAAGTCTGTAGGACTAACCTGTGTGTAGGCTACTAAATATTGGCCCAATCAGAGAGACGAATGTCTTTAGCCCCGCCTCCATTTTCAGATGTCCCCGTTTTCCCCTATCCACACTAACACGAAGCAGCATTTTAAACTAAATTTTAAAATGCATTTTAAAACTAAAACGCCCTCTTTAGCGTTTTCAAAAATCTCAGTTTTCTGCGCTCCAGCATAGTGTGGACGGATGGTATAACCGTAGCAAAACTTATGCATTTTAAAACTAAAACAGAGTGCGTTTTAGTTTGAAAATGCATAAGTTTTGCTACGGTTACTCCATCCGTCCACACTACGCCAGAGTTTTCGAGCACCGAAAATGGAGCGTTTTGGAAACGCTGAAGAGGTTAGTTTTCATCCTAAAACGCTGCTGCTCCGTCTCAGTGTGGATGGGGGAAAACGGAGACATCTGAAAACAGAGGCGGGGCTGCCAACATTCGTCTCTCTGATTGGGGCTTTTCCTCAATATTAAGAAGCCCACACACACAGTTCAGTCTTGCATCCTTTCCCAGTAAGTTCAGACTTTGCAAGTTTGATATGGAAAACAGATTCCCGAGAACATATCGGGTAAATCTTCAAAGGGAACGATGTACTTTATAACATTATTCACATCACCCTGGCTACATTGTTTCACTTTCTAAACAATAAAAGTACAACATGAAGGAACTGCTATTTTCATTTTGATATAAACAACTTAACAGACAGCAGAAATGTTGAGGCGTTGTGCTGCATATATGAGCGTCATCTTCACTGTGCGTATTCATAACAAAACGAAGCCTAACATCACTGCCTCCTTTCACTTTCATTGAAATTATGAAACATACCCTCTCTTTTGCTGAATATTAGTTTTAATAATCAATAATGCCCATTATAACCGTATAACGGACAATAAGTTTATACAATATAGGAAATAAGGGCAAGCAATTACTCAATATACAGAATGTACGTGGTTAGATTAATTATTAATTTATCTTTGCGCTCAGCCAAACTCGTTACCTGGGAACAAGTAATAGATTCAAAAGACCAAAGTCGGGGAATATGTTGTTAGATATAGACAACAAGATTAATTAAATATCACGTTTAGCAAATACAGTGAGATTAGATCCTGCAAGAGATCCTTGATGAACACTCTCATCTGGGTAGATAGGCTGCAGTGCATGCCAGAGAGTGTGTTTGTGGTCACGTGATGTGCGTTTTCAGTGTTTGGTGAGGACGGAGAGCTGTTCAGAAACGCTGGGTGAAACTCTAGTGTGGACGCGGATCGTTTTCATTTTAAAACGCCGTTTTAAAACTAAAACCCACTAGTGTAAACGGGGCCTAAGACACCATCGGTTTGACTCCACACACTGTAGACTCAAAAAGAGGGGGGTGGGGCTACTGAATAACTACTGAGAGTACAGATGTACCTCTGTGATCTTCAAATGATCATCCACTTGACATCCTGCCTCAAGACTCAGCTTAAGAAGATGAACGAACTGCTGGACTTCTGAGATCTCACTGCATGGACTCTGTTGACAAAAGCGATGGACCAGCGAGGACACGACCAGTAGCACTTTTGGACGAATAAGAGGAATTTGCAGAAGAGCCTGGAAGAGAAAAAATTAGTAACTGCATGTCACAGTCTGTTTTATATAGTTATGTACTATAAATATTTGATTGAATAGCTCTAAACCTACACTGAGGTGGCTGATTATGGATGGGGTTGGGTGGGAAGCAAAACTGATGAGGGGTAGGATGTGTTCCTGATCAACTTCTTTGTTCAGTATTAGGTCCGCATTGACAAGGATGCAGTTCTCAGTTCCGCAGGCTGACAATGCATCTACCAGGGGCTGCCTGTCAGCGAACCAAAGTCAACATCAGCATAAAAAATAATAATAATAAACAAAATAAATAAATAAAATAGCAGAAGTATGAAAAAAGAAATAAATAATAAAAAGAAAAAACACATGATCTAATATTGTGTTTTACTACATTTTAAGAGTTCACACTTCGCTGATGATTGATTATAAAGCTTGTTTGGCATGCTGTCCCGGGAGAGAGCCCTGAGCTCATGAGATCCTCGAGCCCAGGGTTCCCTCCCGATGCAAGGTGGGAGGGGAGTTTGAGCTCAGGTAGATCTCGAGAACTCCCCTGCTGTAGTAAGCGATGAACATTAAGTGATTGCTCTTGGAGATAACTACATACTAGAAGCATGTCTATGGTGCCGATTTGGATTAGTCAATTAACTTAATTTGCATGTTTTTGGACGGTGGGAGGAAACCGGGGAACCCGGGGTAAATCCACGTAAGCACGGGAAGAAAGTGCAAACTCCAAACAAAAATGTCTGCTGGTTTGGTAGAGCGTGGAACCAGAGACATTCTTTCCGTGAGGCAACAGTGCTACGTGTCACCCATCTAGGAAGAAGGAAGAGTAGGGCTGGAAGGGGGGAATCTTCAAAATGAAGATGGCAGTGGAATGAAATCCAGGGTATTTATAGTAGTTTAGGAGTCATCTGATTGGAGCTTAGTGAATTGGATAATGCGGATCCAGCCGCTAGCAATCATAAGCACGCGATCCTCTCGAAATTAGTTTATACATAAACTTCACAAAGTAGCAATATGCAACATAGCTGAAATAATTAGATATCAATGCATTTTAAAGGTGCCATAGAATGAAAATCAATTTGGATATAGATTGGGGGAAATAAGTATTCAACAAGTCACCATTTTAAAGACGACTCGTGTGGTGAATGAAGTCACATTGCTCAGGTGTGATCAGTGGCGGATTTAAGCATGGGCAATATGGGCAATCGCCCAGGGCGGCATCTTGCTGGAGGCGGCGCAGGGAGACGGTGCAAAAAAAGAAAAAAGAAAAAGTGCCCTAGTATTAATCAACTGTGCCCTAGTAAAACCGAAGAAGACGGCGCTTTTGGACACTGTTAACATAGGGCTAATAAACATGGGTAATAATTCTGACTTCAACTGTGTATAATATAACAATTAAATAATTTTGACAACTGAAGTATGATTATTTTGCATGTGTCTATTTTAGAGTACGTCATACTCTGTGTGTGTGTGTATGTGTGAGAGCAGGCACAGACATGAGCTAAGGAGAATCAGTGCAGAACTCATTAATATTCATGACCATTCTAAATATGGTCAAAACTGAGCTTCTCATTGTAGGATTTATTCCACCAGAGCCAGGGGTAGACTGGGACAAAAATTCAGCCCTGGCACTGTAGCCACACCAGCCCACATTACCACACAGACACACACATTCACTACTTATATTGGTGTATAGATGGTGTAATAATATAAGCAGTACAATATTGTATATATGTAATAGATATTTAAACATTTAGGGCCCTATTATACACCCGGCGCAATGTGGCGCAAGGTGCGGCGCAATACTCTTTTGCTACTTTTAGCTCGGCGCAAGGGTCATTTTGAGGCGTTGCGCTACGCTGTTTAAATAGCAAATGCATTTGCGCTCAAATGTGCGCCCATAGGCGTTCTGATCTAAAAAAGCAGGCGTGTTTTGGTGCGTTGCTATTTTGAGAAACTGTAAATAGTCTGATCTTTAGACCAGAACAAAGTCGGTCTATTGTCTGGCGCAAAGTGTGCCTGGCTTACACACTAAAAACAAGATGCAGAGCAATACACAAATATCTTTACATATGAAAAATATATAATATCTTAAGGATATAATAAGGATATATACAGGATATAAATATAAATGATTAAAATATTACAAAACATATTAATTTCTAGCCTACATGAAGATTTAAAAACCACTGCCTTACTTTCTTCATCTCGGGAGGCTTTTTCAGTTCATTCAATTTGCTTTTGTATAATGTTAATATTATTAGCAGGATTATTTATTATATCCATATTTATATTTGTTTTATTAAAAACAAGCTTAGATTTGTCCACCTGTCAAATTTTAGACCATATGGGGCATGGCAGGTGTATTTGGAAATAACTCTAAGTATTTTGACCACAATTATTGTTCATTTATTCGTTTGCTAGAAATTAGAACTAAATTTAGAAATAGTTTTGAAACAAATCTTTGCGCTTAACAAACAAAATGAATTATTTATAGGCTAATTGATGTCTGTGCGTAAAGGTTTACCTATCCACGAGAGCAAAAGCGAAAGTGAACTTACGTTACGTCGAAATGCGCTTATGGCGGGACGCAGCTGGCACTTAAAGGGAATTGGAGATGAGGCTCTAATTGGTTTATTCTCAAAACACACCTATAACTCATTAAGAAAATAAACTCAACCCTTTTAGACCATGCGCCATGGCGAAAAGCAGATTTTCCCGTCCTTAAATTAGCAAAAATGCGTTCTGACACGCCCTGAAAGCATTTGCGCCCCGCGTTTTGCGCCCTGCGTTTTGCGCCTTGCGCATGGACCGTCAAAATAGGGTCCTAAATGTATGTGACTGGAACAAAAACAACCCGTTGTCATTCTCTGTCCTAAGGATTAAATACATACTGTAACCTATGCATGTATTTAATGTTTTACTTTAAAGACTAGCTGTGTTTTCAGAGTTCACTACCAATTCCCTCAGTACTTTGGCTATAGCTATAGTCTTTTTGCATGTTAGACTATATTGCTTGTACAGTAGCATACAGCGGTCTGTATACCCTAAATCCCCCCTGCTGATAATGACATTTTAAAATGTACGTGAGTTCTACGCAAAGCTTACAACTGTTAAGCACAGTGTAGGTTACTGTCAAAAACGGTCAGAAGTAGTGGGAATGCTGTCAAAATGACTTTTCTATATTTTAGTATAATGACTTGGAAGTATTTTTTTTAGTTTTCTTATTACCTCCTCTACCATACTACTGTCCTCCGATGCAGCAGCTAAATCGAAGATATTTCAGTTAATTTTATGCATTTGACAGCGTCTGATTTTAGGGCCCTTTTTTTGCTTTCTTGGAGCATTTCCGCACCGCCTTTCCTGTTTTTACGGTCCATCTCTGACAGTTAGCTTGTGTTGCACTCACAGTTTGTTTGACGTTCTTGCCAGATTTGATCACGTTCGTGTAACCTCTGATTGGGTCGGCCCCTTTCAAAACCAGCCGGTTGTCACCGATTGGGCCGAATGCTTAACATGTAACTATTATTATTATTATTATTATTATTATTATTATTATTATTATTATTATTATTACTATTATTATCAATACATATTAAGGAATAAAAAGATTTTTAAAAACTGACCGGACCACATTTAAAGGTTCACGAAACAATGTTAGCACCTGTCAGCTTTAATTGTGGAAAAAAATTTATGATTTTGAAAGCTTTTGTCAGCTAATTTCAGCTTCCGGATTTAAAATGATTGAATGATCAAAATTGGCAACATAGCGAAAAACTGCAAGTGCAAAGATGACACGTCGGTTTCTTATTACTATTAATAGCGGAGTTTTCTTATCCTATGAGAAGAGCCGGTTTCTAAATTATTCATGACTGCACGTGCTTTCCGAAGACAAGGCAGACCTGCCAGTCCCAAGCTGTGAGACACGGAACCACGGCACACAGTATTTAGCTTTTTATGAAGGGTCGTATGTGTTTATTTCCATGATCCATGGGGTTTGTTGCATGTTTTTCCACAGGATGCTGTCAGGGCCGATACAGCAAAGCTGTTTGTGTGCAGCAAGCATTTTTGTCAGGAGAGCAGTTAGAGAATTGGAGAATGGCGGACGTTATCTTTTATCAGAAGTTCGTTCACATTTAGACACATCGCCGTGCTACTTTGTTTGCCTAAATCCTCCAGATTACCAACAGGGCTAACGGTTAAAATAGACAGGGCAAGAGACCTGCTGCACTGATTCTGCATTCAGACCCGGGGATTGAGGGAGAAGTCCTCATTTATAGTGTTTATATGAACATGATTATCTTTATAATGATATAAATTGCGGTTATCTCTATATGAAATTATGAATAACAAATGTAGCAGGGCATTAAATTACTGCTTATTTCTTTGCATTTTAACTTTGTAAACTATAAAATCATGCGTCTCCTCACGGTTTGTGTCTCATTTTGGCTGACAACAGTTTTTTGCTTCCCTCCTTCTCCCCTGCTGGCCACGTTCACTCCTGCCCTTTGCTCGTGGAGCTCCACACCCATTATGATACATCTTTTTAAAAAATTCTGAAGTTGACCTGAACCGAAAGTTGGGGGTTTCAAGACTCTTAAAAAATAGTCCGGCCCTTCTGGCATTTTCCAGAATTGACAGGTGGCCAATCCGCGTTTTTTGCACTGCAGAAATGCGAGTGCTGTTCAAAAAATGCTCAGCTGTGTTTCAGTCGGTTGCACCTACAAGTTGTTGTGGTCATGGTGAACGTTGCCTGGTATATTCCTGACGCTCCTCCACCGGGATTTGATGGCTAGCTTAAAATTGACAGTGCCACAAAAATCTGTATTTTTTAACTTTCAATGACTGAAAAAAAGCAGAGCGCTCATCGCTAACCATAAAATGCCTATTCAGCACATAACATTGCAACGCTAAGCTCTAAAAAAAAATGCTCCAGTAGACATGCAGCCAAAGTGAACAGATAAACCCATTTCTGGAAAATGTTACCTAAGCCAGATACCTATGTAGAGTACAATTTAATATATTGAATCAATGCACTCTATGGCACCCTTAAAATTTCTGTACTACAACATTTTGATTGCATATATAACTGTTAAAGGACCAACCAGTCGTCTCGACATTTGAAGGAGGCTTCATGCCACAAGTCTCTCAACTGACGTGATGACAAGGCTCTCAGCTGGAGCACCAGATTCAGGAGAAGCTCAGATTGCTGAGGATGATGAAGAAAAGTATAATAAAAACCTGCCATCATGTCAATGCTTTAACACCATGAGCTAGTGTCTGACCTGCTGTTGATCCATCAGATGAGCACACAGTCTCCTCACTATGTTGGACACCTCCTGAACTGATGGTCCAGCATGTCTGCCTGAGCTTTGGCCTTCAGCCTCAAACACAATACTGGACAAGTAGCCAGTGTTCTGAGCTGAAATGACAACGAGAAGGTGATTACTTGGACGCAAATGCCTTGCATTCATAAATGATTTCTAAAAATCTTATACTGGAATGTTGGTAGCCTTTTTGGTAGCCTTTTTCAGTTTCAACAACTGCACTAGACACATTCTTACAATCACTCCATATCTCTATAAACAGTGAGTGGGCTTGACAAACCACCTGTAGAAACACTCTTTACTCTTTATGCACCGGACACTTTATGTGAACTCCATCACAAGGACACAATAGGAAAAACTATGTTTACTTGTGAATGTATTACACTCTCAGAAAGAAAGGTACGGGAGTTGTCACTGAGGCAGTGCCTTTTTAAAGGATACATGTTTGTACCCAAATAATCCACAGTGGTACCTAAAAGGTGCATATTAGTACCCAAAAGTACCTAAAAAGTACCTTTAAGCACATATGCATCACTTAAGTTTTTTTTTCTACTGTACAAAAGTTATTTACACTTAAATACACAGTATTTTGGATACCCGAGCTAGGTATTTTACATTGGTTCATTTTCATATTTTTTTATATGACACATGTACAAGTTATAGCTAAAATGAAAGCTCTTGCCGGTGCTAAAACAGTTCTAGCATTCTTTTTACTGAATTATATTCACATATCAAACAGTTGTCGAATGAATAGCAGTGTTTCCATGGCGCAGAAATGTAAACAATACATTCATGATCAATAAGCAGCCCCAGATAGCACAGACAGCTGTTATCTCTTACCTTATGCAGTGCCCTTCAGGGCCATTCTCCTCTGATTTTGAGGTGATTTGCATAAGTTTCCTTTTATAAGTCTGATGTGGTCCAAACACAGTGAATTATGTTTGATCAAACAAAATAATAGTGAAATATGAAAACAAGGATCGGTCCCTGTGGCTTGTACAGCACCTCTCATGAGTTGGAATACAATAACTTTTGCATAGAATATGGTATAGAGACATTTTTCTGTTTCCCTATGATTACAGACATGTGCAGAAACCACCAAAATTAATTACAGCGCCCTAGACCACACAGAACCTAAAAAGTGCACTTTCAAATTTGAGTTTATAAAACAAAAATACAAAAAGCGCCTCTTTTTTTAGGTGTTTATTATAACACAGACAACATATACAGTTATTTTAAACACTTTCAATAGTGTTTTATGAAAATTCAAAGGGTTTTCTTTAAAATTATACCAATTTTTTAATGTATAATTAAATGTGTTCGTTGTCACATTTTGTACTTCAAAATTCACCATTCGTTTTCTATTGGAGACAGGTCGGGACTGTAGGCAGGCCAGTCAAGTACTTGTATTCTCTTCCTCTACAGCCAGTACTTTTCTCCAAAAAAAATACCCGAAATACTGATTCATCTGACCACAGTTCATGTTTCCACTGTGTGACGGTCCATCCCAGATGCCTACGAGCCCAGAAAAGTAGATGGCGCTTCTGGACACTGTTAACATAGGGCTTCCTTTTGGTACAGTTGTTTTAACTGGTATTTGTGGATGTAACTACGTATTGTAGTACTTGACAAAGGTTTGCCAAATTAGACCTGAGCCCATGTGGTGAAATCGCTTATAGATGAATGACGATTCTTAATGCAGCTTCAGCTTAGGCTTGCACCCTTGTCATTTATGCACTGAAATTCCTTCAAATTCCTTGAATATTTTAAATATTTTTATGCACTGATGAAAGTGAAATCTATCTTTCTTTGAGGAACATTGTTTTTAAACATTTCAATAATTTTCTCATGTATTTGTTGGCAAACTGCCGATCCTCGACCCATTTTTGCTCCTAAAGGACTAGACCTATCATGGATGCTGCTTTTGTACCAAATCATAATTACAGTCACCTGTTGACATCACCTGTTTTAATCACATCATTATATAAACAATTTACCTGATTGCTGGCCCTAAACTGCTCCTGTTCTAACTTGTTTTGGAAATGTGCTGCAAGAACCAAAATTTGAATGTTTTTTTTTTTTTTTTAAACTATAAAAAATCAAAAGGAACACAATAATTATTGAATGTTGTATTGTCTGCAATAAAATACAAGTCAATCTATATTTAGAAATCGAATAAATCTTTTTTTTTATTTGCGTTTTCCATACTATCCCAACTGATTTGGGGTTGTAGATTAACACTATCAAAAGTCATCTTAGTCTTACCCAAATCCATTGGAATCACATCAAGGGTTCTGAGTAGAGTCAGGCTTGAAACCGTTTTAGTTTCTGTTACTTCTAACAGGCCTGGAAGGGGAACCAGCGACACTGTTTCTGTACAGTTGACCTTCTTCAAGACTGTGTCATCATAGAGCTGGACGCACGTGAGGCCGGCACTCACTGTCTAATCACAATAAACAGCAACTCAAACTCAAGTAAAATTCACATTTGGCCAGTTAAAAGTGGTATACACAAAGCAAGGCCCACCATGTCCTCCTTCAGGGGTACAGAGCTCCTCCAAAACTGATCGATCCGGTCACTGAGACACAGCTGGAGGTTACGTATCTTCACCAGCGATGGTCCCCTTCGTTCATAAGAACTAGTACATGTCCCATACACATCAGTCTGCAGACCAATCATAATTCAGTGTTATTAAAATGATATCATCAGTCATGCTTAGGATAAAGGACTTCAATATACCTTATAACTTGTAACTGCACGTTTATTTCTCATGCACTGTTAGATTTTTTGTTGTATTTTTGTGGTAACTTGCTGGTTTGTTAGGATACAATGATATTTGACTGAAATACAACTACTGATTTTAAACATCTGAAATTTGAGGGTTCAAATAAGATCAATACAGTGCATCCAGAAATTATTCATAGCGCTTCACTTTGTCCACATTTTTTATGTTTTATTCCAAAATGGATGAAATTAATTTATTTCCTCAGAATTCTACACACAATACCCCATAATGATAATGTGAAAAAATAGTTTTTAAAATTGTTGCAAATTTATTAGAATTAAAAAACCTGAAAAATCACATGTACATCAGTATTCACAGCCTTTACTCAATACTTTGTTGATGCACCTTTGGCAGCATTTACAGCCTCAAGTCTTTTTAAATATCATGCCACAAGTTTGGCACACCTGTCTTTGGGAATTTTGGCCCATTCTTCTTTGCAGTACCTCTCAAGCTCTATCAGGTTGGATGGAAAGCGCCGGTGTACAGCCATTTTCAGATCTTTCCAGAGATGTTCAAAAGGATTTAGATCTGGGCTCTGACTGGGCCACTCGAAGACATTCACCGAGTTGTTGTGAAGCCACTCCATTGATATTTTGGCAGTGTGCTTTGGGTCGTTGTCCTGCTGAAAGATAAACTGTCGCCCTAGTCGGAGGTCAAGAGCACTCTCAAGCAGGTTTTCATTGAGGATGTCTCTGTACATTGCTGCATTCATCTTTCCCTCTATCCTCACTAGTCTTTTAGTTCCCGCTGCTGAAAAACATCCCCACAGCATGATGCTGCCACCACCATGCTTCACAGTAGGGATGGTATAAACCTAGCGATGAGCGGTGCCTGGTTTTCTCCAAACGTAACGCCTGGCATTTACTCCAAAGAGTTTAATTTCAGTCTCATCAGACCAGAGAATTTTGTTTCTTATGGTCTGAGAGTCCTTTAGATGCCTTTTGGCAAATTCCAGGCGGGGAGTGGCTTTCGTCTGGTCACTCTACCATACAGGTCTGATTGGAGGATTGCTGCACAGATGGTTGTCCTTTTGTAAGGTTCTCCTCTCTTCACAGAAGAACACTGGAGCTTAGACAGAGTGATCATCGGGTTATTGATTACCTCCCTGACTAAGGCCCTTCTCCCCGATCACTCAGCTTAGATGGCCGGCCAGCTCTAGGAAGAGTCCTGGTGGTTTCAAACATCTTCCACTTATGGATGATGGAGGCCACTGTGCTCATTGGAACTTTCAGAGCAGCAGAAATTTTTCTGTAACCTTCCCCAGCATTGTGCCTCGGGACAATCCTTTCTCGGGGGTCTACGGACAATTCCTTTGTCTTCATGCTTGGTTTGTGCATTGACATGCACTGTCAACCCTGGGCCTTTATATAGACAGGTGTATGCTTTTTCAAATCATGTGCAATCAACTGAATTGACCACAGGTGAACTCCAATGAAGCTGCTGATACATCTCAAGAATGATCAGTGGATACCGAATGTAGCTGAGCTTAATTTAGAGCTTCACGGCAAAGGCTGTCAATACTGATGTACATGTGATTTTTCAGGTTTTTTATTTTTAATAAATTTGCAACAATTTCAAAACCTTTTTTCACATTGTCATTATGGGTTTTGTGTGTAGAATTTCAGGAAATAAATTAATTTAATCCATTTTGGAATAAGGCTGTAACATAGAAAAGTGGAAGAGGTGAAGCTCTATGAATACTTTCCGGATGCACTGTAATTTGCGATCTCCAGAAATGTATATAGGGCTATGTTTTCAAAATATGCCTATGTCGCTTATGTTGCAAAACAATAAAGGTAAATTAATCGATTTGTTTAGGGCCAAAATACAGGAATTGTTTGGAACCCAGCGTTTTTAAAGTCTGCGTATGTTTTTGGCTATCAGCCAAATATGGGTCAAAATAATAGATTTTATGTGTATGTCAACTATTAGAATATTAAGTAAAGATCATTTCCCATGTTCAATATGAAAATAATTTGTACATTTCTTACTGTAAATAAATCAGATTTTGTTTTAGCATTTAGTTTTTTAACCTTCAGATTCGAGTTTTTATATGTCAATTGTTTTTCCTAACAAAGTCACAAATTGAAAGCCTCTTTCTACAGCTTTCATGTGATGAATAAATCAATTTAAATTGATAAAAAAAACTCAATATTTTCCCTCATAAATATGTGCTCAGGGAAAGCTGTAATTGCTCTCACCTCTCTCACTGTCTCTCGGGCCCGTCCCGAGTGAGAGGTCTGGATCATGCTCAGAATGGACCTCTTGATGTTAAGCGTCCACACCTGCTCAGCCTCCTGTGGGCAAAACATGGTGACCTTTCCCCCCTCAAGCGAGAACCGCAGGGGATTCTTCTCCAATGACTCTCTGAGAAATCAAAACACCAGATGGACCTTAAACCTCTGTGATGACTGTAGACTCCCTAATGCAGTGATAATATGTCAAATTATTAGTCAAAAATGTGACTATAATCAACTGAAGATCAAATTAGGTTGTTTAAATCCAGTGTTGAGTAAAGTTACTGGTAACACTTTAGAATAACTATCCGTTATAACTAGTTAATAGACCATATATAAACTGTTAGTTAACAAGTTATAAATGACTTGTTAAACAAAAGTTAATAGTTTGTTAGTTATCTATAACTGTGCCTTATAGATGGCTAATAGATAACTTACAAGCTGTTAGTTAACAAGTTGTAAATGACTTCTTAACTGTATTTTAATGATTTATAAATATACCTAATCAATTAGTAATAGATCATGAACAAGCTGTTAGTAAATAACTTAATAAAGGCTTGTTAACTATCAGTTAATAGTGTATATATGTTATTGGGACGTTATTCTAAAGTTGCAGCTATTTTTCATTTATTAATTGTTAGTAAATGAGGAATAGTTGCAACTTTAGAATAACGTCCCAATAACATGCTTGAGCTAAAAACTATCACTTAACTATTATATTTACACTTTACAGATCAGTTGTTCACCATCTAATAACACCAGTGAAACTTTTTTATTAGACCACTGGTGTAATTTAAAATTTGTATTTATTTTGTTTCCATGTTTAGCACTTCATGGGTTTGTTTTCTTGCATACTGCTGTACTGCCATGTGATGGTTCAGTATGTGTGTTTCTATACATTAAACACAACATTTAACATTTCATCTGTGCAGTTTCTTTGGTAAAACACAGCACACAGAAAAACCTATAAGTGGAACAAAGTTTCGAAACAAACATTTTATATTTTAAATATTACATCAAATTTCTGTAGCTTGAACTTATTCCATCCATTTGCAGTTCTACAAAGATTCACTGGTATTAGTAGATGGTTAACAAACGATGAACAACTCTCGTCTGTAAAGTATGAGTAAATATAATAGTTAAGTGTTAGTTATTAGCTTAAGCATGTTATTGGGACGTTATTCTAAAGTTGCAACTATTCCTCATTTACTAAAAGTTAATAAATGAAAAATAGCTGCAACTTTAGAATAACGTCCCAATAACATATACACACCATAACTGATACTTCACAAGTCTTTATTAAGTAATTTACTAACAGCTTGTTCATGATCTTTTAATAATTTATGAGGTATAGTTATAAATCATTAAAATACAGTTAAGAAGTCATTTACAACTTGTCAACTAACGGCTTGTAAGTTATCCATTGCCCATCTATAAGGCACAGTTGTAAATAATTAACAAACTTTTAACTTTTATTTAACAAGTCATTTAAAATTTGTTAACTAACAGTTTATTAATGGTCTATTAACTAGTTATAACGGATAGTTATTCTAAAGTGTTACCAAGTTACGGTAAAGTAATATATTATAACATTGAGTTACATTTCAAAAAGGTAATGAAATGTGTCACTAAGTTAAATTTTAAGAAAGTAAGTGTTATTTTTACTTTTTTTTGTTTTGTTTTGTTTTGTTTTGTTTTGTTTTCTAGATTAAGACAGGCTTAAAATTGTAATATATTAAGTTTAAAAGTAACTAAAAAGTAACTAAATGTGTTACGTTAGTTACTTTTTAAGGAAAGTAATGTCAAAGCATGTGTTATTTTTACTTTTTTTGTTGTTGTTTAGTTTTATATTGGGTTTCTTTATATTAAGACAGGTTTAAGATTGTAATATATTACTTTTAAAAGTAACTAAGTAACTATAAAGCAAATAAATGTGTTACTATTATTTTACTTTTTAAGAAACGTAATGTGAAAGTTTGTGTTTTTGGGGGGTTGTTTTGTATTTTAAAATTAGACTTTGAAAAGTAATGAACTAAATTGCACCAGGTGTATGATAGGGCTTTTATACTCTAAACTTGACTTAAGCAAATAAATAAAACCTGAATATACAACTTATCTGTAATAATTTAATGCAAATTCAGAAAAGGTTTTGGTAAATGTGCATGAGCAGAATCTGCAAGCTTGTTGAATTACCTCATGTTCTTCAAGCGTTGAACTGAGTTATCTCTTTTTGATGAGCTCTGCTTTATTTGTATGTTCCTCAGCTATACAAAAAGAACAAATGAAAAACATTATGGAACAGATTAAACATGATAAAAACAAAGACAGAGAAGTTATAGTTAGGGCCAGACGTTTTTTGCTATTTCTGCAGAGAATTTTGGTAAAACTCTGCGGATTTCTGCTAAATTATTTTGGGAATATCATAACTAAAACCTTAATATGTGAAATAAAAAATAATATCTTTTTAACTTTTATTTAATGCTTAAAATGCAAATCCAGTTAGACTCACTTTATTTGGTAACCAAAGCAAGTCTCTTATATAATATATCTACTAAAAGACAAACTGCATAGTACATAAATGAGATGAACATTTTCATAGTCAATAATATTACTGTAATTAATTTAAAAACTGAATAAATATAAATTTAAACACATTTACTCAAGTAAATAAGCAGAATTAATGATGGACTAAAAATCTGCGGAATTGTGCGCGCGCAGATTCTGTGTGGGCCTAGTTATAAGTACACAAACTGTGACAAGTGGTACACTAAATTATCTAAAACTGTTATGATCATTAGCAAACATTAACAGAAGTTGTATTTATGAATTTCATTGTTGATTGTTGTTATAAGATTTGTTTCACTTAAAAGTAGGAAACATTATATCAATTTGCACTCTGAACAAGTAACTTAGTAGCTTTGTAAATTTCTAAATAATAAATACCGTTACCTTAATAACTTATAATATCACTTAATTTCATGTTCTAGCTAGACATATTATATACTCAACTTAAAAATATTGAAATTAAAAGTTTAATTTGCCTAAAACTACATTCAAATGCATTTATATATATATATATATATATATATATATATATATATATATATATATATATATATTTGAGATGCCTATTTTTAGATGCTTATGTCTATTTTGGGGCCTTACAATGAACTCAATTTATGCATATATGATTTTACAGCTTTAAAATTTATATTTAATATGCTTAAATGCAAGAAAATAATCCAATAAAGAGCACATCGCAGTTTACATTTACAGTTTAAGGGTTCCATAGAATGATAATCTGGTTAATATTATTCAAATTGAATCATAGAAGTTCAGTACATGGAAATGACCACAATGTTCCCTATAGTAAGACTGCATTAATGATATTTTTCCCTTTATTTTTAATTGTATATAAGCTTGTATTATACAGATCATGTAGGGACTCTTATTTCCAAATGGGAGAAACAGGAAGATTACATAAGATTCATGTGAAACAGGTAGCCATAAATTTTAACTGTTTACAGCTTATATGTTTTCTTTAGTTACTTTATATTTTGGAATTTACAGAGTATGTTTGTTATGAGGCAACAAACACACGTAGCCAGCTTAATATAAGTGTTTGTAGCATGTTTAGGCATCTACTCAGTTTGTTCAAATATTGTTTGACAAATAAAGTGTAATTATTTTGCATGTGTGTATTTCAGACTACATCATCTGTATGTGTGAGTGGACACTAATATGAGTTTAGGAGCATCAGAGCAGAGCTCATGAATATTCATGACCCTTCCAAAAAAAACATTTCATTCAAGAGGTAATTTCTGTGGTAATAAAGGAGCATATAAAACCATTGAAAAATTAAGTGTGGATAATAAAATGATATGTATAAAAGGAATAAAACATACCTTTAACATCATGTCAGGACATCCTGGTCGAACATTAATGTCAATAACACAGTCCAAAGCTAACTGACTGCCTCCTGATGAAGAGCCTTTCCATGTGCTGCTGATTGTTGTACTGTATCTATAGGTGTGCCTTTGCCCTTTCTGCACATCTGTAATACATACAGTATATGTAAGTCAGATATATGCATGTTTGTTAATGTTTTTGCCATATTTCTTTAGTTACACTTTGGGGGGAAAATACTGTCCCCAAAAGTAAGCTAAAACAGACAAAACCTCTGTTTGATCAATATCCACTGATTTAAAAAAAAAAAAAAAAAAAATTAATCCTTAAACATGTGAAACGTTTTCTATAGGCCAAGAAAGTATTTTTACATTTTAAATGGCCAAAAAAAACACATCTAAGTGTAATTTGACTGAAATAAAATCAGTTGTTTTTTGTGTGTTTGTTTGGGGATTTTTTAGAAATAATTTTAAAGGTCAAAAAATTCTAAATACTTGCATAAAAAGTCAAAATTATGATTAAAAATTTTAAATGATACCTTAAAAAGCTGAAATTACAGGACAAAGTTCTATAAATACTCACATAAAAAGTCAAAATTATGCTTAAAAAGTCAAAATGATACCTTAAAAAGTTGAAATTACAAGACAAAAATTCTAAATACTCACATAAAAAGTCAAAATTATGCTTAAAAAGTCAAAATGATACATTAAAAAGTTGAAATTACAAGACAAAAATTCTAAATACTCACATAAAAAGTCAAAATTATCCTTAAAAAGTCAAAATGATACATTAAAAAGTTGAAATTACAAGACAAAAAAATCTAAAAACTCACATAAAAAGTCAAAATTATGCTTAAAAAGTCAAAATGATACCTTAAAAAGTTGAAATTACAAGACAAAAAATCTAAATACTCACATAAAAAGTCAAAATTATCCTTAAAAAGTCAAAATGATACATTAAAAAGTTGAAATTACAAGACAAAAAATCTAAAAACTCACATAAAAAGTCAAAATTATGCTTAAAAAGTCAAAATGATACCTTAAAAAGTTGAAATTACAAGACAAAAAATCTAAATACTCACATAAAAAGTCAAAATTATCCTTAAAAAGTCAAAATGATACATTAAAAAGTTGAAATTACAAGACAAAAAATCTAAAAACTCACATAAAAAGTCAGAATTATGCTTAAAAAGTCAAAATGATACATTAAAAAGTTTCAATTTACAAGACAAAAATTTTAAATACCTGGATAGAAAGTCAAAATTATGCCTAAAAAGGCAAAATGATTGATTAAAAAGTTGCAATTTACAAGACAAAAATTCAAAATACTTGCATAAAAGTAAAAATTATGCTTAAAAGGTCTATATTATGACCAAAAAGTCAAATGTATTACCTATAAAGTCAAAATTACGAGATATAAAGTTGAAATTATCACGAAATTCCATACACTAACGAAAGCGATCAAAATTTCTAAGGATAGAATTTGTCTTCATATGTGTCAATATCCATATAAATATTAAATATTAAAACATTTATCAACATGTATGTATATCCTCTTACCAGGGCAAGCAGGCTTGCAGAGCTGACCTTGCTGCAGTTTCTGACAGTCAACTTATTAAAAGAAATACAAAAAATTAAAAACTATCATGAATGAGATCTACAATTTCGATTTTGTATTAGCATCAGAGAACATTTATAACTTTATTTTTGTTCTATAATCAAGAAAACACAAAAAGAACACAAACATCAAACACTTACCGCTGAAAAATATGAGCATTATAATTAAACCCAGATCTTGGAGCAACAGACAGACCCGAGACATGGCCATAAGTGACAAAGTAAAGCCCCACACCAGCACTTCAAACGAGCGAGCATTACTAGAAAACCATAACCACAGAAATGAATGATAGACGTTGAGTACGGGCTTTGTTAAAACCCACAGGACACTCAGACACCAATCAGAGGGCAGATGCCCACCAGGGGATCATCCAGCTAACAAAATCTCCCTGCATACCGATGGACATCTTGTTGCGGGCCTCTGCTTTCCTAAAACATGGTCTTTTCTTTTATCTCTTGGTCTGTGGGATGCTCTGCCACAAATGTTACATAAAATTAAATTACTGAAACTGGAGGATATCTAAAATACCTCAAACCTATTTTACTATCATACCATTATTTCATACACTATAGTGATGTTTGAGAGATATTAGTGGTGTGCTGAGAGACTAGGGTTGCATTACGGTGCAATTTAATTATGATCTTCATTCACTAACTTCCCTCCATGTTGTTCCATCAGATTTACAGTTGAAGTCAAAACTATTGGTCCCACTTTATATTAAGTGTCCCTAACTACTATGTACTTACATCAAAAAATAAATACAACATACTTACTGTGTTTATAATGTATTTGAGAACACTTGTGGTGCTTTTAAGTTGGAATAGAGGTTGGGTTATGGACAGGTTTGGTGGCATGGGTAGGTTTAAGGGTAGGTTATGGTGTAAGGGATGGTCAACAGTGTATTTACAAACATAATTACAAAAGGTATTTACAGATGTAATTACATACATGTATTTAATCAAGCATAAGTACACAGTAAATACATGTATTTACACAATAAGTACATTGTAACAAACTAATAATTCCTATGTAAGTACATATTAATTAAGGCCACCTGATATAAAGTGGGACCAAATTATTAGCCCTCATGTGATTTTTCTTTTCTTTTTTAAATATTTTCCAAATTATGTTTATCAGAGCAAGAATTTTTTCAGTATTTCTGATAACATTTTTTTTTCTTCTGGCGAAAGTCTTATTTGTTTTATTTCAGCTAGAATAAAAGCAATATTTAATGTTTGTATTTCATTTTTTAAGGTCAATTTTATTAGGTGCAGTAGGTGATCTGCCAAAATACTATGCGTTACCATAATATCTTTGAAACACAGTCCCTCCCCTGCCACCCAAAGCTTGGTACACTCTAAAAAAAAAAGGTTCCTAGAGGTTCTATATAGAACCTTGGGGTTCTATACTTGGCCAGTAGAACCTTTTACCCAAAAAATGGTTCCATTTAGAACCCTTTGAGTGCAAAGAACCTTTTTGATTAAAATGGTTCTATAGTTTTTGATTCATAACATAATTATCTAGTAAAGATTATAAGATAATTATAAGCTATAACACAAATATACAAAGCTTTTTGAGTCAAAACCTAATAAAATGAATGCTGTGGTCAAAAACGTTATCAGTGTACAGTATGGTGGGATTTTTTTCATTTAGGTTTGCACAACTTATATTTTATATATACTTAATATTTAACATTTTTAAAACATTATTTTGTGAAATAAATAAAAAACCAGTTTATTTATTTAGACTGTGCAGTACCATGTTTTTATGATTTAATAAATTATTTAAAACTAATTATCATCGTCGTGGACAGGTGGTGAAGAGCCTCGAGAGTGACGGTTAATTTTTCGAAAGGAGAAGTCCACCACAGCTTCATCATTCACACAATATATATATATATATATATATATATATATATATATATATATATATATATATATATATATACTTAAAGGTTTAATATTTCAAATACATTTAGCCTGCATTTTTGTGTCCTTTATAAATAGTACCTGATCTTTCATCTATGGATTATTAAAATATGTTTGGCTTTAAAAGGTTTTAATAAAATCCAGGGATGGACTGGCCATAGGAAGAACCGGGACCTTTCCCGGTGGCCTGATGGTCAATCTAGCCTGCCACAGTGACTCTGGCCTGCCACGTGTACACAGACTCGGTGCGGGCACGAGTGCTGCACTATTACCTAAATAAAGAACCCTTAAATGGTTCTTAATAGAACCATCTAATTTGAATTCGAAGAACCATTTGGGGTTCTATTTAATGAACCCTTAAAATGGTTCTATTTAGAACCTTTTTGGGGTTCCATATATGAAGCGCTTGATAGAACTATTTTTGGTTCTATATAGCACCGTTTCTTTTAAGAGTGTAGTTAACCGGTGGTGTGCAGGAATTACACTTATGACTAAGCCATACTTTGACGCGGTGGCGCAGTGTGAACTCTTGAAATGTAATTGGATGAACATTTTTTAGAACTATGCCTTACCCAGAATATAAAAAATACATATAAATACATTTACTTTAATCATTACTTTTGGAATGAGAAGAGACTTTTAACCAGCACAAAAAAAATGTTTCTAAACACGATCCCTGAATAGGTTTAAATGGAATATGAACATTAAATAGACATATAGGTGCTGGAGTGGACATATAAAGCCGACTTGCTTATTCACTTGATGAAGTGGAATGCACTTTAACATGGCGGCATATGAGGGGAAAAGTAAAGGGAAGTCTGAGACTTTAATGAACTTAAAAGAGCATGTCACTCCACTGCTCATCCGTTTGCACTGGCTGCCAGTTGCTGCTCGCATCAAATTCAAAGCTCTGATGTTTGCCAACAAAGCGACTTCTGGTTGCGCTCCTTCTTATCTGCTCTCACTTCTGCAGATGGATGTGCCCTCCAGAAACTTGCGTTCTGTGAATGAACGTCGCCTCGTGGTTCCATCCCAAAGAGGGAAGAAATCACTTTCCCGAACTCTCGCATTAAATCTGCCCAGTTGGTGGAGTGAACTAATGAACTAATGCTTTCCTTCTTAGATTTTACAGACCTGAAACTTGCCTATATCACTTATTCATTGTTGCTCTTATAGTTGTGTAAATTGCTTCCTTGTCCTCATTTGTAAGGTTAAAGGCTAGACATTGTACATGTCATGATTAATTTTACCAAATAAAAAACACTTACAGGTTGTAGCTCACAGCTTCTGCTTGTTGGAGCTGCTTCTTTGAGGAGATTTTCACCGAATCCAGCACTGAGCTGGGAGAGATTCTGGAAGCTGTGTTTTGTCAAATCAGGCTTGCTATGTATTTTATAATTCTCTGGAACATAATTCATATTAAACTGTTAGCACTTTTGTCTTTGTGTTGTGTCCTTTGGAAGCCCAAATACAGAAACAGAAGAAGCTCTGTGGAAACAGCAGCGTTTGGATGCATTTTAGCTCCCTCTGCTGTAACATTACAGCGCCTCTGGCCACGCCCCTTTGCTGCGCAGTGTGTATGCGGTAAAAGTACGTTTGTGATCTCACTGGCCTGTGTCACACAGAGGCGTTTTTAGGGTGTGTGTGAAACAAGAAAAAAATAAATGATGGCTCAGTCGACGTAGCACTATGGTGCAAGGTGCGTTTATTTACAGTGCAAAAGTGTCCAATCCAAAAATCCAAAAAAATAAAGTAGACAAAAAAAAAAATTATATATATATATATATATATATATATATATATATATATATATATATATATATATATATATATATACACAAAAATAAACAAACAACAAAACAAACAAATAAAGACAATACAGTAACAAAATAATTATATACAAAATATTTTCTATCCAGAATTATCAAACCAACCATTCGCCACTACTCACACCTTCTATCTCCTACGACTCCCACACTGAACTGAGCACAAGTCACTCTATTTATAGTGAGTGACTCCGCCCAGTTTGGATTAAACTATATTGAAGGTAAGTATAAGGTAAGTATGGACATAAACAATCTTTCAGGTAAGCATTTCACACTTTCATACACTTCATTTGTATTACTATATAACTTAAAACCAAAATAATTAAATCAGCATTTTCACATGTCATGAATACTGCTTTTTTCATTGTTTTCCCATTCTTTTCATCCCCCACATAAAATATTTTTTGTAGTCCCCAAAATTCGTTCATTGTAGGCTTTGTAGACTCAGTAAAAACCAAGGTCTCCCTTAGCATTTAACTTTGAGCTTCTCAGATTCAGAGATGCTGTTTATGTTCACACAGCTACATTACACATCGACTAAAATTTTAAAATATGATATCGTAGTGAAACACCCATTTAGTGATTTGGTAAAGCGCTGTTCTGCCTTCAAATCAAAAAGCTTTGTAATCTGTAATCATTCAACATTTGAACGAAGAGCTTAGAATGACCAAGAGGCGACACTGTAGTGTTATTTAGGAAACAGCCACTAGAGGACGCGGCGGCCATTTTGGAATGAAAACTCAAATAGAACAACAGCATATTATTAAGTGTGTAAAATAAACTATTAAGAGTGCTGATGATTGTGATAAGTGTTGTATTGTCGTCTTTCAGGTTGTATCTCATTTTTAATGCGCTTTTTAAATAAATAACTAAAAATCGAAGCAGTTGCTTGCCAAAGCGACAGTAATGAGATCCAATGGACAGCCGATTGCTTTCACTCCAAAATGGTGGAATCCAGGGCTGTTGCTGGGCGCTGCTGTCGCAATGGAAGATTCTATTGAGTGTCGCCTCTTGGGTCATTCTAAGCTCTTTGTTCAAATGTTGAATGATTACAGTTTATAAATGTATTTTTTAAATTACAGTAATCCAATTGTGATCGTAATGTCAATAAATGACTGATACCAACTGTTAACATCAGTTTTGTAATAGGGAAGACGGTAACACTTTAAATTAATGGCCCATTAGTTGATTTTATTTACTAACATAAACAAACCATTAGTAATACATTTATTACAACCTTTATGTTTGTTAATGCTTGATATTAAGTTAAATAATGTTAGTTCATGTTAACTCACAGTGTATTAACTAATGTTAACAAGCACAACTTTAGATTTCAATAATGTATTAGTTTATGTTAATTCTTTACAAGATTAATTATACTTACTTGATGTTGTAATACTTTAACATTAACTAATGGACCATTAGAGTTACTAACATGACAAAAGAGGGAATACACTAGTCTTTTTTTTTTAAAAAATAAGTGTTATAGATCATTCCGTGTGTTTAATTTGGT